ATAATTACAACCTGACTAAGGTCCCTTTGCAACTGTTTCCCGTTCAATGACCAGGTTTATAATTACGTTTGCATAAAGATTTATGGGGATTTCCTTGTTGTCGCAGCTTTCCCGTTCTATTCGAATTAAGAGTATCAATGGTCAACCTCGATATGCCCAGGGGTTCGTTATAATAGTTAATTAATATCGGTTGTTGTGGTTGCTGGCAAAGCTGGTCTGAAGCTGGCAAAAAAGTTGACATAGAGGAGCAGCAATCATAAATGTAAAGAAATTGAGTACAGGCAATTACATGGGAATGGTGTTCAGCTCTGCTCCGTTACCAGGCAACGACGTTCTAGCCTCATTTTCAGCGTTGAACTACCTCCTTTACACACATTCGATATTTTAGTTACCAGTCCACTGCAAATGCACCAAGAAACACCTGTTTCTGCAAAAGCCCCTTGTCCAATTATGAAATACGCTCAAAATGGCTAATTAGCACTTCAAAGCTTGATTAAGGAAACTGAGAACCTTCATCCCCTGCAAACAGCTTTGCGTAAGCCGACGAGCCTTTTTTGCTTGATTGAATGAGATCCGTTTTCTTTGCACCTTTGTCCTTTTCGATTATTGAGGTTTCAAGGAGATACGAAGGTGCCCTTCAGTGTACACATCAAGTGCTTCTTTGTCGAGTCCGCAAGTTTAACTGAGGTCAAGGTATTTAAGCCTTGTTTTTTCAGGATATAAGTTGAGATCCTTTTTCCTCTTCTTTGCTAGATCAAAGCCTTTAAGGTTTCATTCACGGATTTGTTCAGTGACACAAACGAATTTGGATGTCAACTTCTTTGCGTTAGCTACCGCCGTCATTTTCCCCTTCCATTGTGGTGAATCACTTAATGCCTGCGGCCGAAAATCAATCTGTGAATCTTTCTCAGTGTCTGTGCTATGTACACCAACATCTTTTTTCCTAGCCGCTTCACTCATAGTTTTGCTCTTGCCTGGCTGCTTAAGACTTACTGCCAACCTTTGCTCTCTCCCTTTCTCTTGTCAAATATGTAATAACTTTTTATGACGCAGATTTTTTACACCAAAGCTCCCGCACTTCGTCTCGCTTTGTCGCGTAGCAGGTAATGTGGTTTCTTGGCCTATGCGGTTTTTGAATTCGTCCTAAATCTTTGACTCGGCAAACGTGCTAAACAAACACCTTATTCTTAGCTGTTCTCCGTAAAATATTGTACTGGTGCCAAAAAAATTCACAAGATTTCACTAGATTGCTATGATCTACAGTTTTTTGCAAGAGCTGTCGTGCCCTGCTTCAACGAACTTCCAGTCGGTAATGAAAGGGGGCCTATAATTGATTTGCGGCCTAGCGGCCTCGAACATATTTTCGACTGCGGCTTGCGGATCTTGGGATCTTTTTTCGGCAAATTGCAGTTTCTGAATTTTTCGCTGCCTGCATTTTTCTATAGAAATTTCAAGCGGTTTGCGGTTTTTGTTTTGTTTTATTTATAGTTATGTTTATAAGAGACTGTTAGATTGAAGTTTAGCAGAAACCTTCATGCAGATATTTTGCTATAAAGACTACGTACTCTAAAAATTGGAATCACATTTTCATGCTTTTTGACCGCATTATGCGGTTTTTCTGGATATCTTTTACGTGGTTTGCAGGCTTTAGCTTCCCTTTAATAGACCCCATGAAAAATTCACCTTTAATAGACCTTCATGACGAGAGATTCCTGCTGTTCAAATGGAATAGCGCATCCCAGTTTTGGTAAGTTAATCACCAATGAATCAATAACTTGCTTAAAGGCAATGTGTCCATATGAATTCCAGTTCCACGCATGATCGGTAAAGCTGCTGATTGAATGCTGAAATGAAATCAGCTGTTCTGTGATTTGATTGGTTAAGACCAAGAAACTTGTATCTTGATTGGTTAAGACAAAGCTGCATCCCCTCCGAAGCCGGCTTCTTCTACAGCGCACTATCTTTATACAAGCTAGTAGCCTACAGATAAATGCGTGTTGTTGTGCGGGTTTCCTCGACTGAGCGCGTATTATGTGCTTCTAAGGCACTGTTACAGCAGCACAGTCTCCTTTGCCTTATATATCAGAATGGATGTTTTGGCGTACAGTGCGTCTGGCTTTGCATAAGCACCAAGCAGTAACTGGGATCTGTAGATGTGACGCCATTTGGCCTACCACAGAGATTCATGTCTGTAAAAATTTCTACTGTGCAGAGAGTCAAAACTGATTCCCTCAACTTACCACATTGATTTATGATAGTTTATAGGACTAGCCATAGTAATCCATCTTGTCGTGTCTGAATAGAATCTCTCCTCTCAAGAATACAGGAGGAACTCTTCCGTAGCCTTACAGATTAAAGAGCAAACCTTGGCAGATCTTTTTTAAAGCTAGCGAAAGCAGCCATCTCAGGCTTATGAAATAGCACATGAACACCTGTTATGTAAGCCTGATTAGACACCGACAGGGAAATCGGAGCCGGTGGTCACCAGGGGTAGGTCGCCCCTTTTCTCTCATCTCCATTCTCCTCCCGATTTCTTGGGCTCTGGTACCCAGCCCAGGGTAGGTCCTTCCCTAGATCTTGGGAGTTACATTTCTCTAAGAAGTCACCCCTTCGATAGAGTCCCTTTTCGGCAACTTGTTGTCCCTCCTTACTTGTGACCTGCCAGTTTTGAACTGCTCCCGATTTCCCTAGACACAATGTCCCGGTTTTTTTTGTGATGGTATATTCTTATGTTGTACAAGGTGCTCCCTTTTTTACATCCGTTACGTGACTGCCTGCTACGATTTCCTGTTGCGGCATACCCCAAATATTCTTTCCGACCCTAAACAGGACTGCGAGGTGTCTAGGAAAATTTAGATTTTGATTTAGTATGCGGTGCTGGATTATATGTTTGTAAAGAACGTAAATTCTTTAATTTTGTACAATCAGTGTCTTTAAAATCGCTATGGAAAAAGGAAGAAGGACTGGACGCAACGATGCAGTAGTAATGTTGATAGCAACAACAACATCAATATTAAATCAGCAACGACAACAACAATACCAATATAGAACAATTCGTTTAATGTTAAAGGAAACTAATAAGGATGTAGTAAGTACGGATGTCCTAAGTGAATAGGATTGTGAGATGGGGTGGCCGTTTCCATTCCTCAAAGGTCTTTGCCTCTAGAGTGTTGCCAACTAGAGCCCTTTTGGATGGACGGAGGTCGAGATCCACGACTCTAAGAACTACAGTTAAACACTGTGACCAATGATCACTTTGACCAATGACCACTTTGACCAATGACCACTTGGACTTCAGCACCATTATGAAATCGAAACTGATTCTAGATATCTTTCAGTTTTTCCACACGCTTTCAGTTTAGCGAATAAAAGGGGCCATCGATTCTGCTACTTGTTACTGGATCCTTCATTGTGAGTTCAAAGAGTTTCAGCTTCAGTTCAGAGGCGCAAATTATCAAGAAAATTGATGGCATTTGCTTGTTATACATGCGTAGCTTTTGATGGATGGAAGTGTGGCAGTTAATGGCATAAGAATTGTTTAGTAGCCTTTTCTAAGTAAAGTGCTTCGACATTGGCATTCCATTTTCATTTTTAGGAGTTTTTTCGATCCTTTTCAGATGCATAAATTATCTCCAGTGGGGACTGTTGTCAGAAGATTCTGGCTTTCAAACCCTTGGTACCCTGTTTAGTCGGTCTTGTTGTCAGAAATTCGTATGCACGATAGTCTTTATTTTAAAACATTGATTGGGTAACGGAGCCTGAACGAACAAGACAAATAAACACGAAAATTCAGTTTCTCTTCTTCTTCGATGTTCCCCTCCCTTTTTAGCCTCTTCTGCTACGTATCCAACCTATGTCTTCGCTTCAAATCTCTCTTTTTCACTCTCGCTCACTAATCACAACAACAACGACTTTCGTTCCAGACCCAAATTTCTTTCATCCTCGCAACTGAAAATGCTCCTTATTAGTATTCCGTTGATGGCCCATGTTTCAAAATGGAAATTTTGATAAAGAAAGAGGTTAAATTTTTTAAAGTGCTATTGGTTCATTTTGATTTAAACGGTTGAAAAGTAAGGCATCAAAAGATTCTTTTCAAAGGAGAATCCGGATTGTTAAAGCATCTTTGTGAATTGCAATTTCTCAATTGCGACTTACCCTCTCTTCACTTCCTAAAGGGGCTCAAGTCCCTTCCTCCTTGAAGACGCCTCTATTGAAAAAACGAGAAGTTACTGGTTGTTCGCGCTGTGATTATAAACTCCAGCCACTTCAAGACTGTGCTTTAGCATTCCAAGTATCATAAGATGATATGAAAATATTTACCTTCCTTGGATGAAATTAAAATGAAATCAAAATCACTTTTAAGCCCTTTCTTTGTATTTTTGCTGCCCTTTACCCTTTGGTTGCCCTGAAACAGATAAGGGTCAAAGGCGAGAGTCGCAAAGTTGTGGCCTAAATGCTTTCGCTACCCATGACTATTACATATAATCAATGACCTCTTTTATTCGCTAGGCAAATGTTTAGCAGTATTAATAAAGGAAAAACATGATGACAGGTAGCCACGTCCTAGTTTTGTGTAATTTTTATCGTGTGCTGACACGTTTTTGTTACCTAAGCGTACCCTTGTTGGCGGTGATAAGTAGCACAATTGATGTAAACCGAAAATGCGTAGTTGTAAGCGTAAAAAGGTACCGCAAATAGGCAAAGATCAGGTTAAGCTGACAACTGAGAAAATGTTTTTTTAAGAATCAAAAGGGACAGACTGTTTATTTAGGTCCACGGGCGTATGTGCCCCTTGTTAGAAGCAAAAAATAGTTGCTCTAGAAATAAAAACCCCTTTCCCTATTAACAACTGGGCGATTTTCGGATTATAATAGCTCTGATTCTACAGTTACATGATCGATGAAGGCTCCAGATTAATCCGTGGGAGCTCCTATAAAACCTTGTTTATACAGTGCCCAACTTGGCCTTTGAATCTTTGGCGCATTCCGTGGACAACGCGGGGCTCATTCGACGTCAACGCAAATATTTTGAAAGAAACTAGGACATCCCCCGTTGCAATCATGAACGCGATTCAGAAAAATAAATCAAGATTCTCAGAACTTTTTATGCTACTACAATGAGAGCACGACAGCAGAGAGGCCCCAGAGAATCATCTTAATGCCACAGTTTGCCGCCTATTGTTGACCAGTCCAGTTACAGTTTCGAAAGTTGGTATCTCCTACAAACCTGATCAACCCTGAATAGCTTCACGAGCGAAAGGTATCGAGAAGACCTCCTGGCACGCTTACGTCAAAAACAGAATTAAATTGAAGCAGTCCTGTTTTGCTTTAGGAATAGGTGCCTTGACTATGTTCTGAGTCACGCTGACTACACCGGCGCACGAGCACGCACACGATGAATACGCGTTTTGAAGTTAAGTGTCTGATTCGACGATAAAGTCGATAATAACGATAAGTTGCCGCTAATTTGGTGCGAAAGTGTCGTAACATTGCCACCTGATCGAGAATTCCTGCAATCGAAATTTGAGAGTGGATATACCAAAACAGTTCTGGTCGGTCAGAAATCCGGACTTATCCATTGAAGATCAATCACCAACTGATGTGAGACAATAATAGGGATCGCAGTTGATAAATAGCAGGGAACCCGCAAGGAGAGAAGTGCACTGCTCTTAAACGAATCGAAAACTAATGTAAGAAGATGCCTTCGCAGGGTGCTGTTCTATTCTGATCATGTATGTTCTTGAGGATGTCACGTTTGAGATGGAAAAGCAATATTTTTATGGTGCAAGAACGATAGTCTAGACTTGTGTGGTTTGGATCAAAAACACACATAGAGCTGTGGATGGCCATCGTTCGAATAATTACTCCAAAGTCAACTTAGTTACTGTATCTACGGACTTTTATCAATAAATCTGAAAACAATTTATCGGAAGCATTTCTTCAAATCAATGCTGCTACTTTGGATGAAGAAAGGAAGTTAAAGTGGCCAGCATTCATAAATTTTCGTGGCAGTACATATGACGGGTTGAGAGATGATGAGTTTAGCGTTCTCTTTCAAACAACACGACTTCAACACTTTAGAATATCGTATTGGATGTACTGCTCTAGATGTAATTTCAACAGCACAGTGCAACGGAGCGATTTGCGAACGAAATGATTCTGAGGCTGCCGGCATGTAATCGATGTTTTGCGTATACTCTGCTCTTTGCCACGTGAGTTCATTCATTCTTTCTTTAAACATTCATTCTTTCTTTAAACATTCATTTTTTCTTTAAACATTATATCGACAAATTATTCTTAGCTTAATCTACGCCTTTTGCCCATTGCTTGCCGCATTTTCAATTGATACAACTGTACAGATTAAAATGACCCTTACGACTGTTCCTGCTTTTTTGCAGGTTTGTATTTAACCAATTCTGTGAATCGAAGAAATTTAAGTCGACGGTAAGTAAAACCCTTTTCTGCTGCTTTCTATTGTATTTAACATCTCCTAGAATGTGTTTCATTTAGTTGAAACTGAGATTGTGGGCACACCGATATTCTCGAAACGTTACGTGCGCAAATTTTGAACTTTAAGATGACAAAGACATCCTCTGCGTTTTGCCATTGAACGTGGATTACCTATAAAAACTAACTAAGTTCTGTTTACACATAGAAAAAACACTAGTTCTCCTCTGGTCATTGTAGTTGTTGCCAACACACAGTTGCCATCCTTTTTGAATTACTGATGTCTTTTTGTTGATGGCTTGCTATTCGCCCTCAAAATATTTTGAGACCAGTACTTGACATGGTTTTGCGTATTGTGTGTAGTTCATCACCCCTGATTTTCTGAAATGGCCGATTATGTCTAAATTGATCGGTGAAGATTGGGTTAATAAATCTCTGTCCCTCAAATGCGTCGTTGTATACCCTAAGAATTTTATGATTGGATCTCTCCCCGTATCTTGTTGCCCTCAAAAAGCCAACTGTGATATAAATTGCCTGGTTATCCATAAACGTCAGAGAGAACTCGGACCGTTACTTTTGTGTCCTTTAAATAGTTCAGTGGTTTAAAGAGCCTGACTCAGTTGGTTCCTTTGTTATTTGGAAAACATTTTACGACTGAAATTGATCTCAGAGCTTATAGATTGTTAATTCGTATCATTATTACCACACACAGGCTAAGAGGGGGAAGGATAAATGCGAAAATGTCCATCTGCCTTCCTATTGCTTTGTTAGTCGTTAGAGCGGTCAGAGAGCGTCCGTTCAGTGCGCTTTTTTGAAATATTGCCTTAGATGTATCCTGATTTGTCAGGACAGTCTGTAGCTGCCCCTTTGAGGTGACAATGGGTTTGGTATCAGCGCGACGGCATTCTTTTGTCCCTCCGTCACCAGCACTCCTCCCAGCTTTAATTGGCATCTTTGGTTAATGCAAAATGTTATCGAACCCAGAGCTAATTATTGATTGTCATGTCTTTGGGTAGCAAATCTGATTGTGAATTAAGACGCGACATTAACAGTTAGCAATCAAACTAACATTTCCCTATTTACAATGCACGAATTCTCTTGATTTTCCCTACAATATTGAGCCCAGTAGCTTATTATCGCAACTATTCCGGCCGCCTGCCTTCACACGGAGGTCCTATTGTTTTCCTTTTCTCTATCGCGTTTTCCCACGCTTTATACCTCACTGACGTCCCTACGACGGAATCCGGAGTCGTATTAAAATTATCCAGCTCGTATCGAATAATTTGCAGCCAATTAAAGGAAACACCCCATAAATGTCTTCACTATTTTAGAAGGTCTACTTTTATCTCTGTAGTTTTGTAATGCGACTCTCCGCCTCAGATTCCCGCTCTCACCTGGAAGCCTTCGTTGGTGTCAAAGATTTCAAGATTTATCGATTATTGCGACCATTTAAAAGGAACATTATTGTTGTAACTATATCTTCCTTTTGCTGTTCTGGAACTCGCCCTCGTAAATTACTTTCTACAGTTGGCTGGCTAGTTCCGGTATTATGCGCCCTACTGGAAACTTAAATAAGAGAAGTTGATATCGAAAAGGCAAATAACAGAAAAATTTGTTAAACTTATATCGATAAAGATTCCCATTTAGGCCTAAGAAAACCACGTGATGGATAACACCGCTAACTTGCTTGAGGGACTTTGATTGAATCTGATTGCATATTGCGTAAATTGTCATCATAGGACAAAAGTCACTGGTAGAACATTGCCCGCCTATTGAGTATTCGGTTTTGGACCCAAGTTATCTGAGAAGAACTTCAAATAAAATGTCAACATCTCTCAAGAGGATTGACCAAAAAGAGAAGACAGCTTTATTTGCTATCTTGAACGAGTAGCTGCCTAGCAGTGTCTCGAGATCGATGCGCTTGAACTTAACTTTCTCAGCCGAAACAGTGCACTGAATTCCGGATTATAATGTCAATTTTCCGCAATTGGATAGATACCCCTTTGCGGACGGATTACTAAGACGCGATTATTGTCATCAGGAAATCTGCAAATTGCAAGGCCAGAAGTGTAAGCTCATCTCGTAGCAAGCTTTCATATGTCTGCTAACGGCATTCTTTTAACAAAGTTCTATGTTATTTAACTGCATTTTTAGTTTAACCTCATTTGTGACCACAGTCTTAAAAAGTTTGACCAGTTTGAGTTTGTTAAAAAACACAATTGCTTTCGAAAGTTACTGTATGGGGGCAAGCACCTCACGTCACATTGCTTTCAATTTAGGACGTTCTGGAGCTTTTTGAGGGGATGGGTAAGTTGGGTTTAAACCGAGGCTCACTGTGAGCTTTCCTGGGGCCTGGAACAAAAGTAACGTGGGTATATTAAAATGTCATGTAATGTTGATGGTGGAATACTCTCCGTTTTTAAATAGGTCCATACTACGATAGTACGAACTTTTACAATCGAACCTTTCACTGATGAAAATAACAGTTTCTCTTAAGGCCAACGCCCTTCTTCCTGAGGTTTGTACATGATTAATGCGGTAGGCCATCGAATCATCAAAACTTATGATAGCTTACAATGGCATCAGGACCTTGTCAACAATATACGTCACAGTTGTTTTACAAGCAGCTCGGCATTGACTTTTGGAGGAGGGTGAAATGGCCTAATGACTTTAACGAAAAAAGTGGCATGTTTACGGTCACTGGTATTTTGAGCCAAAAATTTTATGAGATCCTTGGCGTTATACGACAAATTATATTTGCAGCAATGGTTTTTAAGCTGAATAAAAGTATCAGGTATTAAGGAAGGGAAATTCTGGTATTGCTAGGTTAAGATATTGCTTTTGTTGGCTATAGAGGCTGTACTGGGCCCTAGCCATTTCCTTCTACAGGGATAATTTTAGAGCATTCACATTGTTTACCTTGCATACACACATGTCAAACGACGTAAATATTTGCAAAAGGATTTGTGCCCTCACGTTTCATTGCCTATGTTGGGAGCTCTTCCCCACAATTCTAGTTCTTTTCAAGAAAAAACACAGTTCGGTGTTCTAGAATTTAGTAAATGAATTGAACCCTCTTGGCAAAAAAACAGGATCGATAATCAAAGTCACAATAAAGACGACATTTTGAGTTCAAAACTGAATTTATCATTGTTGTTTTGCGTTGTAGAGAACAATACCTAGATATATGATTCACAAGTATTTGAAATTTATAGGTACAGATACTTGAATATCCTGAAGTTACATTCTCTGAGTAGTGTCAGACGAAAAAGCTTTCAGTATTTTTTAAACTGTTTACTTTTTTCAAAGCCATTTTCAAATTTTGTACCGCCAGAAAATTGTTCAAATTTATAGGTATTATTCTCAAACGATTAAGATTCCGGGTAGATCCCGGATGGATTCCTGCCTTTTTAAGCCACAATTGCAGGTCGCTAAAAGCAACTGCCATTTTTTAGCTTATTTGAGATAATAATAAAAAAATTTTGAAAGAGGGTCCAAAACAACTACACGCGATATAAAGAGGGCCGTCATACGTGTGTGCTTGCATGTCACAGTAACACGTGCATGTAACACGCAAGACGTGCATCATACAACACGCTACATATGAATACAGATAAGCTCTAGAATTGATACCTTTTGCAGGAAGGAACCTTATATTCGTAATAAATTATTGCTTAAGGGAACTGTGCCATATTTGAAAAAGCAAAGGATTATCGGTAAGCTGTAATAGAAATATTTCTACAACTGCGGTAGGTACAGATATAAATTGTATCTCGCTTATTTCACCCCTCCTTAGAGCAGTATTCCGTGAATTCCATCATAAGCAAATCTAATACATTCATAACAATTAATTCGGCAATGCAGGTCAGTTCCAGGAATAGTAGCAAAACTCTTTGAGGCCGAAGTGCTCCGATTGTCATTGCAAATTTGTGAATGTTCGGGCCTAATTCGCAGGTCAAAGACATCTTAGGGTGATAAGGAGCTGACAGCTTGTCACTGGTTGATACTCTTGTAGGTAAAACAAACACAATATCTTTCTCGTCGTTAGATGCCTTTTCGATGCTCATTTGATGCTCATTATGCCTCTTTTTCATACCTAGCGCAAAGCAAAAGAGCAATTTGAATTCATCTCCGACTTTTATCAGCGAATGAAATTCAACCCCAGCCATTTTGCAAGTGTACCTAACTACAAAGTCAGACTTTACTCAAAAGCAAGCGAATCTCATATAAGAATTCTAAGTAGACGCCACATCGACAGCTTGGGCAAAATGGGCAAGGACTGTAAGTATGAACAGCTAGTGCTATTTTTCGTTATCAAGTTAATCCTTGGAGTGTTTCTTTCACTAATTACCAGAGAAGGATAAACCGTTATCATCTGTTATTCGTGTGGCTGTCGTTTTAAGCCACCCACTACTTCTGTTCAGATACTGCGATATTGATATGGGTTTGAACTTCAGATAATGACGGTTACTCATTTGAATTAGGCTGTTGTTGGAACTGAGGCTGCATAATTTATTATTAGGCCAAAGCGTAGGTTTCAAATCTCTGAATGGCTAGGAGATTTAAATTCTCTATAGGTACCTTATTCTCTAATCAGAGTTCAAGAACTAGATGGCAAACGTGCCTAGAAACTAGGCTTACGTCTATTTTGCACGTTCCTTGAACTCTGATTAATCAATAAGGTATGGCGTGCTTTAATTTTTTAGCCAAACAAAGATTTGGAACCTGTGCTTTAGGCCAATGGGTGGGGCAGCATCTGTTATTTTGCATAGGCATTCCTTCTTGTCTCGTTTTTAATCAAACAAAAGTATCAAATCTAATTGGCAATTAAATAGTTCTACTCTATAATTTCTAATCCATTTTCCAAATTTATATCACTACTTTGCTCTTCCTTATTTTCCATAACCATTTGCCTATGTTAAAAACGATCTTTTGTTAATTTTCCTTTTCAAAGTTTTGCAAGTTCGTCTAATATGATCCTGTGACCCCAGGAAAACTATCAGTGAAGCATAGTACCAAGAATAGTTATATGCTATACTGGGCATACTGAGCAGTTTAAGAGAAATCCTTGAACGAACCTTATCATCAGAAACGTAATAATGACAAATATGGAAGCATTGATCTATCTGTACACTAAAATTCGTTAGGCAAATGCACACTGCTTCAGGCTTTGGAGAAATCACCATATTGTGCTAATGTTTGCTGGAATAAGCAGTAGATCAAGGACGTTTTTTAACTGTGACTTTCGGTGGATTTCGGTATTTGGACTCAGTTGTATTGTTTGTGCAGACTATATTGTTATTTTGAAGACATTTTGAGTTAAACACTGGTATCAGCAATAGATTCGCGTTCTAGTTCAGTATTTGACAACAAATGGGACGGTTTTTATAAGTGAACAGGGGAAATAACAGGAAATCCCTCGAGCTCGTCGAGCATTGTTGTCAAGATTCACTTCTTAGTATCATATAATCTGCGTTCTATATAAAGCACAGGTAAACATTGGCGCGTATCCCCAGATTCTTTCGAATCCGCGGAACGTTGCACAGAGACGTGGGTTAGTTTAGATAAGCCGTTTTTGCTATTTCACCGCTTCTTTTATGACCTTATCACTATTAGTACCCACTTTGTAAAACTTTGAAGCATTATAAATATTGCAAGCTGTGTACTGAAACGATTTTAAGCTTGTCTGCATTATCGTTTCTAAAAAGTTGTACTTTTTTGGGAGAAACATAATTCAAGCAAGGAGCCTTTCATCTTTCGGCCCAAATTATCTTTCAGCCAATGTATTAAGGTTAATCAACCTTTCTTCAAAGTAAGCTTTCTAATTTCCTCAAAGCACATTGAATGGATATATTTTGAAAGCTTCACCAACTATATAGGCTGTCTTAGGAATTCCAGAAAATGGGAAGTCTGGAAGCTAAATGTTTTCTTTTTCACAGGGTGGCCTTATCTCGACCCATTATTTGGCCTCGGTTTCACTTTGGTCGATGAGACGTCACAGAGCCCTACAACTTTAAAAAGCTATCAAAGCCCGTAAATACTTGACAAAGAGATATTTAATGTCATCAAACTGAAGTTCCCATGAAATTTATTAAGTTCTCTTTGTAAATCCAGTGTTGTAGGACTTCCGTACGTAATAAATATCGCTTGATTGTTCCCAATGGAGGACTGACATTCCGAGACGAATTCCAGGCCATGGGCTTCAAAGCATAGGAAGTCAAGAGCGCTATCCGCTCAATGAGGCCATGAAAAGGCTAAAAACATAAACAAGAAATCTTTGCATTCCTTTTAAGAACGGTTTGCTTTTACCAATGGGTCACATCAAAATTCGAAATTCTTGACTTGTTTTAAAGCCATTAAACTGAGACGAAACATTTTGCGGAGCAGGATATGACCTTTACCTTTCGATTATCTCGTTCGGTGCATTCATCACTGCACTCCACAAACTAACGTGGTTACAGATGCAAAATTGTTTCGCGAACTTCAATCAAACCATGCATTGGCTATTTATAGCAAGGTATAGCGTGTTCAAGAATCTCCCCCTAAAAAAACATTGAGACATTCGTGATATTATCGAATTAAGCAACGACCCTGCCATGCCATGTCACCTCTGTAATGAAATACTGTGAATTGCTAAGAATAAGTTAACGAAGTAAAGCCGAAAGGAATTATTACTTGGAATGATTATGTTGCTAGTAAAATTTCAAATAAAAACACGCATTTCAAGTTTCTTATAAAAGCTGTGATTAGAGTGCCTGCTGTGACACTTAAAAATATTGATTTTATTGATAAAGCAATAAATGTTTGACGCACAATATTCTGATTGATAAATAGTCTTTTTTATTCACACTGTAATGCCAAACGGTAGCTATACATAGGCTAAACATGGTATGTCGATGATATGCTGGGCTGTGGCTGTGTTCACAGAAGAACGATTTTGAATCTTTCCGCATTGCTTTGGTTAAAATAGTGGACCGCTCAAGGCTTTTGTTCTTTCAAGAACCTTTTAAATCGTATCCTCCTTTTCGAATACTGGAATGCTCCCAAACGCAATAGGAAATATATAACTGTTGGTACCGTTATCCGTATAAGTGAGTAAGCTAATCTGTTTGCATTTTTCATGATAGTTGCTTAGGACAGATGGTCATCATGCGTAGGTCGAGCGAAACGATCCCGTTCCCGTATGTTACAGAAACGTAAATTGTTACGTAATCGTTCCGTTCCAGTGTAAATAGTTAATTTTTTCTTTTAAAAATTTGGATCACTGTTAATGATATGCAATCGTTTAATTGTGAAAAGGGCCTAAATGATTTGATTCTGATGAAATGTGATGCGATGACATATTTGAAGCACAGTCGCAATTAATTATTTAATGCTGCCACGGATTCGAAGGTCACACTGATGTCGCATTTAATTAGGGCTTGATTTTCTAACCGCTTTTATCAAACTTGATGTGACAGAAATGCGGCCTTTAACTAGGCCTGCTTGGTTTGCTTCAAAATGGTTTTAAATTTTAAAAAGTTTTTATCCTTTTCCCTTCCGAAATCCCAAACTTTTATCGCCTGTCATGCTCTATATCGCCTGAAAAGCTAGCTCGAGCTTCCTAATCTTTTGAAACACCAAAATGTGCAGCTTGCTCAATTTAAAAAAGATTAAGGGCGCCAAACAGAAGTGGGAAGTCATTTCTCAAAATCAGTGATTGGATGATATGGATAGGCGAGAGATGCAATGCTCTTCATATGTTTTTTGGTAAAGCAGTGAAGTACTGGCAGATTGTAGCTGATGTGTACCAGTATATCAGTGTCGAAAAAGAAATAGGCCAAAGCAAATGAAAACGTTAAGAATGAAAGGGGGGCCCTCTCATTTGCGACACTCGTGTCACAATAGAAGCTCGGCCCAGTCCTTTTTTTCAGATCACTGCTGTCATGGCACAGAATCCATTTCATAGGCCGTGACTTACGATGCCATGTGAGTTGCTGCGCAGCTTCATCGCAACCAATGAGGTTGTCTTGCAGGTTGTCACATGACATTTTCTTGGAATTCTTGTGGCTGAGCTTAGGGCAAGCTATGGTTTGTTCGGCGCCTTTGTTTGGCAAACCAGTGATGAAACGCATCCTATGCGCACTGCTTAATCGTTTTCTTTGCCTGATCTTGGCAGGAAGTGTCTTAAATAGGCGGTTAGTAGTTGATTTAGCAACATGCAAACATTTAAAACGATCCATCAATGTACTAGAGTGTTGTACAATGTTATGGAAACAAGGTAACTCTGGATTTAACATAAATTTGTACATAGAAAGAATGAGCGAATTTTATAACAAAATACATCTCTCTCTTTCTTTGTACGAACAATTTTATTTCAAATTCAGAGTTGACAACGATATTTGAAATCATTGAATTTGAATTTCGATGTTTTCTTCGTTAAGATTGAAAACGACAGAGTTGCCCAAAATTAGGGGGGGGCTGGTTGTAGACAACCAATTGACATGACATGGCAACAAATTGACGTCAAAAATTGTCAGGAGAGTAACTGCCTTTTTGCCTGAGAAATGACTCTGTCCTAGTAAAATCTTGGCTATCTGTTTGATAGGGGTCCTGATGCTCTAGTTTGAGCCTTTTTTGCTTGGGCCCTTTTGACGATTATCAAGAATTTTGCTTGGGCCCTTTTGACATTCAGATTCACGTTTATCAAAATCTTTTGAAAACCTGGAATGTTGCAACTTTCAATTCAAGAATTCCAGCTGTAATTCTGTAGCATTACAAGGGGGTTCGATTGCGTGCAGTGTCGTTTGCTTTCAAATTGTGAATGACCTCAAGCCGTCCATAATCCTTCCACCATAATGTTTTTTCAGAAATCACGATTTTTTGGCCTAATCCTGATCCCATTTCCAATACCCGATAATAGGCATACTTGGCACAATTATAGTAAGTCGGAGAACATTAAATATTTGCACGTTGATGTCGGGTCGTCAGATTTAAGGAGTTTACTCTAGAATTAACACCTTTGTTTTCCAATTGAAAATGCCTAAGATTTTTTACTTGTATCACGAGAGCTGTGTCATATTTGCATCTCGAAAGTAAGGCAGTATCTTTTCCAATGTTCTGCCTTAACATGACAGCGATTTCATTGTTGAAAAAATATATCTTACACATAACCATGTTACCCAAAGTTCCATGCCTATCTTATAAAATTCATCTACCAGACTAACTGTAGGAGAAGAGCTCATTCCTCAATGAAAAGGAGAAGAACCTTTTCTATTCCAGTTCAAATGATTAAGAATATCAACCATAAGACAATGAACAAATCTAAAGCTACTTTACGAGCACTGAACCTCTCTCTAATTGCTAACTTGCAAAACAAAAATAGATTGTTTTCGTTTGCAAGGATAAAACTTTTCTCTAGTGTTGGGTCTAAACCAAGAGTTTCCTATGAGTCAGACTGCTATTTTGTTTAAATAGTGCCAGATCTGAATAAAATATCAGCATTACAGAGAGATGGCCTCACATCCTAGTGCCAGACCCCACTTTCTCGAACATTGCCATCAAAAACTCTATCAGTTTCCCATTGTGGTCCAGAGACGAAAGGATTTGCCCATTGCTCGTATGATCTTATCATGGAGTACTTTGAGATAAAGGTATTTCCGGAATAATCAAATCTTGCTAACTTTAAGCAAATTGATTTCAGAATTATAGCAGTTATGTGTTTTGATAAAGAAACATTTATTGCGGAGAAGAATCATCTAAAGATACAAACTGTAACATTTTTAATTGCATCAATAGAATTAGAATAATTCTTTGAAATGTGCTTAAAAGATCTTGAATTATGGAAAAGGTTCCCTCGGCGTCTTAAGCAGAGCCTGAGGAATCTGACAAAGAGATGTTACCAATTTTCTTCTATTGCAAACAGCCAGCAACTCCCTTTAGGTCTAGTCTAGAGTCAGTACTTCTACGCAGATTGATGACTCTGTCCCATATGTTGTTTAGAAATATTTGGAGCATATATGGTGAATAACACTTGAAAATATGCATGGTATTCGACAGATAACAAATAAAATAATCCTAGCCATTTGCAGGGTCGCTGAGAGGGGCAAGGGGGCAAATTGCCCCAGGGCTTCGAGGTCTAGGGGACCTCATAAAGTAATGAATTCCATTGTTAAGAATGGAATTAATCAGACGTAGCTAATAGATGTATAAAAATACATAAATATTTTAAATGATCGCAGAAAAATGACTGTCAGAAAAGTTCTGAAAAAGATTTTAAACTAGTATGAAGAGCTTTGTCACAAAAATTTTCTGATCACCCAACTCGCAGGGGGATTCGTCTTTTGCTTTTGCCCCATGGGCCTCTAAAACCTCTCAGCAGCCTTTACCAAAAGCAACAAATAAAGCAACCATTTTGTAATAATACACATGTTTGTTCGTTTGAAAGGACTTATGGCAGTGGCGGAAGTTGCAGGGGTGTGGGGGGGGGGGCGGCCGCCCCCCAGTTTTTGGTCAATTGTCGGTTTTGTCGGTAAAATTACGTCATTTGTCGGCAAATTTTCTTGCTTTTGTGGGCATCGCCCCCCCCCCACTTGAAAAATGAATTTCCGCCATTGACATATGGTGTCTTTTACCATTGCTTAAACCCATGCAAACGATGAAAAAAAAACAGAAAATAATATCCACAATCAGAAAAAAAATAAAAATAGATTCAGTGAGAGATAAGATAAATGAGTATTATGTTTCTTTCATTTAGTCATGAAGAAATAAAAGTAATTAATTCATCTATTCATTCATGCACTTTTACATTCATATATTTATTTCTTCATTCATTCATTTGTATATCATCCATTCAATGATTCATTCAATGATTCATTCATTCATTCATTCATTCATTCATTCATTCATTCATTCATTCATTCATTCATTCATTCATTCATTCATTCATTTTTTCATTTTTTGTTATTCTTCGCTCATTTGATGCGAGATGGGTCTAAAAGAATTAAAGGAATAAGAATGAAAGATTTGCCGAGTAATGCAAATGTTTTGGGTGACTCTAATTGACTAACTTACTTAAGTTGCACATCCCCATTTTTCCCAATTTGCAATTGATTCGGAAATAATAAGTTTTGTAGATGAAGCGGAAAGGGTTGAAACAAAGTATATGGCATTGCTACAATCAAAAGTAAATCTCCATCTTGTTTATCCAATGAATCGAGTATTTATAAACAAATATTTGCTTTCTCTTGATATTTTGTGTTAATATTATATTTAGCTACATTGTTTTGGGATAAGTCCTCAAGGGACAAGTCTATTCTTGGTCCTTTTGCCCTGAGACACCTCAGTCCAAAATAACATACCGGTCACATTGGGTTCTTCTCGATGTTCCTGTTGATAGGAGATAAGAACGTTGCTTCCTGAAATACATTGCTCACTTTTCAAGTCATCTGCGGGTCATTCGTATTGTTCAGCTATTCAAATTATTACAGAAATTATACATGAGCTCATTGGTTCATGTGGGGTGCTAGTGCTAAGGGCCATCTGTTGTCCGTGTGTAGCGATGAAAGAAGATTTTCATCGCTTCTCATCAAAAACACTTCTTATGATAAGTAACTATTTAGCCTTAACATAATAACTCCCCTCCCCCATCATTTTTTTGATTTGGCTTTTTTATTGCCTTTAGCTCACCAATCTGGCCTTCTTTTGTAAATCCAGTCTTGCAACCCTGACATACAGTATATGTAATCATTGCCTTCTCCCCTGTTAGCCTGAATTCAAGTATGGTCGAATGACATGATTGGGATAGAAATTTTCCAAAAATATTGGATGTAATTATAAAAAAATCTAGTGTACACAAAATCCATTCTATCAATGAATAAACCGTGCAATTTTGTACTTCAGTTTTGGCATTTTAGAATCTGCCCAAATTAAAACTAAGTAATCAATTTAAAACATTTTCTCTTTTGTAATTTTTCCTAATTTGCCCCCCCCTGTCTTCTCGTCAACGATTGGCTGCTTCAAACAATAGCCAGTTATCTTATTGCTTCATACTAAAGTATATATTTTTGGTGCTGTACTTGAGGCCATAATTTTGAGGTTTCGTAAACTTGAAGACAGGGGCGGGGCGAAGAAAAAGGGAGAGTCTTTTGCTGACTTTGGCTTGTTTGTCACTTTGTCACTCTGAAGTATAAATTCTGCTATATACGTAAGAACTGGAGACACCGAGGACACATGCCTCCCTCTTTCAGAAACAGAGGTAAAGTACCTATTTGCAAATCACGGAGGTGTCCCTTTCGCCCACATGTGTCCCCCACTTTTGAATTGCTTCCTACTTTTTTGAGTGTTACAAAGTTCAGTAACAAAGGCATTACAACTATGCCAGAGCTTGCAGCCCAGTTCTGTTGTTGAAATTCATCCACTATGATATTCTTGGTAATATTCCGCTGCTTGAGGAATGTCAAACAAAAACTTTTTTAGCACCAGGAAAATTCTTAATGCCAGCCCCTTTTTAGATTAGAACAGATTGCTCCTTTAACAGACTACTTGGCAAAGTCATATACCGCAAAAGCTCTATTAAGCCCCCTCTCTCTATTAAGCCCCTCCTTATCAAGCCAAGCCTTTAAATAAGCCCCTACTCTCTATTGAGCCCCCCCCCTCTTTAGCCTTTATTGACCAACATGGAAAACATGCGCATTTGCTGGGTCTCCTAACGGGTGTGATGATAATAAAATTGTGTGCATTATATACGACCCATGTAAAGACTTACTTGTGCGCCTAAAAAGTCATTTGAAATTTGTTTAGAAGGTGTCCCAGGGTGATCAATTGATACTAGTGATTTTGATGAAGATGAGGACCTTCTAGCCCATATAATTGTGACCTTATAATCTATGACCTTATAATTGATGTATTAGACTTTCGAAGCTGCCAGCGAAGTTTTCTGCGATCATTTGTAACACATTTTTATAACAAAATAATATACAAGGGTATTTTCATAATATTTTTTACTTCAAATTTTTAATAAGCAACCTTTCTCTAATTAGACCCCCTCACTTTTAAGCCCCTCTCTAGGACTGAAAAAAATAAATAAGCCTTCCGGGGCGGGGCGGGGGGGGGGGGCTTAATAGAGCTTTTACGGTAGATATTTTGTATACTTAATCGATGATTTGAAAAATAACGCGAGAAGATATTTTACAAAAAATGGCGCGGTTGCGGTTGGAAGCTGATTTGGTTGAGCTCCTCCTCATGCACTGCAAGGAATGCATACTGGTTTTAGCAATGAAAATACCGTCCTGTACCATCAGCTGAATCTTTCACTAATTACTCCCTGCAAGCATATGTGTCCCTAACTATTTTCTTCACAGCACCCTTGGTGTCGTTTACATTTTAACCACATCAATATAACCCAATTTCCCTCAAGCAACGAGTCCTAAACTCTTAAGGCTTTCACAGGATTTGCTCTGGCAGTACATGCATTTCCAACGCTCCTGTATATCCTAAGGAGACAATTTGCTAAGAAATAAAGGATTGTGAATAGAGAACGGCGGATTAAAAGTGATGTATCGTTATATGACAAGCGGAGACAATTTAAATGAAAAACGTTAAATTTATCTCTTCCATTCATGGATCAAATGTAAATGATACTGAACACGTAATTCGTTCGCCAAAAAATGTTTTATTTTTGGCAACTATTTGTCCAAATTAGATTCTGTTAATACAATTTAATCTCCTAGCCCCTCATAATTAATAAACTTCAGTAAAGTGATTCGATCCCCTACTTTCACACACTAGAAGTTTGTAACAGCAGCCATTGTTATAATTTACTAATTCTTACAAATGTTCAATTGCAGCAATTCTGATTATTGAGACGTTGGCTTTTGGAGTCATCAGGATTCGCGGCGAGCAAAGTGGCCTTTATCTCTGCATGAACAAGAGAGGACATTTAGTGGGCCGGGTAAGTTTCAGATACATTGCAAGTTGTAATGGTGACAGTTAGAATACGTTGGGTTTTTAATTGGTCCTATATGGTAGGGAAGATATGCTAGAGCAGGTATGGATAGGGACAGCGAGGCAGATATGTTAAAGTTTATATAGTAAGGCAGAGATTTATAAGAGAGGGAATGAAAAAGGAGGGGATTGTAAGGTCAGTGATGTTAAAGCAGGAATTTTAAAGAAAAGTAGGGGATGACTGGGCTGGGCTGGAATGGGCAGAATTGGTTGGAATTGGCTGGAATGGGCTGGAATGGGCTGGAATGGGTAAGATATGACAGGATAATGTATTGTAGAGTAGCGAAGATAAAGGGGGGGGGAAGAGAATTGGGAGCAAAGGATAGGAACATTTGGGAATTGTAAAGCAGAGTCATGATAGGATAAAATAAGAAACGGTATAAAAGGTAAGAAACTGTACTGTATGGTGGGCTAAAGTGAGGCAAAGTAGGAACAGCATTTTAGGCTAGGGTAAGGTGGGGTAGGATAGAGTAGTTTAGGTTGAGTTGAGTGAGGGTTTGGTAGGACGAAAACAATGAAGGTTTTACTAGTTTAAAAGAGAAGTAATTTCATTGGTTAAGGAGATGGAAAAGTGACAAGTCGCCTAAGTATTTATTTGTGACGGGCTGAATGAGAATGTGGGTGAACTTGCATACCAGACGTTGAGGAAATTAATATATTTTCTATACTTTACATGCTGCTATAGTCCTCTGAAGGGATAGGGATCTTATGAGATGACGAAGAATTGTGGCAAATACATTCCAATTATAACTACAATTGTACATGCTTGAACAGCAATTCTTCATATTGCCTTCACCTTATCTTCAACAGAAACACCTGAAGTTTTCGAGATGTGATTTCATGGTGGAAGATGACCACCCTAAGGCATACAAAAGATATGTCTCGCTTGCTTTTAAAAATAACAGCATTGCTTTCAACAAAAATGGAAGGCCTAGGACAGCCAAGCGGGTACCGAACCGAGAACACCGGTCGGTTTTGTTTTTGGAGAGAAGACTTTATACTAAGACAACCGGTTTTCCTATGAGATCACGAAGGCATGGCCAAAGGACTGGACAAGATCCTTGCAATGAGCAAAATAAATTACTGCTGTCAAGAGACTGGCTGGAATTTTGGAGGAATTATTGTACTAAGCGAAAACAGAGATCTTTTTTAAATCGAAAAGTGTCAGGCAGATAGCAGAATAAAAGGCCATAGAAGTGGGTTACCGCAGGAGAAGCAACTAGAATATGTGGCGGTTCCAACATCCAGTATGCGTGCTTTCCAATATGGATTGCGCTAGTGACGACAGAACAAGTTTTATCAGTTCTCTTGGAGAAAGAATTTACACGTGGAAAAAGAACGCATGGAGAGCACCGAATCTACGAAACGCGTAAACATTCAGCAAAATCATGCCTACTATACTGCTGAGCCTTATCTTTATTATTTGTGAAATATGGCGCAATAGATATGTGTATTTACGTATGCTCCCCTGACATATCATGTAAATACAAAAGAACATGTAGCAAAGATGTAACCAATGGAAGTATTGAGACATCTCACCGTGCTTGTCATTTACTCAACAAAGTATTCGGCACTTTGTTTAAAGCTACCCGTCAACATCGATTCTGTTGTAACCGATTGCTTGCGTTGCTCCTTGACAATACTCTGCCTGCTCAGCAGTAAGCTTTTCTTGGCTATTCGTTTTGTTGCTGCCTCGTTCGCAAGTCACAGGCTCTTGAATCTCGTTCTGGTGAGTAGATTACTGTATGACATAGATTGATGTAGATGCTGACTCATCACCAGTTTGTGCCACCCCTCACCCCACAATTACCCTTGCGAAAGTTGCTCAACTTCTGTCAACATTGATTGCGCCTAAATGGATAAAAGAAAACTGGACCTGTTTATTTTAGTATTAGAAAGGTGTACACCTTATTTTGTCAACTAAATATTTTGACGTATGGTTGGTTTCATTAAAAATAGCGTTTACCGATTTCTGAATTGGACGCGTGTGGTACTGATGTAAATGCTAATGACGAGAACAGTTCCAAAGTTATGTAATGCATTGTTAATTCTGCTTTATTGAGAAAAAATCTATACTCGAATTCACGGAGCTATTGCGCAAACGTTGCTAAATTCTGTTTGAAACATCAGGACACGTGAATCAATGTGAAATTGCTATTCTTAGTTTTCTTTGTCCCCGTGTGTCGTGACAAAATCATTGATTCAAATTTATCACGAGGAAATGGTTGTCTAACCGGGCCAAGCATACTTTGTGTAAGAGAAACGCGTCGGCTTGAGCCTGTTTGCTTTGTATCATCCAGGATTATTTTGCCTCCCGAAATGTAAATCCTTTGATCGGTAAAATCAACCTTCCAAACATTTTCAAATGCAGAAATTCGAGACGCCCGCTGCAAAGCAGTAATGATATTCTGTTCATCGGTGCCTTTGAGCCAATACATACTGGTTTTATTTCAAATTTAGCTAATCTAAAATTTCTACAAAGTTAATTCCTCAGCAATTCAGAAGTGTAAACTGAAATGTGGATCTGTCTTTGATTTGACTCGTTTTCCACCAAACTATGCGGCAAATTTCCTGATCAGCCATTTAAACTCAGAGAACAAAGTTTTATCTCGTATGGAGCCAGAAGACTCGATTTGACCCTCAATGCAACATACGTGATTAACATCTCTCTAACATGGCTGCAGGCAGGTTCTCAGGTCGATAAAGTCACCTTAAATGGCGCCGATGTTCTCATCTCGCTGTTAGTCTTGAACTTTAATTATATTCCTCCATTAAGAAGAAAAGCACTGTAGATCAACCGTTTAAGCTTACTGGTATCTTTTGTATCTGCAGCATTTCCAGGTAGAAAGAGCCTTTGTTTCTCGTGACCTAAACAGCGTTGTAAAAGCTGTTAAAGAAATCTGGCGATCACCAATAGTGGTAACCAATACGAGGCTTAACGGCCCACAGTTAGGTTCGAATTAGTTCCAGCTGTCATTGTTAATCGATGTTTCTGTAGATGTCAAGTCTTCTTAACTTAGTGCATGGTTAATGCGCCTTCCCGGAACAACGCAGCGTCCTAGGTGAATACAATGCTACAAGATTGCTTAAATGAAAACTGTCAAAAGGCTAAAGTTCATTGTCTGCTTAGCTTTAACCTACTATTTATTCCATTTCCAGATTTATGTCCTGGTTTTGAAATGAATTTTCCGTACAATTTGTAAATGAAATCGCTTTGGAGTCATGGCGGAAGAATTTTTGTTATTAGCACCATGCTTAATTAGCCTCCTTTTGACAACCCACAGCTTATCTCGTAAGCACAATTAAGTAAGCACAATTAATTCATTGGCCCCCCTTTCCTTGGTCATGTTATTTGAAATCGTTCCAGTTCTGCTTCAGACGTCTCCCGGTTCATCGAACTATAACTCCGCAGTCCGTCCCTGGTCTGTGTTATTGCTGTTTAGTATCAATCCTTATTTAGATCCTGTCTCGTTTGTTGTGCCTTTGTGTTACAATTTTCGCAGATTTATCTTCCTCACTCCTTTTTGTATTGTATTAACCTTGTATCTTACTTACATCTTTCTGTGTAACAATTCCTTTATTTCATATGCTATGATTTCCACATTTAACGCTGCATCTTAAGCAGGCTTGAACATTAAGCAAAACCTGTGCTCACTTATCGTTTACTTGCACAGGAGAGAACCATTTTTCCCCTAAAGCATCTTCAAGCAGCTAATTCATATACTTTGTAAATGTCTAGACTAAATGTCCTGTCAATTACGCTCGTTTACTTTTCCTGAGATGCAACTTTCGGAAAATATATATTTAAGGGCCAAGTATTTAATGGTTAAAATGCCTTTAAATTTCATTTCATTGTAATTGAAAATATATTCCAGTTATTAAAGTTCTGAGACGTTGATATAGTTAAATTTGTCTGTTCTTTTGTTGCCTCTTTCCATTTTGGAAGTTCATTGTTTATATTTTTACAATCAAACTGATTTTCGTAATAAATATAAGGAATTTCCCGAAGAAGTTGAATGATAAAACAGCCACTCACGATGAAGGCATAGCAAATGGCTCTTACAATCAGGGCCGGTTACATGGGGGGGGGGCGTAACAACCCCCAAGAATAGACATTTGTGTTTTAGTAGGTTAAATTGGGATTTCAAGAAGGGTAGATAGCGTTTTTCAAATTTTCAGACAAAAAATTGTACTTCATGTAATTTTTAAATACATTCAAAGATATTAAAAAGTTCTGCAGTTAAGTTTTTCCGTTGATCCAGAAGAGGATTTTCGGAACATCACAGAAGAAAATTAATCCCAAGAAATTTGACAAAAACAGAGACAATCTTAGTTTGGGAGATGCATTTTTAGCCATCCTAGAAGGCTTAATTTCAAAAAATTTATTTCGCATCGGACCCAGCCATGGTGGGTCCTCCCTCCTATGTCACTAAACTTGATTCTTAGTCCCCCAGGTTCAATTTTGTGGCCCCCGTCTCTGAAACTGCGAAACACAATGCTCTAGGATCGTCTACAATCCCTTACACTAATTTCATGCGAGAAGTGCTTTTAACAGTACTGCTGAACACGAGAAGTGCTGTATAACCCTTTATGGAATGATAAACTAGGGATGTGCTACTTTAGACTAAAATGAACAAATACAAGTAATCGCGACCTACGTAAATGATCAGAAATGCTGACACTGCACTATCACAGCATCTATCGACCCTTTTTTAAATTTTGTCTGAAAATGCTTTAACTGGCCTTATATCCAAATACATTAGCAACATCACATTGAAACGGGAATTTCTCAAAACAAACAAGTTAAATCATTACAGTACAAGAGTATTCTCTCCATCTTGGCTTTTACTCAACACTCAACAATATCTAAAAATCGATGCTGAAATTTATGTCTCGTTTTTAAGGGCAATTATGTGCTAATTTGGTACTAACATCTCTTCCTTTTCTTTTACACTCTAATTTTCTTCCAGCCAGGCTGTTTTAGTATCAAATTTTTTTTGTAAATCAGCGTCTTCTCACATCTCTACCTAGAGTGTACTCTATGTGCTCTCAGCTTTTCTTATAAACTGTTGCTGTCAGTAGATTTAGTTTATAAAGCAAGAAATCTTAAAATGATAGATGAAAAGAAAGTATTACTTTAATAAACAAGTGACATTTAAAAAAGAAGTTCAAGTTTCAGTTCTTGTTCCTTTGTAGCCTGATAACCAGTCCATTATTCTACAGGAATAAGAATAATTGTAATAACTTATCTTAATAATTATTATAATAACTTGTGCGATGATGATTATTCTGCCACCACCATACCGAGGCCCTTCTATAATGGCAAGTCATGTCCACTATTGTTGTTGTTGTTGATGACAGAAATGTTTTCCGTTTTTTGCTGTTACACGTAGCACCGCCACCTGCGAGTTTATTGCTCACTTCCAGCATTTTGATCCCCAAAAGTCGCTTCATACTTCAAAACGGACATATTCAAATGCTCTTTCCAACTGGCGCCACAGTTTAGTGGCAAGCAGCACAATGACGATGCAGAGGAATGACAGGGATTGGTCATTGCTCAAGAATGAGGTGCGAATCCATCAATGTTTATTTTCCCCGTCCTGTCAAATGTTATTGACAATTCGATACTAGACATATTTTTTCCTATTTGAGACTGATAACAGGCATTAGATTCAGGCTTAAAGCAAGACTTGTTTGAATCCAAGTCTTGCTTGTATCGCTATTGTATTGCTCTCAGCTCGCGCAAAAAAATGTTCTTGAAAGCAATAGCAAAAGTAAATGTTGCATATAATACTTGCATATGCTTTCAGCTACCCTGGATTTTTGTGCTCTCTGCTGATCTACAATATCAGTCAAGTCATGTTTATCATACTGTCATGTACAGGCCTTATGTGTCATGACGCATGCTAAATGCCTTCCCTCGCAGGTCGCAAATGATAATGTGCTGTTAGTCGCAGCAATGCATACCCAAAGTCAAACGTCATGTCTTTCAACCTGAACAATATAGTTTGTATTATAATGACTTGTTTCTTTAAATATTGCTATGTGCTGCATGCTAAATGCCTGATCAGAATGGTAGGTATGGCACTTGCGCATCCATAGCTTTATAAAAAATAATAAATGCACTGAGTTAAACAACTTTTTGATATTACTAATACTGCCCTGCTATTTCTGCAAAAAATATTCCCCATTCCTGAAGCCTAAAAGTCTTGATTTTCAACTCAGTTATGACAGACCTGCAGATTCTCCAAGTGCCTCAACAACAAGCTAAATTCTTGCAGTACCAAGCTACCATAAGCTATAGAAGGAGCAACCAGGAATGGGGGTACTAAAAAGAAAAAGAAATAAATTGAAGGCAGGTTAGGGGCCAGGAATGCCTCTGTTCCTTGTGCCAAAACAAAATTAAGTTTATATATAACATATAACTATTTTGGTGAGAATCAACCAATGTCTACAGGCAAGTTGCTGGTAAAAGTTTTACTTATATCTTTTCATTCAGTACAATATATGCAGAAAAAAACTTGAAAGTAAAAAGGAAGGCATAAAGATTCTGATGAAAGACTTGGAAAATTGTCAAATAGAAAGAGATATTTATAAAAACAAAGTGTGCCAGCTTGTGAGTATTACATACTTCTGTTTTTCCTGTTTCATATTTTGTTCCTTACAAACTTTAGGTAAGAATCATATGCTTCATAGATGAATGTTTGTATATTGTAAGCAGCTTTTGTTAAAGACACTAAGCGCCAACTAGATACTTAGCTATTTTAGTAAAGAGGTCCATGAAAATTTAGCTATGAACATTGAATTTACCCTAGCATTAAATATTTATGAATAAATTGTCTGAGACTGAGAACAACTTCAAGGATTGTTTCATTTCAATTGTTCAGAGAAAAGTCTGCAAATTTTTAAAACAATCTCCTAATATTCAAATTTTCACCAAGTTATAAAGTAAATTTTGAGTCAATTGTGTTAGATAACATAAACTCCACCATAATGCATGATAGGTAAGCAGAAGATGATCATCATGATATATTTGTATAAAGTTGGAAAGGCATTGTCACTTTGAACAAATGAGGAAAATGAAAAAAGTTCATTGCAGGGATGAAATGTCCGTGTTTTGCATTGCTTCTGCAACTACTTATGCAGCAAAATGAATAGATGATGAATAGATATGCACTGCCTGAACTGAACTGAAATCAAATATACCTAATTGATAAAATTAACCTGTTTTATATTTGATAAAATTCAAGGCAACCCAGGAATATATTTAAAGCAGATGTTGAAATATATTTGTTGCTGTAGATATAGTATGTTGGTATTCTTAGATGCTGTCTTATTACCCACTTCTTAACTTTGTTTACTAAAACATATGATGTTGACAATCCTTATTTCTCTTCTCTGGTGCTTTCATGTTATCAGCCAAATAGTTCATAACAAACCCAATTTTTCAAAATGTCTTTTACAACACTGAATAACACCTTTCTTGAAAAATCGCTTAGACAATCTATTCAATATTGTAAATATGAAGTCTGGAGTTAAAGAATCATTCATGTTACCAGTGGTTTGATTGACTTGATTAAACTGATAGTCAACGATCAATGTCACTTCAAGAGCCTTTCTTAAATTGTACGCTTTGTTATAGCAACAAGAGCTAGATGAGCTGAAAGAACTTGTCGGTGACCATTGGAGAGGCAGTTTGAAGAATGGATCATTGTTTTCATATGAAGAAAATGCAGATAAAAAGATAAAGGTGAAGACTAAACTATATTACTTATTGATGCAACCAGATAAAAATATCAAACAAAATTATCAATCCATGTTTAAGTCTATATATACATCAACGAAAGTCATTATTTACAGTTTGAACTAGCCAAAGATAGATTTGTCTACCACAAGTGATTTTCTGCAATCCTTGTCAATGACCCTGGAGGACAGATATAAACAGGGGTAAAATTAGGACTACACTGCTTCAAGAGTGACTTATCTTCTCTGCTCTGCCATATTCTACTTTTCTCTGCTGACAATTGGGGTGAGCCATCCTTTACTTGCTGACTGCTTCAAGAGTGACTTATCTTCCCTGCTCTACCATATTCTACTTTTCTCTACCAACATTCGGGGTGAGCCATCCTTTACTTGCTGACTGGTTTGAATATTTGCCAATTAAGCACCCTCTAGAGGGCAACAGAATTTTTTTGAGGGGACATCACACTCCTAATGTCCCCCTATGTGATGACCTAGCTGCACTATTCAACACTACCTTTCTCTACTCTACTTTTCTTTACTTCACTCTACACTATGCTCTTCTCTACACTCTTTTCTTTATTTGCAATACTCATTTTGTTATACTCTGCTCTTCTCTATTTGTATCTTAATTATGTAATAGGTTGTAATGGCTCAACATCAGCGAAGAGTGATTAGTTTGGTGACTCTCTGCACAGTCAGATTGCATATTTCCCTAATGACAAACTTTGACTTGTACGTATGATAAATTTTTTTATTTACCTACTATTCCAGACTCTCACACAACTGATTCAACATATACGGAAAGAAAACCAGGCTCTGCGTAATGATTTGAGCAGTGTGAAGCAACTTTATGCTGAGGCACAGCAAGATAATCAGTTACTGAAAGAAACTTTACATCAACATGAAAGCAGAAAAAAGGAATCCACTTCTGAAATGAATGGAAAAATTAGATTAGTGGAACAGTTGGAGGAAACACAAAATAAAGTAGGTGATCTGACAATCTTATTGAATATGAACCATAGTTGGTAATTATCGCTTTTTTTCTTTTGGCTTCTCTTTTTCCATGGCAAATAGCAATTTATGGAACCTTTTTTAATTCCCTGGATTTGAATTAATGATCTTAAATGCTTTTCTCAGTATTTGATTCTTAAAATTTTTTTTGGCAGACCTGACTCATGAAGATACAATGAGGCTGGTCTGAGCATTATTTGTAATAATTATCTGCAGTTTTAGGCAGCCAAATATATTCTGCAGGAAGACCGAAGCTAATAATTTTCATCAGTGCCCTAAGGCAGCCATCACCCTATTTTGTCCGCATGTGGTGTAAAATGGTCCTAAGACATATAATGCTAGGAAATAGAGCAAGGAATTGCATACAAAGGATGGTTTGTGCATAGTTTGGGTTAGATTTGCTAATGATATAGGCCGATAGTGGATATATATATTATATAATATAATATTTGCATTGATAATTGAATTACACCAGGACACTTCTCTCAATTTCAAATTTGTTTTTGAATTATCCCAACACTTTTGTAACTGATGCTGAAAATCAAAATTTTAGATTGAGGAGCTCAAAAATGATATTGAAAATTTAAAGGAAGAAAAAAATGAGATAGAACAAGAGGTAAGTTTTTCAGTTGACTGCGTGACTAGCAGGAATATTAAATCTAAAGACAGCAAAATCAACTTAATTGTTGCTCGATTTGTTGTAAAATTTATGTGGCTTAGAGTCAGTTCGGCTTTACAAATGTAGCTCTATGCAGGGTCCAGAAATCATTGCAGTTTCCTAGCTGTGAGAAGGAGGAAAGTCATCAAACAATGCAGTTGTTTTGTGGAAGGCCGAGTTTAACTGGAAAAGGGCATATGAATAGTTTAATCACCAAACCATAGGCAATGCTACAATGCTACGAAACTTTTATCCTAAAGACAAAAAAAATTTGTGGAAAGAAATTGGACAAAATTTCATCCGGAGGAAGGTCCAGGTGTTTCTCAAGTTTGATTATGTATATTTCCTTGCTTGCATTGGTTTATAGAACAGTTTTTCACATAGGAGTTGCCTGATCGTTTCATTGAAGGTGAAACTTAAAGTTCCAACATAGTGCCATACTTTTCTATACACCAAGTCCTGTACAGCTCTGTCTATAGGATCAACCACTCTTCAATAATCCAATAAACAATAGTCTTCATCACACCCTATCACCTTGTATTTTTCATTATTAAGTTGGCAGCATAATTTTTATCTTTCTTATCCACTGTAAAAATTGACAGCGCATTGGTTGTTTTGTGTTTTAGTTTTAGTAATATTTTTAACCATTTCATCCCAGCGTGACCACTTCAAAGAGAAAACCCTTCGCCTGAATACACAGCTTAACTATGCGCTTCACAACGATGACCGCCGTATTGTTGATATCGATGCCCTTGTATTAGAAAACAAGTAAGTTCTTACTTTTTTACTTTTGCCTTCTTTGGCCTTACTGTTGTAATCACCTGAATTGAATTTTTTTATTCTTATTTTTCAACTACAAGACCATTTAAGATACCTAAACTATGTAAATTGTACAGAAGTTGCGTTTAACTGTTTAGATGTCACGTCTTCTAGGAAACATTAACCCAAATTTGCACAAACAACTAGATGTATATCAGATACTGTCTGTTTAACCTAACGCACCATCCTGTTAAAGTATACTGTCATCGCTATATTGTTCAAAGATAATTTTGAACCGCGTACTTCAGGAAAACACCTTAGAACATGAGCAAAATTGGTGCAGCCGGTTTGTATCAGGAGAACTAATTTGGTCAATCTCTAGCATACCGACTCTTCTCTTCTGACAAGGGGCGTAGTCTGCGGGGGAGGGGGTATGTGGGGGGTGTACCCAAGCAAGAATGGTCACGCAACACCACTGCTTCTTACATCTCTCTATCATCCCGTCACTCTCAACGCCTGTCTACCTTTCTCCTCTCTTCTCACCCCTCTCTACAAACCCTCTCCACCGTCCCCTGTGTATCGACCCCTCGTATGCATTGCTTTAGACTTGGACTGATGTGTTTGTTTTGCTGCAGATATCTAAAAGAGGTTTCAAAACAGTATAAAGCAGAAAAGGCCATGATGGTTGCATCGGTGACAAGGTACAAAGAAGCAATTGATAGGAGATTTAACAAGGCTAGCAGGCTGATGGCATATTTGGATGTCCCCTTGTCTTTCAGGGAAAGAGGCAAGCTCTTTATAATTATTCTACATAGTTAAAAAAATTACATCACATGTGTTGTCGAAATTATTGTGCTATGTAAGCAGTATGAAGAGGGGAGTTGGTTGTTTTGCCATACTCCACACAGCTTGTTGTATTGTATGTTACCCTTACATTTTCCCCTGTTTTCGAGACGAGGACAACCAGAACGTATTGGATAATGGGACCCACATCTCGAACCTGCCTTGAAACTCTTCTGAACTCTTTTGTGTTCGCAGCATTTGGGAGTCATGGGTCTCCCGCAAAGGAATCGAGGCAAGAAACTGTTAACGAACTGCAGCGACTGACAACCTCTCTCACAGAGTCACTGGCTGACAAGGACACTGCTCTCAAGATTCAAAAAAAGACCAATCGGTAAGCGGATTTGTGTCCTGTGATTTAGAGTCACCACCAATTCGTGCTTTTTCAGGAGAATAGAAAGAATTTTCATATACTTTAAGTGTAGCAAATAATTACTAAAGGCTCCATTTAGTTTCTTTATATGGTCCGTACGGGATATAAAGTATAAAGTGTCCGTATTCAGGAGGTCCTCTATTCGCGGACAACTTGCGATAGCGGACGATAGCCAAGCATTTTTCCCTGAGTCTTACTTCCTTGCAGTCAGATTCCCTCTAGCAAAGGGATACCTCCTTACGGTGGACGGTAGCACTGGCCCTAAATGTGCACGCCAAGTGAAGTCAGGTGCAGTGGCCTAACGCCGTTTAGGCCACCTTATTTCTAACTAAGGACCCCCGACCAAAAAAAGCCTCAAAATTATATTTGTATCCATGTTACAACACCTTATTATCAAAAATCTAAAAAGCAACTTAAGCCAATAACTCCCCCCTTGCTTTCTATTGTGTTTGACATGCTCTACACCCTTGGATTGGACTTCTTGCAGTCCGTAAATAGGAGGCCCATCTCAGTTTTTCCTTAGGGCCCCAGGTTTTTCCGTTACTCCAAGTGAAGTCATGTGTCTGATAACACGTGATATTTTGACACTGAAACTGTGGTGTTTCTTTTTACAGCGTGCTTGGAATGCGGGTCAAAGAATTGGAAAAGAAGCTCAGGACCCTAGAAATATCAGGCCTTTGGTCGTTCCAAGGTATGTTATTTGATGTTAGCTAGCGCTGGCCATATTTGTGTCTCTTTTTCATTACGCAGCATCATTCTACTGTTTCTGTTTGTATAGAGTCATTACTCAACGTTGTTAAACCTCATTACAGTGCAAACGTATTTAAAGAGTGTCAACAATTTTTTCTTCGTTAGGCAATCATGAATGCTCCTTGCATTGCTAACTGTGAAAATGATTATGATCATTGCTAGAATATGATTCATAGCTGCACTTTCATGTGTACATTATCTGTTACTTCTGTCGTTCATATCTAGCAAATCATGGACAAATTCCTTTCAGATTCTGCTCAAAAAGACAAGCTTTCATCAGAATCATCCCCCCTCAGCACGGGCGCTGAGAAGGCAATTGATGAAAAGGAGTCCGTTCATAGAAATGCTGAGGATGAAGTAGAGGCTAGTAACGACTTGGAGGATACTTGTTGGGACCCGTACTGTGAACAACTGCACGAGTTTCAGGATAAGGATCATCGTTGCAGCGAAACCTTGATTGATCTCGGGGGTTGTCATTCCAATGACAATAATGGCTACAACGTGAGTTCTTCTGATTGCACGAGTTTAGATTTGAATTCAGATATTTATGACGTCAGTGTGCAGTCTCCTTTGACAGTAAGGGACGATTTTCTTATTGGAGTAAAGAGTGATTGCAATGTTCTACGAACTAGCATGCGAAGAACCCGATCTTGCCCGAATTCGCCGTTGCAAACCCCAAAGGAGTCCCGTTAGTTAGTATTGAGGGGATATGCATAACATTAGAGGGCCTGACGGACGATGCTGGCAAATGTCCGACTGTATTACCCTAGCCTAGAAGTAAAACCATGCTTTTCTTTATCTTTAACCCTTCGCAAAGATCAACTGGACTTTTAGTTGCTTTGTCAAACTGTTCAGAACTCTGATTATTAAGCCGACATTGTCAGCAGATCTTTCAAGAAACAATCTTTTGCAATCATCATCCATTCATTGTTATTAAAACCTCCATGTTTCATTGTCAATTTATCATAACATGAAACTCATATATACATGCTTAACTTTCAATAGTCAAATCCTCATTTTAAGTCTCTATTTCATTTCATATCGTTTTCTTTCCAAACCGCTTTAGTGACACACCATTCTTCATGGAATCCAGCCATTCTCTTCACAGTTTGCCCTTTCCATCATCAAATAACATTACAGTCATCATCAAAACATTGACCCATAAACCATCAATAGAGAACGATGACCATTCTCTCACAGAGCATATGGCTCAAGGAACAATTTGTTCCTTTTCACGATTGTTCATTGTGCGCAATAATAGTTATTCATTTTATTATGAAAACATAATTAGATCCAAACAGAGATCGTTTGTCTCTTTGTTCTGTAGCTTGCGGCTTGTTTTCTTAATTGGTCGTATATGTATAAAATTTCTTGTATCTCTTTGAAGAACTGCGCTTGTGCTCTGTGGATATTGAGCTTAGAATACCAAACGTCCCGTGCAGTAGATACTTTTTAGTTGAAGATGCCATGTCTTTTCTTGCATTGATGTTTGTTAGCTATCCTGTTTGTAAATTTTCCTCGATTTTCACATCATTGTTTTGCGCGTCAATCTTTTGGAAGCAGCCCTGAAATCTTAAGCATCTTTCAGCGGAAGGCGAATAAAGCGAGAATTTTTTTCTTTATTGGCACAAAGCGCTACCTAAGGTAAAAGATGCTAATCAATGATATGAAAATTTTGCTGAGAAACGTGGCAATCTTTCTTTTTAAATTGTGCATAAGGCGAGTGCAAAAGCGCTAATGTCGAAAACTGTCTAAAAGGCTTGATACTATCTTTGGCCTGTAAAGGAAATTGTACGGCAAAAACGGCTGACCAAAATAAGCAGTTTGCCAGAATCTGATCGCATGTGCTTGTCCTATGCTTCCACTGCAAACCCTCGATCATGTCATATGTTTCATTCTTATAGCAAAACCCCCTCAAGCCCAGTTCACCACGTTGTGACCCTCCTTGAAGAATTGTCTTTAATATTTCAGTCTTGACTTGTAAGCCTGTAAAACGTTCGCATACCCAGTAGAGACGTTAAGGGAGTTTGGTTTCTTTGTTCATAAAGCAGTCTTGATGTTTCTAAAGAATTATTAATTATTTGAATACAACATTTTCAAAGATCTTCTCTTTGTTGCATAATCTCAAAGGACTGTCATCTCCACCACGGATATCAGATATAAAAAATCAATACCAGGAAGAGCTTTCATTGACTCGAGTGAATTGTTCGTTTAACGTTGATTCTATTTCTATAGAATCATTATATAATAAGTTATTTTAAGCTAGTTTCCCGGTATTTCTGATTTGATGTTCCGCATGTTTTCTTTACATTCCAAAATGCATTTTAAGAAATTCTTACTATTCTTGGTAACAAGAATTTGCTCTTTTTGTTTTATAGAAAATGAAAGATCTTTTTTTCAATTCAAGTACCATCTTGATGATACAATGAATTCTTACTTGTGATTACAGAACAACTGACCAAAAGATGCTTTAGAATTAGCAAAATTTGTCTGCTTTATTAGATTTCCGCTTAAATACTTTAGCAAATATAAAATATAACAGTGGTCAGTCTTTTGTACATGTTACGAACTTTCGTCGTCCAAAGAGCTTTCTGAGTCATCGTTCTGAACCGCCCAGGATTGAGGCTCACCGGACACCAGGATGCAAAACATTATTGATCCGGCCAGATACAGGAAAAAGGTGATCCAAAACACCATTTGCCACTGTTCTCGTTTCTAGAAGCAAACAAAAGACAATGACTCTTCATTCACGACTTGTAACAAAATATTCAAGTTTCATTTTTGCCCTAGGGCAGTAAGAATGGTCCCATGACGGTATGTATAATCATTCCTTTAATTAGCAAAGTTTATTGACAATTTTCGTAGAAAACATTTTACGACAACTTGAGGTAAAAACATAAACTGAGTTTTTATGTGTTTACCTTGTCTTCTGTCATCACGCCTACCAGCAAAGGACTGAGGAACCCCGTGATTGTTCCTGCTGTATTGCTGATGCCCATTACGATGCCCGATACGCCGGGGGCAATGTCAAGGACATTCACTTCATAACCTGAGTGCATTAGGCCAGAAAGAGCAACCCCTACGCACATACTCGCAACGGCCATCATTGCTGACGTTGTGTACCCAGAAATAACGATCATCGTTGCTGCACACATGGCACCTGAAATACAATTTATTTGAAGTTAGTACCCCGACCTGCTTGTCTAAAGCGTCCTAATATCCTCAATGTCCCTCTTCGAAACTTTTATCAACAGAAATATATTCTTCCACACTCACCAATTACATAGAACACTCTTCTGACATTCGCCGTGCTCATGTAGCCATTTCTCAAGATGTCTGCCAGCACCCCTCCTACAGGGCCAACTATGGCTTTCAGCAGAAAAGGCAGCGAGGCAATGAACCCCATCTGAAAAATAAATCAGCCTCGAGGTTTTTTCAATCGTATCAATTCACGAGAAGCTTAAAACTTGATTTCTTGAGAAAAAGACAATTTATTTGGTGTGGATCCTTTGCAACATTAGTACTGTCCTTTCCCATCCAACCAAAATTCATGTTTACTGTAACCAAACTCGACTTCGTGCTCGCCCATTTGGGAAGAGTGGATTTCCCAGGCTATGGATTCCCAAGCAATTCCTTTTTGTTCGGGAAACCAAGAGGAAAGGTAGTGCACTGCAAAAAACAACCTGCTGAAATCACCTTGAACACCACGGAGTTCTGTTTGTACATATTTGTTTCATTTCCTAATTGCTACTACTTCCCCCCTGCCATCCTCCCTGAACTAAGTAAATTATTCAGGAAAATATATACAATACCCACGAAAAAGATTGTTTTTATCCCGTCATTTTGTAGTGAAGCAAGGGGATAACTTAAGTCTAACTTTAAAACTGATGCAACCCGAAATAATTCGACAGAGCCATACGAGTTTCTAAGTCACATTTCACATAAACTGGCATAGAAATATTTATTTTTACGAGAAATATTTAATATAATATTTAATAGAAATTATTACTGCACAACCCCCCCCTCCCCCCCTGTACCTACAAATTCCTCTGGCTGTTTTATACACAGAGATGTAATTGGCGCATGTGGCAAGCATTGGCCTGGGTACTGATCCGTGTGTAACGTCAAAAACGTGTCTTAGCTAATGGGATCAAAGTATAAGGAAACATGCTTACAGCTTGTACGTCGAAATGCATAATATCCATAAGGAACAGAGGCAAACAGATGAGAATTGTATAAAGTCCCCAGTCATTTGCAATGTTGCCTAATATAACACCCCATACTGGTCCAGAAGTCAACATCGCTTTCCACTGAATTTTCACCGCCTGAAAAACGAATCATTTGATGTGGTTCAGTAGTGATTGAATAGAGTTTGCTGTGTGAATGCCTAACAAGCAAGATACAGAAAACATCAAGCACATAACTACAACAGGACTTTCTCCTTTTCTTGGAGGCTTAGAGGTTTCTTGAGGTTTCCTTAGTTTGGAGATGTCTTGTTCCAGCCCTGTTCACGCTAAGAAAGCTAGCCCAGCCTCGGCCCCGTCTGAATAGGCCCATGGTAAATAAGCCCAGGCCGAGATCCAGTTTAAAAAAGCAAATTCGACAGTATGAACGTAAACCTTGGGCAGAACCATCGTCTCCTATTTTCGCACAGGCGTAATAAAGGAAATCGGCTAGTCTTTCTCAAAAGTTGCAATTTTCTTCAAAAACAAACGAAACTTTACTTTATTTGAAAAAATACTCGGCGCACAATTTCAATGTTTCGTGCATGGGCTCTAGAGAATCAAAATCAAGATCTGGTCCAAGTTTCTGTTCCCACTGAATAGCCTGGGCTTGGCCTAGGCAAGGCCTTGGTCTGGACCAACTTTACCTGGACCAACCTTACCTGGGCCAACCTAACCTGGGCCGAGCTCAGATTTTCCATGTCCACACTAGCGCGGGCCAGGCCACGGTTACAGTTAACCTGGACCGAGTCTGGACTAGACTGCATAGTGTGGACAGAGCTTTAAATTGCAATTTCAAAGTTTCAAAGTAAAGGTACTTTTGTGCGGAAATTATTTGCAGGTATTCCCGTGCTTTTTAAAAACAAGAATCAACAATTCTATCCTGTAATACAAAGGAACTTACCTTGTGCACATCAACATTGCGCTCGATATAGTTTCTCTCGGCCTTTGATATACTGGGGTGTTGTGCTGGGGTGTCGTGTATCAAAAACGCCCAAAGAACCCACCAAACTATCCCTGCAGCGCCTAAAATTTTTCAATGAAACAAATGCATCATCAACTCGCTTCATAAGTCGTTTTCAGATTTATTTTAATGCTATCAGATTCATCTGTCATATATTTATTATGATCTGGTTCAGACTTCAATTTTACTATGTTCGAATTGAAACAGCATATACGTTTTTACATGTTTGTTTTTATTCGTTATCGCAAAAACTGTATTCTAGTTAAACTTTTATGTTCTTGGGGCTATCATGTTTTGAATTCCACAGCATATATCACCATTCATTAAATTTCAATTGCATATAGTAAGAAGTAACAACTGACAAAAATTAGCAAAAAATCACAAATTAACACGTGTATCAAGTAAGCAAGTAAGCAAGTAAGCATCAAGTAAGCAAGTTTTTAATTATATCTTTTGCAAAAATCCAGCTATTTTTAATGATTTATAGTGCAGCGAAGTTTCCTTACCAAAGCAATAGAAAACTGATGCCCAGCCTCCATCAAAACCATATTTGGTCAACAGGCCAGTGAGAGGCATGGTTACTATGGTACCAACGTTCATTCCTAGAAATCGAACAGATAAACAAATAGGCTGAATTTGACATTTCTTACTCAAAGAAGCTTTCTCAAGCTTTGTCTGTACCATGTTTATTGTTAAAGAAAGTTCCACTACCGGAGCCAAAAAGCACAGGATTTATTGGAGCCTGCCGTTGTTTCTGAGCCAAATATCTTCCTATCTTAAACCTTGTTATTTACTCAGACATAACTAAACACAAGCCCAGAAATGTCCCTCGTAGGTTTCTGGCTGATGAGTTGCTTTTTATCATTTTCTGCCTATTTTCAAGCTAATTGCTCAAAACATACAAGATGCACACAAAACCACCTCCCCCCATCTGCGTTTCAGGCTGTAAACAGGTGGAGGTTACTACTCTTTATCTCCTTTCTTCTCATTTTTCCTTTTTGGATTTTACACTTTTATTCACACATTGGTTTCTTGGTTTTACCTTCTATGCCTTTAAAGCATTTTTGCATGCTTCTAATTACTATAGAGGCCACATCCTTAGATTATTATGACTCACAAAGAATTTTACCTAAATAATAATCAAATATAAAAGCATCAGATGAAAAAGTTAGCAAATAACGTCTGATTAAGGATTTTCGAGTATTTTATATTCTTTTTTGTTTACAGTTTGTAACGTTCTTGTAGGAAAATTCTTCACTTAAATTTGCACCAGCTGCACCAGTCTAATGGCTGATATCCATTCATATTCTGTTTGCCTGTAGGTGCTTTACAGTGTCACCCTCAAGATCACATCGAAGGATCTTCTGTTTGGCGGTGTATCATTTACCACAATCGCAATCATTTAAAATCCTGAGCATGAAACCTACCTCCAATATAGCAGCCATGTTGTTTTGTTTTTAAAAAGCGTAACCACGTGACGTGAATTTCAGTATTTTATACCAACGTATATAGAGCTTACCTGCAAGAGCGATCGTCACAAGAATTGTCCTCTCGGACCGCGGTGCCCAGTAGCTCCATATCTGGTGATTACACGGCAACATCACACCCTTTAAATTCAATAAAAATTTATTTTAAAATGAATTGTTAATGAAGTTGTGATCAACAAAATCCGAATAACCCGAGGGAGCATTTTCCTGTATCAGGCAATCGCTTGAAAAACATCATCATCAGGTACTATCTTCTATCAGAAGGTTGCTTACCATGACCCTCCAACTATCCCTATTCTCAGAATATCGTTTAGCACTCCCAATGCTCTCACACCCGCTCCATTCCTTGACATCGTCTCCCTATGTTCTTCTTTGTCTTCCCCTGTCTCTTTTTCCCTCAATCATACCTTCCAAAACAAGCCTTGCCAAGAACCCGGATAATCCCCTCATAATGGGACCAGCAAATCTCATTTTTCTTTTTATCATTTCGTTGACTAAAACTCTCTGAATTGTTTCTAACACTTTTTTGTTGGTTACTCTTTCAGTCCAGCTTTTTTTCAGAATTCTCCTGTAGCCTCCACATTTCAAAAGCATGAAGTGTTTTTTATTACCTTGGTGCATGCTTTCCTTTCATGTCCTATTTCAAATTGAGGTTGATGTTGCTTCTCAAAAATTCCTTAAATTTCCAAAATTTTTTTTTTGCTTTTTCTATTCTTCTTCTGACTTCTCCCTCACATTTTCCATTATTAACTATCCAACTTCCTAGATATTTGCATTCTTTTTATGTTCTAGTTCTTTGTTTTCTACTTTAATTTCACATTTGTTCCTTCTTGTCTATTACCATTACTTTTGTTTTCTTTGCATTTAGACCCATTCCATATTCTATCCATTTTTGATGGAGGTCATTAATCATTTTTTGAAGATCTTCTCTACTTTCTGCAATTAGTACAGTATTATCAGCAAACCTAATATTGTTTATATTTTCTCCATTGATGTTTAGCCGTTTTCTGTTGCTTAATGCTTCTTCAATTAGGAATTCGCTGTACAGGTTGAATAGAATTGGTGATAGGATGCAACCCTGTCTAACGCCTCTCTTTTTTCAATTTGCTCACTCTCTCCTTGGTTGATTCTCTCACTTGCTTTCTGTTTCCAATACAAATTAGCAATTAATCTTATTTCATAATCCCTCCTTAGAATTATTTTAATTGGTTTGTCGTGTCCTACTCTTTCAAATGATTTGGTGTAATCAACAAAACAAATATAAATAGTTTCTTTTTCTCAATAGTTCTTTCTATGAATTCTTTCTTAATAATTCTTGTTATGAAAATAGCTTCTCTTGTACTTAAAAAACAACTGGCCACATTTTTTTAAATCAATGCTCGCTAAAAAAACGCACATTTCTAATTTACTTCTATTAAAGTTAAGTTTATGACTCAAGGTTTTGAAGCCATTCCTAACTTTCAAAAGAATCCACTCTTTAAGTCAGAGCAACTAGCTTTTTTTTATGTGGCTCTCAACAACGACAGCTGACCTACCAAAAAGGATCTGATTGATTTGATTATTTTGATTTGGGTTGATTTAGTTTGATTTGGTTTGATTTCGTCTACGATGCATTGATTTGGACTTTATGACTGGGTTAATGGAAAGCATCTATGCTTCAATGATAAAAATAAGCGAAAAACGTGCTATTATGAGCCAACTCTACATGTCATCCGTAAGCATGAAAAGGTTTTACTGAGGTACCTCGTTCTTTTCCCTTTCGCAATGAATCATCACTTTATTCGTACACCTTATTGCTTTTTCAAAAGGTTTGAATACAAATGCTGACTAACTAATGTTTTAGTAAATGTTGTGTTCTTAAATGACTCGTGCATTTAGCACCACGGAAGTGTCAATTCTACAACTTGAATACATTAAAAGCACTTGCAAGTCTCGTCGCCAGTATAGTGTAATTCCAAGAAATGGTGGCACTTTAGCCAATTGAAACTCACCAGAGCCAATCCCTCTGCTACACGCAAAGCAACCAGTGCCCAAACGCTAGATCTTGCAGCTACTGGCGTAAATAATGTCAGTATGCCTGCTATAAGGACACCCACTCCATATATTCTTGTGCCACCGATCTTCATTGCGAAGTATCCTCCGGGAATTTGAAGAAACATGTAACCATAGTAAAATGAGCCGAGGACGATTCCTGGAAGCAAAACTCAAAATGTACATAAGGCACTAGAGGATTTCTTTTTCAAGATAACTTTGTTTCATTCCTCAAAAGTTTTATCATTGTTGTCTCTATTTTGATGCTAGAGGACTGAGGTTCATCAAAGTTTTAGAAGACATTAAGTTTCATACAATGTTTAGCATTCGGCGTTTGAAAAATTTTTAACTGATAAATGATACACAGCGAGACTTTCAAAGGTGATTACAAATAACTATGCAAAGCTAATTGATTGAAGCTCATTGACTTGATAGACAATTCCAATATCAAAGTTAAAAAAAATTCAGTAACGAACCTTGCAATTTTGAATTCCAATTGAAATCTGGCTCCTAAAAAATATGAAAGACTTTTCAAGGTGCGAAATCTAATTGTTGCCAAATTCATCCTGGCTGTTTTAATTTCATCTTGTTCAATGCAAAAATAATGACCAGGTTTGCAAAAGACGCGCTTTTTTTTCATAATTCTCTTGATGAATGCGATCAATTTGGTTATCAAGTTCCACTTGCCGGACTTCACCCATCGAACTTCTTCCTAGCTTCGAATATACTGAGCGATAGCGGGCGAGCGTTTATCGTCGTTAGATTTAAACCCATCTGTTTGGCATCTTTGATTTATCATTAGCAAGGCGTCGATTATGCTTTAGTCTAAGTATCCTTGCTTCAGTGAGACTTATAAACAAATGATCGCTCCACGATCAGAAGAATGCTGGTGGCTAGATTCAGAATTTATTGTTGTCGGCTGTTGGCTTTGATTATTAGCGTATAGGAAGCGAATTAGAAGTTCTCCTTGGTTTGGTTTCACATACAATTTCATCTGAATTTGACATACAATTTCTATATTGTCACTTGTATTTTTCATTGAAATGTGTTTATTTTACCATTTATAATGCAACCTTTAAATTTGAAACATTAAATCGTGATTTATCTAATATTCAATATTTCAACTCATTTGCAAATTCAACGCACTCGATTGAAATACATCTGAAATGCGAACAGAGTATAGATTCTGCCTATATTAAAAATGTCTTGACGGCTTATTGCATTTAGTTTCTTATTATTAATAGCATCTTTACCTTCATTATATATCTAGATTAAATGTTATCATCATCAAAGATTCATACAATTTTCATAATTGCTATCAATGCAACCACTTTTGCTTTTCCATATTTCTTTTAATTCGTTTATTCTCATCATCAACTTATTTTCCTTCAAAGATATCATAGGAGACGCAAACTTGTTTTATTTACGTAGCAAATATAACTCAAACATTTAGGCCAAAAATTAACCTACCTGTATAAAATGTTTTCCATTTTTCACGACAGGATGTGGCTTTACCATGGCCCCAATGGCTACATTAAGGTTCACACGAATTGCATACATGTTCATAAATCCACAGAACATCATAATCGCAAGAACATATCTTTTCGGAACACTAAATATTGTATCGGAACTATCTTCCTGCGAGTCTGCTCTGCTTCCCGAGAAATCATCACTTTCAGTTCGGTTTTCCCTACTGACATCTTGTAATTTTTCATTTTCATTTGCAGTTCTCGTTAGTTTTGTTTCATGTCTATCTTCAATATTTTTACCATCGCTATTTTCCAATACATGTTCTTGATATGTAATAGTATGTTGAAGCTCATCCTCTCGCTTCGTGCCGTCCATTTTTATTTATATTTGATAATTTGAATTAGTATCGATCAATCCATACACTCATACGCGATACAATCCCAAGCTCATCTTTCAAGTATAATGGCCTTTTACCTATTTAACTTTTCTTTTTTAAAAATCAGATGCTAATTATCTCCAACTGCATGCTACCTTCCGTCATTGCCTACGATGTTAAACTAAAAGGGCCTGGGAACTAGATAACCTTCATTACCTGAATACCGAGATTGAAAAGCTTCACTCAACTAGAAACCACTTGCACGCAAACAGATCGTTGCTGGTGCACTTTACCTGTTTCTTTATTGACAAGATTGAAAGATCGCAGAAAATGACAATAAAAGTCCAAATTCATTGAAGACTTCAAGTATCTAACGAATCTTAAGCAATCAGTCATTTTTTGGATGAGAAACCTCGAATAGGAATTTGGAAACCTTGCTACCTGCTTCGAGAATACCAAAAAACTTTTTAGACTCTTTGTTTCTAGCCTGGTTTCTTCACATGAAGAAGAAGCACATGTGTATATTGTGGAAAGTTATAGAACGAAGTTAATCATCTTGTGACCATGTAATATTTTCATACTTGCTATAGAAGAATGATTCACAGAATGATTAGATTTTTATTACGTTAAAAATACCTTGCAATGAAGAAGTTTTCAAATGATTTTAGTGAGTTAGAGCCTAATAAGATTCACGAGACTGGGGACAAACTTCAGGCGTTTCGTTTACCGCTCAGTCTTGTCACGATTTTAGAATGTTTCAATTCACATAATTTCGCTTTGCCTGTTTTTAGAGCAACGCTCCACTTTTCGTTATTTTGACAACACTATAATGAGATAAAAATGAATATTTTGCAATTAAGCTAAAATTAATTTAATGTTGGCTATTTATATATATTTACATTGGTGATAATTGAAAAGTTATTGAGAATTATTGTTAAAAGATTTACTAAGGACAAAACTACAATCATTGAAAATCATCTGCAGTTCTTTTTGGAGACTCTTCTCTGTCTACAGCACCTAAATCTTTCTTCTGCTTCATTCGTCTGTTCTGGAACCATGTTTTTATTTGTCTCTCCGTCAGGCCTAACGCCATAGAAAGTTCAATACGCCTCTCACGTGTAATGTATCTGTTCGCTTTGAATTCTTTGTCCATTTCAAGTAACTGTCGTCTTGTGTACGAGGTTCGACGCCGCTTCGGCTCGACAATCCGATATGGCCAGGGGAAAGGAGCTGAAAGATAGAAATAACTTAATCTTATTGTTTATTCCACTGATATATATATTTGATTTTTTTGGTTTCTGTAACATCTTACGCATCTGTAAAAATCAGTAAAATGGAAACTCCGCTTATGTGAACTTTCCAGATTTCAAGAATTGTGCCCTGGCTAAATTTTATGTATTCTGCTAGTCCATATACTAAATAATATAAAAAACTGAAAAATCATACCTTCGGTAACATTCATTTTGTAACCTTGTTGGTAAGTCTTCCAAGCCATGTACTCTGGATTGGACCACGAAGAGCTCTGGTCATACCAACACCCGCTTGGTGTATTTGTCGGTATCGGCGCTGCATCTGCGCGGAGTAAACTTGGATAAGTCATAACTGGTTGCTCCGGAACCACAGTTCCATGCGGTGGTGACATGGAGACACACGGAGTGCAACCGCCCATTGATCGAGATGACCCTGCGTAGCACTGCGGAGAGTGGCTTCTTTGAGGAATCGTCCTGAATGGATGCCTGTCTTTGCCATTTTGTGTCATGTAAGGTGAACCGTAAATCTGAGCAAGTGCCAACTGGCGAATAGATTCTCGGTCCATCGTTGCATTCTCACTGTCTGAATGAAACATCGCGTTTTAAAGGTTTTTTTCTGTGCAGATGCGGAGACTTAATAACCCACGCGATCTGTTTCTTGCGTCAGTTAAGCTTCGTCAAATTTTCTGATTGCCGCGAATGTCGATCCTGACTTCCAATTAGCGTCTTTTAAGGGTTTCTTCAGGAATTCAGGTGTTTTGTTTTCTGATTGTTCAACTGATTTACAATAATACTTTGATAAATGCGCGATAAACATAATCAATAGGAGAAGGTGTCAAGGTGTGTTTGCGGATCACGTTCGCGCTATTCTAAAGACACGTACACGCGGTTTTGCTTGTTCGACCTTGAGACCTACGCAGATGAAAACTATCATCGTTTTTTAACTGTGTATTACTGCTCTAGATTTTGCTTTTTCGGTGTACCAGAAAACAAAGGATGAGTGATTCTTACATCTTTCTCATTTGTCAGGTGAAACTTCGTAAGTCCATGGTACTCAACACACTCATTCCCAACTTTGACCTTAATAAAGAATGCAAAGGTGAAAAAGCAAAGTGCAAAGTAGCAAGGAACGATTGCAAAGTTTCTCATACTCCTACGAGCCTCCCATTTGAAGCTGCGAAACAGCTGCAACTAGACTACATTGTTTTCCTTTTTGACGACCCCTTAGCTTGCGCAATTGTCTTTAGAGCTTCGATTTCTTGAATAATGATTAGAATGGGAGATCTGATGAGAACATTATTACAATGTTTCCTACTTTGGTATAAAAAACCTTGAGAAACAACCCAGCATTAAAATTTTAAAAACAAACAATTAAGAAAGAGTTTAGAAGCAAAAAATAAATCCTCTTCACTTACAATGATCTCTGGCAATCAACTAAATTTTATAATGATGATAACAATAATAATTATACTTTCAGAAAACAGTTTTCTCTATTGCAGAACAAACTGTGAAATGATATACCCTTGCATATAAAGAATAGCATAACAATTTCTGAATATAAAGATAAACGTAAGGATTACCAGCAGCACTAGCATTCAAAATGACTGCAAGAAATAGCCTGAAATATATGTTAAGCTAATCTAAAGAGTGCAGTCGCGAAAAATTTATTCTCTTTTTGCCCGTAGTGGGCCTCGTCTGTCGTTTTTGCCTCAGGGCGTCTAAAAACACACGGCGGACCTGCACGTGCCTCCCCACCTTTCGGAAACAGACGTAAGGCTCCCATTTGCAGCTAACACAGAGACATCCTTTGCTGTCTATTTGTGCCCCTTCCCCCAATTTTTGAAATGAATTATATGGGTATAAAGAATAGTAGCACCCTTTCTTAGGTTTTGACACAATCGTTACCCCCTCCCCTGTTTTAAATTGCATTTTGTGGGTATAAGGGACAAGCTGCGTCCTTTCTTAAATTTTGACATAAGCATTGGAATAATTTTAGCTCAGAGTTTCCTAAATCCACGGAGCAGTACTTCGTGTAGAAAAAGCACCGGCTTGGCATGAAAGGCGTAACGTCTCACAGAACTGACATTTAAGCAAAATAGCTTTGAAATAAACCAATTCGACTTACGGCCTCGTTTTGAAAATTTCTCCTAACCTAATTATACGACCTTTTAAAGCTCAAATTTGGTTTTATCACCATAATTTTAGGCCGGATACAATTTTTCATATTGTTTGTGCTTGTATTTCAGATTTTACGGAGAAATAAAGTTTGAAATCTTCTAAGAGATTTGACCGCAAAAATCATTCGGGGGGAAACTTTACCCCCCTAGTCGCCAATCACGGTCAAATCCCTTATAAATCTTTTATCTTTTTGTCGTCATAAAATCAATATCGTGAGCAATACCATAATGAAAATTTCCAAGTATACTAAAATCATTGCTCGCAATCCGAATCTGAGGTCAAAAATTTTGTACAAAATAATTTGAAGAACTTTTCAAAATGAGGCAGTAAGTCGAATTGGTATATAACTTGTTCATTAATTTTTGAAAACCACTCCAAGAAAGTGAGAAGCGAAGGCTGCACTTCTTAATTATCGCTGTTCTCTGATCCCTTCTAGAAGAGTTTGCTACTTTTTAAAAAGGGGTCCAATTGTTGTGATAGCATGAAAAATCGATTTGTGATTCTTTCCTTAGTAATCAGCTTGAAAGTTCGCATGCTTTTTTGGAATAAGAGGTTTTGCTTTTTGTGTTATGAGGCTCATTAAATTTTGAGAAAAGCATTTTGAAAATTTTGTGAAGTAACGTGCAAGCAGACAATATGAATAGACAGCATTATCATCGGGATCCGTTGATGTTAGGCTCCGTTCTTGTCTGGGCGTTATATTTAAAAAGATTCCGTTTCACTAAATTATATTAATGGCCTAGACTGAAACAGGAGTTGCGAATGGACGGGACCTTGATAAAGTACATTTTGCTTGCAAAAGATCGAGACAAGCGTCTCATGTCAAATAATGGTCCACTGAATGTGCTTTATACATAAGTACATCATCGCTGAAGCAGACGACATTAATAATAATGAGACAATTTTTCAGGGCCATTTTATTTCACACGCAAACGTCTCATGATCTGCATAATTTTCATTTTTTGTCTATTTTTGGTAGAGAGTTACCTCCACAACAGGCGCTGTTGGGTAAAGACCTTGTTGGTTGTTGTCGCATTCTGGTTGCACCGCTCGCGCAATATCGCCTTTGAACTGCCGATGGCATTGTTCTTCGCCCGGTAAAGCCAATATTAGCTGAAAATCGCAAGTGTAGCACGACATTTTACGAGGCGCGCGAAAAACGATTCGAAGTTTCGAAACAACTATATGGCAATTGCAAAATTATACTGGATTCTCGTTCTGAGTTGTCTTTGCAATTTATGATGTGAAGTTTATTCAGAGAGAGAAAAATAATAGCTGAAAAGTAATTCATAATGGCAGGGACCGTTAATGAAGTTGTACAGGTGCATCTAGGGCAAGATCCCATTAACACCAACAAGTTTGAGTACATTAACACCAAACAAACTCAAACATGATTTCACAACAATGGTGTTGGCAAATTTTAGCACAAAAGCGATGAAAAATTTCAAAACAAGAGATAACAAAGGAATTTTGTATCAGGTGCATTTTAGGTGTCCGGAGTCAATTACAAAAGCTGCCTTTCGTTAACTTGTACTAAAGTGCGAAATTTTTGTTTTATTGGAAGTGTTATGAAGCCGCGGCAGTCAAGTTTTTTCTAATTCACAGCCGATCCTGCGAGGCTGTAATCAGGTCCATCAATGCGCACGAGTAAAAGCTTGGTTGCCATGACACTGTGTGCTATTCTACCCTATTCCTGATTCAATTACAAAATATTTTAGCAAAATCAATGTAAGCTTAGAACACTCAAAGGAAATTCGCACAAACTATCGAGACAAATGCCCCCACTTAAAAACATGATTGGAGCAGGTAGCTTTAAACGTTATCAGATACTGAATACCGAGAAATCCAATTGAATTAAAATAATCTCAATAGAAGCAGTATCATAGTACATAAGATCGTAATGAATAGGAAACAAGGGTCAGCTTCGTGTGTAATTTTGAGATCCCGAAGTTCCTTATATTCTCTCCAATTCACGAACAGAATCACAAAACTCTAAGAAGTTAAAACGTATATTTGGTAACACTTTGCCAAGCAAAGGTGAGCGAGCTACAAAACATTTAAGATCATTCCCATTGGCATAGGGGACATTGGGGTGGAAGGGCAGCAGCCCCTCAGTCTAGCAAAATTTTTAGCATTTCAGGCTTTTTCTGTCCCAACGAGAAATGGTAATCGGGCATGATACATAGAAAACCCTCCTAATCTTTAAATATCTGCATAGTTATAATTATTCTGTTTCTATACTTTTGCCAGAGAATCTGCCATTATTTTCCACGACTGGCTTTTATTTCTTTTGATTTGAAAATTCAAGGAGCTGTAACCCTAAAATTCTTGTCTCTCTTCCTTGTCAAGAAATCTACGGGAGGACATTTCTGAGGTGCCTTAAGTCGGGATGCCGTAGAAATAATTTGAAACAATAATATTATCAATTTTCGGCTGTGCAAAATTGGCTCTAAAAGTGACTGTTTTGTCTCAAAGTAATTATTGTAATTACGTTGAAATCGAATCGTCAAACCTTAATGGCCTCTGAATGTTCCTTTTAGGAGTTTAACAATCAAACTTTGTTAAACAGATTATAAGAATTACAAACAGAAGAAATTGGTAAGCTTCGGCATAAGTGTTCACGTGTTCCCTGGTCATTTTATTCAAGCTTAACTGGTCTAATTATTTAAACTAGGAACAACATTTAAACTTTACAAGGTATCAAAATTAGTCTCTATGAAATTATAATATCTAACAAATTATGGTTCTCAATATATCATATAACTTAAGAAAAGAGACGAGAGAAAGTTAAATTGTGGAAAAATGGCTCGTGCAAAGAACCTTTGAGTTTGAAACTTTTGAAATGTCCTGAATAATAGCAAGGCATTTGAAAACCTTTGGACACTTCATTCCAATTAATAGTACTTTTAATCCACCTTTCCTTCTACGTTCAACTAGTGAATATGTTCTTTCTATGTGATAACACGACAATTTGTCATCGTTTCGGGCACATGTAACATTCAAGATTGATGAGTTATGTAAACGACGTGCCTAAATGCTCTAAATTTGATGTTGAAATATCAAATAAAAACCTAGGTTACAAAAATCCTCCAAACAAATTGGCAAAAACGAGTATTTTCATTTTGTATATCATGACCTATAAAATTTACAAAGAAAATTTAATCAGACACCATGTAATCTCACTGCGGACCTGCTTTTAAGACGGTACCATTGTAGCTGATCTTCGATTTCTTTTTTTGAATTCCGAGACTGGACAAAATTATAACCTGATCACACTTTTGAAATTGCATCAAAACAGCAGATGAGATATTAAAGTCAACAGCTGCTGATGTGTAGAGAATTGTTGAAGTAACTTGTTTCTTTGTTTTCCTTTTTTGTTTCAATTCTTTTTTTGATGCATTATTTTCAATCGGGGACTTGAAAAATAGTTCTTTTTGTTTTCGGCGAGAGCTTTACAAACCAGAATGCTCTAAGGCGAATAATTGCATCACTTCCCCGTTCAACAGGTTTAATGTTTTCGAACTGACTCGAATAAATCCCCAAGCACTTCCCTAGTTACCGAAAAAGGACCAAGCAAACAATGATTTTCTATCTTTACCAAAGCCAACATTTTTACAAACCTGGCGTTAACTATGACTTGAAGTGGTGTCTTATTGTTGCTTAACTCTTACTTTGATACGTGCATTCTAAAATGTTATTTTATGGCTATCAGTGAGGTTGATGTGGGCGTACATTTTATGTCGATGACAAGATAGCTCTTCAAAGAATCACAAAATACTCCAGAGGAGACTGTACGAAAATTTTTTTAATTAAAAGCAACTAACTAATCTGGTGATGTGATTATCACGAGAACATGTATCTGAAATATCACTTTCTTTAAACGATACACAAAACTTTTAGGAAAGGGCAATCTTCATTTAAAAGTTATTCAGATTCTTTGTCATGTTTTGTGCCTTTGACAGCATTTTTAAGGGGACTAAGTCTCGAAAAAAATGCTTTACTGTTGAGGCATTGGTCAAGTTTTGGTTGTATTATCAATAAACAAGAACAGAACAATGAAATCATATCTTCATGATAACCAAACTGTGAGGCTATTTTCCTGGACTGAAAAAAATCACATTTCTATCGCAGATAAGATTTAACCCAAAAAATCCCCCTTTGAAAGATCATTTTCATTCATCCTTTAGACTTAGACCGCATTTTATCAGTTTTCCAAGTTATTTTTTCGTACCAGATTGCGACACGAAATTTTATTGAAAACGGCGAGGAAAAAACGAAAGATCAAATTTCAGAAGTTCAAAGATAATATTTCCACCAGTTGATCCTGCGCGCGCAAGAAAATTTTTTGGCCACGTTCTGCGACTTGCTAATGGCGGACAAGTAAATATTTTGAGTGACGGACAAGAAAATATAGAGTTTTAAAGAAATAAGCAGATACCAAATGAATGGTTTCTTGAAACAGAATAAAATTGAGTTTGTGATATGTACAGTTGCATGAAATCGTGTATGAAATCGTGGAGAGCAAGGCCCTCTCAGAATTTTTCTTATGCGTCCTCCAGACTCATGGTTGAAAGAATGGCACCATGGCATTCCTGCTGCAGGATTGTTTTACTTGATAAGCATATTTTACGTTGCACAGTCTACTGTTTCATTTAAACAAGAAAACAGTTCATTAGCAAGTTTTCACAACAATACTATTGGTTGGAGAAATTACAACTTTTCGTTGCAGAGCAATGGAGACCAGTTATATAAGCCCAAATTATTTCACTTTGGGAAACGACGTAATGGACGAGCCAGATCTAGTAAGAGGAGAAGTTTTACAAAGGAATTGCGATTTGGAAAAGCAAAGAGTTATGGATTGGTTCGTAAAGGAGATGATAGTATCATGTTTGAAGGAAAGGTGGAAAGAACTAGATCAGAATCTAGGCCATTTTCTGAATTTGGAATAGAAACTAAAATCACAGAATTACCAGAAGCAATTATGTCTTATTCGTGGACTATCAAATTGCCTGTAAATAAATCTAACTTTATTGATAGTGAACTTTTAAAAGACAGAGCTAATGTAATTGCTGAACAGCTTGGTTTGCAAAATTATGGTCCCATTGTGGGTCTACCTGGATACTTCTATTTTGTACATAGTAATTTTTTTGACAGGACAGAGCATTTTTCTGGAAATAATCATATTAAAATGAACATAACTGAGTTTTTAAATAGTCACCCAGAAATCGAATGGGTAAAGCATGAGCCAGTCAGAATGCGGAAGAAGAGAGCACTGGAATTCAAAGACCAATTTTTCCCATCGCAGTGGCATTTGGTAAGTTTGGATGACTCAAGTAGCTTAAATACAATGAAAAACTAGCCAGTGTATTCTATCATATGTAGTCTGTGATGCCATATAGCCCAAAGCTGTGTGCCTTTTGGTGTGCAGAACAGCTAAAGGTGAATCTGACAGGTTTAATCAAAGTTTTCTTCAAAAAAATTTGTGTGCACCAAGTTTAGGTTCATATGTGCCAAGTTTTAGCTCACATGCACCAATTTTATAAGTAAAAAATATAATTCACAAGGAGAACTTTCAAGGTAGGTATGGCATTCTGGAGAAGGAATTTTGGTTTATTTTCAAAGAAATGTTTTGAGAGGGGAGTTCTTATTCATTCACTGGTAATTCATTCCAAAGCTTTGCCCCTAAATAACAAATGGTTTTCGGACCATATTGGCAGGAATTTCTGTTAGTCAAAAAGAGTTACCATGAGCTGATTGCCATGTTGCATGGTCATGAATTGACAAATTAAATCATAATAATTATAAAAGTCACTTGGCATTCTGATTGATTTATAGACAAGGATTTATAGACATCTAAATGCTGAGATTATGACTCGGGATTTTTTACTCAATCTTAGGTTATCACTTAAAAGTTTTCTTCCAGGTAAATTTGAAATTTGTCAACCATGACATTAATGTGACGGCTGTCTGGGAACATAATGTAACTGGAAGAGGTGTTGCTGTTGCTGTTATAGATGATGGTAGGTTGACATGAAACATCCATTAGCAGGCAGTCATTGGATTTTGTTCATGACTAAGTGCACTTTTTTATACTTTCTTTTATGGCTGACCAAACCAATCTGTTAGAGGCAGACATTGCTATGCTTTGAATAGGTATATTAATGCATTAGAGTTTCTCCTGTTCTTGCCTGTCTCTTGGCTCTTTTTGTGCCAACCTCAATGCTTAGTCTAGTCTTGCTAGCTTTGAGCACTGGTCTACAAACTTTTCTTTGTTTGCTTTAATATCCAGCTAGATGCTCGCAATGTTTAGACAGCTGGTCAATAAATAGAAATCACTAGCCTGTACACAAGGCCCAACCACTTTTAAAGGAAATTTCCTTTAAAGCATTTTGTTTTATATCCTCTCAGTTCATCATACCCTATCAATCAAAATTGCCCAATTTATGATCCATGTACTTAAAATCAAGTTAACTTTACAGGTGTGGAATGGACAAATCCAGATATTTTGGATAATTATGTGAGTTTTTTCTATTTCTACCTCAATGAATTCCTTTGGTTATTTGATAAATGGTTTGATCCCACATATATGCCATATTTTTTCTTAGGAAAATAAAGCTCTGTTTAAAGTACCTCCTAGTGTTCAAAATAACAAGTACATGCTCAAATTGTTGTGTATTTTCAAATAATAACTTGATTTATTCGCTCATTAAATTGTTATCATTGTTTGGATGGAGTACCACATGCAGCTTGCTTTAGTTAGTCGCCCAAGTGTAATTTGTTCCTTTCCCAAACAGCTGGCTGAAGGAAGCTGGGATCTAAACTCAAATGATGGTGATCCAATGCCAAGAGTTGATGAAGCTGGACTGAACCATCATGGCACTAGGTAACCATAAGAAAAAATCTATTATGGCACTCCTTAAAACCAGTCAATTTCCAGCAGATACCAGCAAATGCATTGTGCATCACATGAATATCTAAAAAATGTTGTTTCTTTTGTCAGGCTTTGAGGCACAACCAGAGGGGTACTGGGAAAAAAATATATTGTACTCGCATTGTTTGGTTTCCTAGAGTAAATTTTTTTGAAAAAAAATGGTTTGATAAAAAAGCTGATTTTTTCATTCATTCAAATGATACATCAAACTTGCTTATACATTAACAAACTGGAAGATATATTTGTAACTTTTTCCGAAGCAAGTCAATTATATTACAACCAATGTCTCGGAAAAGGGAAGCCCAGACGAGGATAAAATTAGCTACTTTTCCATATCCTAATGACACCAATAAGCAAGCCAATGGTAGAAACAGCTGCGAGGTTAAGATATGATATCGCACTGATTTGATAGCCGTTTTGTATACATTGCTGGAAGTTTTGTATACTTAGCTTTTCAGGGAGGCCCTTCCTTCCACTACCTTTGTGAATTTGTTTCTATTTTTCCAACTTTGTAGATGTGCTGGGGAAATTGCAGCTGTGGCCAATGAATATTGTGCAGTTGGTGTGGCTTATGAAGCCAAAGTATCAGGTAATTATGACAATGTTTTCAAGATAATTGTCAAAAGAAAATTCATCAACATCTTTGTTTTATTCAGGAATTTAACTTGCAATTAAGAAGAGAAAATTGATAACTTTTTCATGATGTGCTATGATATACATACATCTGCTATTGAAATGCAATGTTTGATTACTCTGCAACCATTCCTGTCAAAAAGGCTGTGGAAAAGTTTAGCTTTTGTGGGCCCCTCTTTATCAATGCAACACTATCTATATTGGTGACAAATCGTAAAAGTCCAGGCCGAAAACTCTGCTATTCATTGCTAAAGCGAGGGGATGTTGCACTGTCTGCCTCCTCTCATGGCTTTTATTGATGTTTAAATGGGCATAAGTGCAGAGCTGGAACTGAATTGAAGAAATTTTGATACATTTGAAAGCATGTCTCAATATGAAATTTAGCAAGTACCAAAGTTAATTAAACAAACAGGTTGATGTCTGCGAGAAAACAGTAAACGTGTTTACCAAGTTCCAAAATGTCAGTTGTCATCGATATTGTTTGTAGACAAATCAAGGCATAATTCAATGATTTTTTCACTTTTTTGACTTCTGTTAATTCATAGAAAATGCAAATGATCGTAACTTGTCTTCACTATAATGTGATTAGCATCTTTAATAACGAGTGTCAAGTTTTTTGTTTTGTTGAATTGTTAATTTTTCTTATTGATGCAGATTTTAGATGCAATTAGTAACAAATAATATTATTTTTAAGGTATTCGAATTCTCGATGGGCCAATGACAGATAGTCTTGAAGCGATGGCTTTCAACACCAAGATGGATATTAATGACATCTATAGTTGCAGGTACATTTTAAGAATAATTGAATTGTGAACAACACTATCAAACTTTGCTGGGAATGGATTTAATGTGTGAGAAGGAAGAACCACAACAGGATAGGCTGTCCGCCGGATTCTGTGAATCTTGCAATGAGTATGATAAAAATACAAGGATAAAATTCAGAAACCAAGCACAACGGCGACGAGAATCCAATGTTGTGAGATAAATTTTCCAAAATAGATTAAATTAAACAAATACTAATATTTCACCCCGGCATACAGGGCGGGCTTCATCAGAGTAACAAAAATCAATATAATGTTGAGTCAGGTATTGACAATTGCTTGTCTTGAGACTGACGTAGGCTGTTGAAAAATACATTTTTCAAATTTTAAGTAACAGGCTGTTGGGAGAATGACAAGAAACTCGTTCAACCGACGTTTTTCTTTGTTTATTGGAAAAATTGCTATGAATTAAGTGTAATTTTAGCTAAAAATCGTGGGATTTTATTAATTGTTTTGAATCTTTTTCAAATCTTATGTATTTTACCGCGATAAGCAACAAATTATTATCGTTAAAAATTTTAAAAAAAATCTTTGTAACTGAGTCTTTTGAATTAATCTAGCAGCTTGACAAAGTTTGCGTCCATAACTTATCATTTTTCGTAAAATATTTACTTCCAGGCTGTAGGTTATTACATGTAGTATGAAAGGAGATAATCTTAAAAGAATTCACTTTCTTTTTCTAGCTGGGGTCCAGATGATAATGGAAAAACAGTTGACGGACCACATCGTTTGGCCCAGGTATTTATTTGATTGTTTAAATAGGATTTTTCAAGCATTTTAGAGTTTTCTTTTTCTACAAGTATTTCTATAGTTTAGATGCAGCTGATAATATTGGACTTCAAATTCTTTGTGTTTTTCACAGGCTGCTCTGGCTCATGGGGTTATGGCTGGAAGAAAAGGTTATGGCAGCATTTTCGTAGTTGCATCTGGAAATGGGGGACATTTCAAAGATAACTGCAATTTTGATGGATATGCCAATTCAATTTTCACAGTAACTGTTGGTATGTGGAATTTCACTTCTATTTTATGGCTTGGTGATTTCTCTTAGCTTGAGCAAGGTATTTCTTTGTGTAGTGTTAACCAATGAATCTGGCTACAAAGCAGCGATTTATTCGGTCTTTCGCTCGCACCTGTTTCTCTCAGTTCTGTTAATCTACTTGACATAAACATAATTGCTGAAGTGATATTGTCTTAAATTTCCAGGGGCTGTAGACGAGTTGGGACAGATGCCTTATTATGCGGAACACTGCGCAGCAATGTTGGCAGTCACATACAGCAGTGGCCAGGGCCACCAAAGGAACATTGTACGTAACTTACTCTAGGGCTTGCCAATTAAGGGGAACTTACATACGGAACTGCTATTATTCTCGAAATAATTTAAATTCCATTCAGTATGAACTGATATTCGGCTGTATCCCAGTAGTAAGTTTTAAAAATGTCAGCAGTTTCATTAGAACAGAAGACAATTTCAAAAGGTTGTCTGTCTATTCCCATAAATAACAAATTTACTTCTATCGAGTTAATCATCATCATCGTCGTCTTCGTCTGCCACTATTAAAGTTTTCAAACGCTTTGAAGTTTTCTTTGTTTTAATTTCACTGCATCCTTAAATATTTCCAATAAGAACATTTTCAATTGCATAATTCAGGTAACCACTGATTGGAGATTAGGTGGCGGTGTGGGATGCACAGACAGGCACACCGGCACAAGCGCTGCTGCTCCCCTTGCTGCTGGCATGATTGCATTGATGCTGCAAGTTAGGTATGATTTCCGTTTTGTAATGCAGTTGTGTACCACAATTTGCGTAATAGGCGGGGGTGCTTGTGACGCAGATAGGGCCTAGCTTTTACTCCTCGTTGAATAATGACTGTTGCTTCTTTTAAACATAAGACCAGATTTGCATTTTATGAGCAAATAACAATAGATATGGCCTGATCAGGAAATTTTCTTTCTGTCTCACTTATGCACTGCTACTTTGTTTGTATAAATTTTTTGTTTGCTCGTGAGTCTGTGTTATTACATTCTTATCCAACATTTCGGGCCGGCATTTGCAATTCAATATTTTCCAAAATACTTCAGCATTTTTCTTAGTAGCTTCCCCACTCAATTGTTCTACACTTCAATTCAACATTTCACTTTTCAGAAATTGCTTAACCTGGCGTGACATACAACACATCATTACTTATACCGCGGTCAAGGTGAGCTGCATTTTCTAGTTGACTTCTTTTCTTAACGATTTCTGCAATGCTGCCTTATGCATTTTGAAGTATCAACAGTAACAATATAATCATATTTTCAAATATTTCAAGAAACCTATTTTTATGAAGAATATTTTTCCTAAGGAACGCTATCAAATACTTTTTCATAATGTAAACGACAAGTCACTTTGAAATTTATTAATTGTCCTAGAATATTACCTCCATATCCTAAAGTATTCCAGTTTATAAATAGCAGTATCTGTGGATTGCTTATTAATTTGAAAATTTCAGTATTTTATTTCTCTGTTATATATAATTAACACTAGCAGATTCATAAGGGTCTTAGAAGTCGGGTGACAGAACATTTATTTTGACTTTTAGTGAGCCTTTGGTGGCGTGCTTTAGAAAGCTGAACCGTTTTCATTTTTTCTTAAAGGTTCCGATCGATGAGGAAGAATGGCAGAAAAATGGGGCTGGGTTTTTTCACAGCCACAAGCATGGATTTGGGCTGCTAAATTCGTGGAAGCTTGTCACAACAGCGAAGGTAAAATTTGTTTGCTTCTAGATACCGAAACATTTGGCGATGATTCCATCTGAAAACATCGTCTAGGTATTGTATTCAAATCAAGCGATACCACTTTAATCATATCCAGCTTCGTTGAAATCTTCCAACGCACGAGGATTAGAAGAATCAGTTTACAATAATTTTAACTTACTCTTCTTTTTGCCTTTCGTAGCAGAATATTGTTATTAAAATTTTACATGAATAACATTTCTTTTTAAACTCTTTGATTCCCTCTCCCCTGAAAATTGTTTGCCTTTGAAGCTTGGTGTAGCTTTTATCTAGAAAATAAATTCCAAATCCGTTTGTTTTTTAGATGTGGGAGAGCGTGCCAGTTCTGACGTCATGGACCTCACCACTCATAAAAGTAGACAAAGAAATTCCTGCATCAGGGGAGCTCGTTGAAGAATTTAGAGGTGAGTCTGCTTAAAGGATGATCCTTACGTCGGCAGTTTGTTACAGCGTTGACTCAAATCTAGGCAATATTCGTGGTCTTAACACTTAACACAATCATGATCTCAGCCTGTTCACCCAGTAGCCTATTAGAACACAGAGCCGACACTAAGAAGTTTAAAGCTTCGAAGAAAATGACCGTTCGAGCTCATAATGCTTATGGCCTAGATAAACAATCCTTTTTTAAAAGGCAGCTCTCCGAAGCATGAGCCAGACACCAGAATAAACCTTGTATTTATCGTCTTTTTTGTTTTAGATGCCATTCTAAATGATTCATCTTTTTCAGTCAATAAAGACAAGGTTGAAGAAGTCGTCACTCTGGAGCATGTTACTCTAACGGTAAGTTGGTATTTTGTTCGTTGATAACTAGAAACATTTGATTAGCGTTGTCACTCGCTTTTCGAAGTCTACAAAAGCGTCCATGACAGAGTCATGCTGACATTCTGCGTCGAGGTTTCCTACTTTTGCTAATGCATTCGAAAATTTCCATGTAGCGTCAGTGACGTGTATGCTTTCAAAGCAGCTAAGAACTACTTTACAGTCAGGAGCCAACAGTGCTGGACTGCAGGCACCACAGAGCGTTGAGAAAAGTGGGGGGTCTAAAAAATTTTGGGGGAATGGGGGGCTAAAACTGAATAAAAAACAGCTTTACTGCCGGTTCATTTCTAAATATTTTGCCTTTTATTGAAAATGTTGGGGGTACTAAACCCCCCAAACCCCCCCAAACCCCGCGGTCCGAGATGCCTGTACTAGACATTATACTGCAGCTAACTTACAACATAAAAGACTTTATTATCTGTCTCCATAGGTCGATTTGAGTCATCCTTACCGTGGCGATGTCATGATAAATCTCTTGTCACCTTCGGGAACAGTTTCGAAACTTGCGACTGCGCGAAAATACGACAGGTAAGTCGTAATGGTGTTTTGCGACTTTTTCAAGAAAATATTGTTCACGTTTTTGCTTGGCTTAATATGTAATTACATTATAACTAGGCATTTTTTTCATGCAATTAGAGATTCATAATTTGTTTTCATCTCGTAGATCGACAGATGGCTTCAATGACTGGACATTTTCGACTGTGCGGTGCTGGGGGGAACGACCAGTAGGCATCTGGAGGGTTACCATACTCGATGCCGGTATGTGAATTTCTCATTTTTCCAAAAATCTATAACTAGATACTGGAGCAAGTCAAGCAGGCTCAAAAAGCCATTGACTGTGTTTCTTACGTATGTTCAAAGGGTAAAACAAAATGCTTGTTGATTTTGGGTAGCTTTCTTTGCAGGACATTCAGATAGTAATTCTTTAGGCTGAACTTCCCCTTTAAAGTTAAAATGGATTCTTGCTTTATAACAAAATAGTTATCTAGACCATTGAAAATCTGTGATAATATAATTGAGTTCAAAAAGCATTTGGCACAAATGTAGCAATTTATTCGGAAAGTTTTTCGTTTAAAAATTTGCATCCTTCATTAGCGAATTTAAAATTTAGCAGCTTTTAGGATTTTAAATATTTTGTTGCTTATGCTTGGCGTATGAGCTGTGACGTCATTGTAATATACCTTTCCCTTTATTACGTCATCGACCAAGAGCGCACAATGCATGCATGTTGGTACTTGTAACCAAACCTGCAAACATTTGTTTATGTTATCTACTGCGATTACGCGGAATTATTTTATTATTGTTCACCACTTTGCTCAAAGTATCAACCAAATTATGTAAAACACGCGAGAAGTTTACGAAAACTGTGACGGCTGTGACGTCATTGTAATAGGAAATAATTGCGTCAAGCGTTCGACCTCTTCTGATTGCTAGAAAACCAAAAAACCCAGTTTTTACCACTATTGTTTCTTTTTGGTTACAGCAGTGCACTTTACTGAATGAAGTTAGGTTTTGTTTACTTGTTTCTTCCAATTTTCGACTACTTGTATGGAACTATGAGCCTGTGAATTCTATAAACTTTCAAATACTGGAGATGAAGCATTTCAGTATGCGAGCTTTTGATCGTATCGTTTTATTTTCATTTTCTTTTGTAGCGAATCAATCGAAAAGAGGACGACTGAGGCATTGGAAGATTACATTCTATGGCTCATCAATGAGCCCCAGAGAAATCCAACAAAGAAAGAGGTAATGAAAGAATCATTTTTCATTAAGACATAAAAGTTACAAGTTTTTATATCCTGAAAGTTCTTTAAAATTTACATAGATCATATCAGCTTGTTAACATTAGGCTTCATATAATATAATTTCATTTCATTTCAATTTACAATGTTAATTGAGTGATTCTGCTTAGGAATGAAGTTTGAGAAGATCACCGTCATTTTCTCGACATTTGCAAAACAACAGCCGACCCTACGTGACTTTAATATCAAAGTCTTACAGAAAGAGGCTGTGTAAAAATTCTCATAACAAAATGAGTCTGGTAACCGTACCGTGCTAATATTGGCTTCTGATTATTGCATAGAAGTTTTTTCATTTTTGTAAATCTTTTGTAGGCTGGTGAGGGAAGTTTCCAGTGGAAAGTATCTAAAAGAGCCTGGACCGCCATGTTTGCCTCCTCCGTCACCTGTTACAGAAAAAATCTTGTTCTCTGCAAGATTTCTCAAAGTAAGTGTTCAATATGACTTTTCTACAGTACTTTGTAGCACAGCATGTTATGGTTATCAGCTAGACCGATGGCTTAAATTGATTCATTTTTGAGAGAAATTTTTTGCCATTTATACGATTTTGCCGTTATTCTTGCTTTCCTTTAAATTCAGAGTACACTTTCGATGTAACGAACCCTGAAGGGAGATCGAAATAGTTCATTATATCGAGAGTTCGTTCTTTCGAAATTCTCAAAAGTTAGACTTTTGAGGGTAAACGACACTTTTTCTACCCAACCTGTATATTTAACGCAATAAGGGTGAGAAATACAGCCTACACAAGTATTGGATAATTTGATTTATATTGTTTCCTATTTAGGTTTCATCACAATGTATCGTTGTTCAACGTTTTGTTCCAACATTTACATTCCAAGCGGTCAATTTAGTTCTCATTCAATTCAAATTTATGCACATGATACGAGCATACAGCTGACGACAATGGTGATGTAAATGTGTATTCTTGTACCCCTAATGAAGCAGGGCTTATTTAGTTTGCCTAGAATAAAGGTTGAAAATGTTTACCAAACTAAATGAAGGACTGAAAGTGTATAATACACAATTGTGTAAAATAGAAATACAGAACATTTCAATATTAATGCGCCCACGCATCTTTGGTTAACAGGTTCTTCTGCTGCTCAGCGGTTTCATCTTCTTGGTATGCACGTATTTCGTGCTGGAGACTGTGTTTTCCAACGAAGGCAAGTTTCGCACAATTGATCTGAATGAATCAGATATCCAAGCAGCCGATGGCCTGGACCTCAAGACCTTTTTGCCCAAAGAACTAGCTGCTCAAGACCAGATCAGGCTCAAGTAATTCCTAGCCCATTTTTTCTTTTGCTCCAATTAAAAGACTGCCTGTATAAGATCTTTTACTTGTAATAGAAATGAGTATTTAAAAGACATATTTCTTTTCCAGGCTGCATCTTTTTATAGGTATCTTCTTATATAGATTTTCGCTCGCTATCGTGCACCAAAAAATGTTGAAAGATGTCCTTTATGGCTCTGCCAAATAATTATGTTTTGGAATGTAAAGAAATATGATAACCGGACGTATTAATTTTGATTTGCTACTATTTTTTGCTAATGTAAAATTCACTCAGCAATATTTGTTGTGTATTGGAACCTAAAATCAGAAGGAGGATGCCTTTTTTGCTGTGGGAGAGAATGGACATAAAACAGCCTAGGAAGTTCTGAATTTTGGGTTTAAGCCTTTCTCAAAGCGATTTGTATTCTAGTAGGAATATTATTACCTGCTTACTTTGTTTTAAAAGTAGTGCTTGTGGTTGGTTGACATTAGGACCACGATTTATTTTTTTCTTTCCAGAAAAATTAATTATTATCCAATTCTAGATAGATCATACAATGGTTTTTCGACCACTCTCGGACCTGTGATTCGTCTCTGCTTTAGATCCTGTCCTGGTTTTTTATTTTTGATGATTTATGACTGCTTCTTTTAAAAATACGAGTTTTTTTGCTACACAACTAAATAAACATTTTCACACTTCCGGGTTTTATGATTTTTTATTTTGTTTCTCGTAGTATTCTTCTGGAAGGTCGGACCCAGAAACAGCACTTGCTCAAATCTCCAAAAGGATTCTCTTCTGCACTTGCCGATCAATCCGCAGACAGTGAACCGGGCATCAAATCGAGTCCTACTGCGGTTTCAATTTTACTCACGCCGGATGATCTCTCAGAGACAAAACAATTCGAGGAACGACTGAAGCGAGCACTGGAACAGAGTCGAATTTTGCAAACGCAGCAAATGAACCAGATCATGAATCTTGAAAACGAGATCTCGATTGCAAATAAAGGCGATGGCTTCGATCTGCCTGCTGAAAAGAATGATGCAAAGCAAAAGAAACCGAAGAAACTAAAGGGAATCTTAAAAAAGCCGAGGCAGTAAGTGAATTTTGCTATTGTTATTCGACCTTATTTATACGATGCTGCATTTTACTTAGTACAATATCATAAAGTATTGTCCTACCGTTTGCATGGAGACGCGTTTGAATGCAGTATGAAATGGAGGCCAATGCAATATGAAATGGAGGCCAATACAGTTTAAAATGGAGGCTAATAGAGTATGAAATGGAGGCCAATGCGGTATGAATAAAAACAGTATTGTGTAAGCGACTGAATCAGATATGCTTTTTGAAGCGAACTGACAAGGAAGCAACTCTTAAAAAGCGTATATTACAGTAATGTTCGAATGGAGCCTTCAAGTACCTTGTCATTGTCATATAACATTGTCAAGTAGCCTGGAAATTAAAGCGACTACGATCAGTCACTTGAAGCACAATAAAACACTCCGAACAATCACAGCAAGTCAACTTTAATCACTCTACTCAATCAGTACAAGTTAACTCAAATCCTTTCAATATATCTCTCCAATCAAATACTATCTGCCCATTTCAATCACTTTAATCAAACTCTGCAGATTGATTCCAATCGTTCTAATCAATTACTCTAATCAATGATACCTGTCAATAGAATAAATTTATTTGAAGAATCCACGTTCTTGCAGCCACATGGACTTCGGAAACATGTCAAAGTTTTAGGGGCACAGTTAGGAAAGGGCACTGTCTCAGAATAAGGGGTAGAAAGTTTTAAGAGAGGGCCCGTCTTAGGCAAGGGTCGTTTTAATAAACTGTGTATGTAGAGGAAAGGCAATGATAGTGTGTTTCTTGAACTAGTTAACTTGAATTCGAGCATCACTTGCCGAAACATGACCGCAAATAAAACACAAGGGGGACCAAAAGTTAGGATATTTAATTCGATCTTCTTTCCTTTTTGTTTAGGCTGAAAGAGTGAATTTTTGTCCGCCCTGCTGGACAAAGAGCAGTTAAAGGGCAATTTGCAAAAAGAGCAATTAAAGATTGGCAAAGAGCAATTAAAGACATTGTAAAAGATATGAAAGGAAGATAATATCAAATTTTAATGGAAATAATCAACGGCTAATTTTGAAAAGATATTTTGAGGTAAGTGTTCGTAGAAACTGTAATTAAATAACGTTGGTGATGGCATTTCAGCTGTGGTGGCGGCAGCATCGTTGTATTTAAGAGCATCTTCTTAAATTCACAGAGTAGTTCCATTTATAGTCAAATTGTTTCAATAAATAACCACATATTAAGGTTTGTTGTAAAGTTCTGTAGCAATTCTTGCTAAATATCTTAGTATTGAACCAATATTGTAAGATTTTGATATTCAAAATTAATATATGTTTGTAGTTTATATATATTATTTCATATATTAATCCCGGTTAGGCGGTATGGGGTTTTCATCAGATATTCATCGGATTTTAGTATTATTGAATATTCCATTGTTTGATATAAGATCTTCTCCATTTCAATAAATAGCTTGAGCAAAGGTCACAGTTATAACACATAAAGTCGTTTTCCCCTTCAGACAGTATTTACTTGTGATGAAAATCTGATGAAATAATATGACCGTGTAACAGGGTCTTTAAGCAAATTAATATAATATATATGTTTCTATAACAACACATTATTATAATCTGTAGCAATCACTGCAGACTGCAAATACTGATTGAGTCATAATAGTTAACGTAAGTGACGTAAAATTGAATTTTATTAAACCGTATAAAACTTTAGATGGCAATTGTTCTTGATAGTTTGGACATTAACACAATTTGCGATTAAATATTTTCAAATATGAAAAGACTCTTTGTAGCAGTTTTTAGTAGCAGAAACTGTAATTACAGCTAATAATTGCTCTATCTTTTCAGAGAAAGAGCTTCACTATTTGCTGTCGTCTGTGCTAATTTTTATCAATTGAAAACCGTCAAAAATTAAAAACACATAAAGATTGCTTGAAAGTTTTATAACTCCGAATTATTTCAGATATGTAAGATCATAAACGACAATAATTTAACCTAGTTCTTCGATGAAAGCTATTTTTTTAAAAAACAGATACATGTCAGACGGGTCAATTTTCGGTAAAAAGGTAAGGCTTACAAAAGTGGTCAAATATTTTTGGAAATTTTTTCTTCCAAAAACAGCTGAAAATGCGTCTATAATATCGAAAACGACAATAATTTAACCTAATTCTTGGATGAAAGCAATATTTTTCGAAAAACAGTGACATGTCAGACGGTTCAATTTTCGATAAAAAAGTAAGGCTATAGGCTTACATAAATGGTCAGATATTTTTGGAAATTTTTTCTTCCAAAAACAGCTGAAATTGCGTCTATAACATCGAAAACGACAATAATTTAACCTAATTCTTGGATGAAAGCAATATTTTTCGAAAAACAGTGACATGTCAGACGGGTCAACTTTCGACAAAAAAGTAAGGCTATAGGCTTACAAAAATGGTCAGATATTTTTGGAAATTTCTTCTTCCAAAAACAGCTGAAATTGCTTCTATAACATCGAAAATGACAATAATTTAACCTAATTCTTGGATGAAAGCAATATTTTTCGAAAAACAGTGACATGTCAGAAGGGTCAATTTTCGACAAAAAAGTAAGGTTATAGACTTACAAAGATGGTCAGATTTTTTTGAAATTTTACCTTCCAAAAACAGCTGAAATTGCTTCCATAACATCGAAAATAACAATAATTTAATCTAATTCTTGGATGAAAGCAATATTTTTCGAAAAACAGTGGCATGTACGAAGGGTCAAATTTCGATAAAAAAGCAAGGCTTTAGGCTTACAAAAGTGGTCAAATATTTTTGGAAATTTTTTCTTCCAAAAACAGCTGAAATTGCGTCTATAACATCTGAAACGAGAATAATTTAACCTGATTCTTGGATGAAAGCAATATTTTTCGAAAAACAGTGACATGTCAGAAGGGTCAATTTTCGACAAAAAAGTAAGGCTATAGGCTTACATAAATGGTCAGATATTTTTGGAAATTTTTTCTTCCAAAAACAGCTGAAATTGCGTCTATAACATCAAAAACGACAATAGTTTAACCTGATTCTTGGATGAAAGCAATATTTTTCGAAAAACAGTGACATGTCAGACGGGTAAATTTTCGACAAAAAAGTAAGGTTATAGGCTTACATAAATGGTAAAATATTTTTGGAAATTTTTTCTTCCAAAAACAGCTGAAATTGCGTCTACTACATCAAAAACGACAATAATTTAACCTGATTCTTGGATGAAAGCAATATTTTTCGAAAAACAGTGACATGTCAGACGGGTCAATTTTCGACAAAAAAGTAAGGTTATAGACTTACAAAAATGGTCAGATATTTTTGAAAATTTTTTCTTCCAAAAACAGCTGAAATTGCGTCTATAACATCAAAAACGACAATAATTTAACCTAATTCTTGGATGAAAGCCATATTTTTCGAAAAACAGCGACATGTCAGACGGGTCAATTTTCGACAAAAAAGTAAGGTTATAGGCTTACAAAAATGGTCAGACATTTTTGAAAATTTTTTCTTCCAAAAACAGCTTAAATTGCGTCTATAACATCGAAAACGACAATAATTTAACCTGATTCTTGGATGAAAGCAATATTTTTCGAAAAACAGTGACATGTCAGACGGGTCAATTTTCGACAAAAAAGTAAGGTTATAGACTTACAAAAATGGTCAGATATTTTTGAAAATTTTTTCTTCCAAAAACAGCTGAAATTGCGTCTATAACATCAAAAACGACAATAGTTTAACCTGATTCTTGGATGAAAGCAATATTTTTCGAAAAACAGTGACATGCCAGAAGGGTCAATTTTTGAGAAAAAAGTAAGGCTATAGGCTTACAAAAATGGTCATTTATTTTTGGAAATTTTTTCTTCCAAAAACAGCTGAAATTGCGTCTATAACATCTGAAACGAGAATAATTTAACCTAGTTCTGGGAAGAAAGCCATATTTTTCGGAGAATAGCGATTTATAAGATGGATTATTTTCGATTCAAAAGTCCATTCATAGGCTTGCAAAAATAATTAGAATTTTTGGAAAAATTTTCCTCCAGAAACAGGGTAATTTGCATTGAAATCGTCAGTATGGTCGAGAAATGAATTTTGGTCGGGGATGCAAGCTAAAACCTTTCGAAAAACAGTGATATGTCAGACGGGTCAATTTTCGATAAAAAAGTAACGATATTCTAGGCTTACAAATATTGGCAATCTTCCAAAAACAGGTCAACTTGCAACTACATCACAAGAATGGACAAGAAATGAAATTAATTCTAGAATGAAAGTTATATTCTTTCAAACCAGCGATATTTAGATAGGCCTTTTTTTGCTAACAAAAATTGTCAGTTTTTTTTAAAAATATTTCTTCTAAAAAAGATTTCATGAGAATGGTCGAGAAATGAATTTAGTTCCGGGATAAAAGTCATATTTTTGAAACAATGGCGATATTTTAGATAGTTCTATTGTAAACAAATGGAAAATGCGTAAAAGTTTAAGTTTTGCAACAAGACCAGGGTAAATCTGTTCATTCTCTATGTTATTAGGAGCTTGTTGCGGCATTAGTGATAGTTTTGAAGGGAAATATATTAGTGCTAAACGATTATAAACCACATAAAAGCTAAATGTAGGGACATCGAAAGAATAACAAAGTTAATTGGTACAGACCGAGTGGGATACTTTTTCACATAAAAAGGGACAGTTCTACCCAGAAAAAGGGTTACTTTTCCAAAAGTAGTAAAGAAGACACTTCTTAGAAAGTGTCTTGCAAAACTTGCAAGGCAATTACCCCTTGTGCCCCCCGTCTCGACGTCTCTGGTTAAATGTACCGGGAAAATCCTTTCATTCCGCCTGTAGCGATGTATTAAATCAAAATGTCACAGAAGTATATATGATTTATAATGTCACCTGTAAAAGCGATTCGTGGTAAACCAAAAAGACCCGGCGCTTGAGCAATGAGGCACAAGAGAATATTTACAGAACACGTGCTTCTTTTAAAACGAAATGAGAACATCCTTTAGAATATATCATTTGCCAAACAATAATACTTTGAATACAATAATTAATCCAACCCAGATTTCTGTTTTACTTTCCTACAAAAGTGTTATTAAAAAACTATCTAAGTTGAGCCCAATGACATTTCGTCAAGAATTGGTATTCCAGGTCCCAGTCGCCAGCCTAAGAGGTCTCCTTCACAAAGGCAATAGCAGCAAGTTCCTGAAAAGGAGTTGAATTAATGATTAAAATTATAATGAAGTGACGTAATTTCAAATGCTAGTACCCAGGACTTTTATATAACACGGGTCATTTTATAAAGCGTTATGTTAACAAGATTCTGTTTATATTTGGTGAATGTTTTTTTCTTGTGTTTCATCACAAGGGCCGCCTGGATGTTTTTGAGACCCTGGGGCAATAGCGGAAGATGAGAAAATTTTTGCGACCACGCCCATTAGATTAGTTAAATTAATTCATTTTTTTAAAGCTTTTTACTATTATCAGGCCTAATTTTTACCTTGAATAAATTCCATTTTAAAATGGAATTCATTACTTTATGAGGTCCCCTAGACCTCCAGACCCTGGGGCAATTAGCCCCCCTTGTCCCCTCTCTCAGCGGCCCTGCTCATCACATACATCATTAGAGCACATACTATACCTCAAAATATGCAATTACTGGAAACAAAAAATACGCTGATAAACTTTCATGAGTGGTAATTTCATGAAGATAAGGAAAAAACGTATTGATAACTTATGTTCTGATTACTTTCAAATAAAACAATACTGAGAATGAGCATAAAATATTTTGAATTCTGAAATGTACTTTGCCTTAAAATTTCAATCATTGTATTCTGCCTGTAATATTTATGTGTGCAGTTGTAATTATTGATATACTTAAATGAAAACTGAAGCCTGAGAAATCATCCCCCAAGAAATCTTACCTTGCAAAATTCTTCCAGTATTACGGCTGATTGCATTACGTTTTCATTTACAATGCTGCAAAATAATTCACAAGGCAGTTACTCAAACTGGCGAAAAACAATAGACCACGAAAGTAATGAGGCTGGCAATAATATGCTGTAAATGTAATCATGCCAAATAAAAGAGAACACATAAGGGTGGAAATAAATCATACTAAAGTGACTTTTGAGAGATGATTTTGAAGGATTGCTTTCAGTGCGATTAAGTAGACTTTGGTATGACATGTTTCCGCTCTTTCGTTCTATTTTCAAATTTTGTGGTGCCGAAATAAAAAGCAACAACAAACTAGGCTACACAATAACAGATTACCGAAAATAAGAAAACTCACTTTACATCTTGGGTTTTGATGCCCATTAACTTTTTCCTAATATTCAGCAGGTTAGTTTGAAAATATGGAATCTTCTCTGATCTGGAAACTAAATCAGCAGAAACCTAAAATGGAAAAGGTTAGCCGATTGATAAACAAGTTACAAAGAGCTAATATCACTTTAGTTATTACTGAGTAGCTATCAATGACTGATTAATAATCTACAATAGAAATCAAGGATTCAAATTCAAGTTAATAATCAATCTTTTTTCCTTGCACGTTGATTGGTTGAGAACAAACAATACCCTCCTTCCTTGAGGCATGCTATTTGTATGAAAACATCTCATGAACAAAAGGTAGTGGCATCAAGTTGAAATACGATGAACTGGAATATGAAATGTCATTTTAACTGCCTAACCATCAAAGGTATCAGTCGAATAAATACCTTTTTTAGTAGTCTATGGGGCGTTAGGTATTCCTCTTTAACTGGGCATGTGTGATCCAAAACAAATTCGCTAAGATTAGGATGCGGAAATTGGCACAGCGTTGACAGAATCGCCGTCATTATTAAATTGATATCATATGGCTGAAAGAAAAAAAAATACGTCAAATAGCGAAGTAGGATGAGTAACAATGCTCCTAGAAACTTGAAAAGGGAACAACTAACAATATTATTAGCAATACAGTATATATCATAAAAGCAATGGATGAAATTGCTCCTGTCCCTCTTAAAGGGGAAGTAAAACCCCTTCCAAATATAATGTATGGTGCAGAATTGGCTACCTGGATAGTAGCAGTGAAAAACTTACACAAATTGCTGCATTTTTCAACAGAGGGGTAATTTTTTTACATGATTCAAATCCCTTACTTTTGAAAGACTTGAATAATCGATCTGGTGTTCAAAATGCAATGATTGTCCCGTAGTCAACCTTCTTGGGTGTGAGGAGTAAGCAACAATGGTTACAGAGAGTAAGGAAACTGGCACAATGCTCAAGAAAAGAACAAGATAATGAGGAAAGCAATTACTTTGAACAAGTGTAAGGAAGTTACTTACTTGGTCTAAAAACCCTTGTAGCCTCTTGAATAAAGCACGAAGAAACGAGCCCTCGTAAAAATGTTGCCTCCTTTTTTCGTCAGAATGCGAAACGGGTGATTTAGGCCAGTTGAACTCCAGTGACTGGGTCGCTCTAAATGCACACTGTGCAAAGTAAAAACAAAAATATGAAACGAGTTGAATAAGATGTACAGAGTTCGATGGGGCAATAATTCGGGTAAAGTCCCAGACGTGACGAAGGAAATAGACACTGAGGTTGAATGCGATAAAAACTGTGCCAAAAAAGTACAATGTTTAAACCTCGAGGTAATGAAAATCAGTGAGCACCGACGAAACTTTCAACGTAATCTTGAAAATATTTAATTGTATACAGGCGCGGATCTAGCCAAAATTTTGACCGGTTTCGGGGTGCTTTACCCCGTAGCAGCCCTGTGAGTGTTATTGGTCCATAAATACTGCTACAATTTGCTAATGCGGTTAGTAAAATATGATTAATTTGCCTACGCTTTATCTAAAATGTCACAATTTCACTACGTTGGCCTTTGATTCTCTTCTTTCAACTTCGAAAGTAAAATTTACCGACGAAGACATATGTTTAGGTGATATTACACCTGCCGACAGAAATTTACCGAACAACTAATGAAGTATTGAAGGGTATCACATCCCCCTCCATTCCCCGCTAGCTAGGCACCTGCTGGTATGTTTCAAAAACGACGCATACAAAAGGCAAACTACCTGTTTATGTGCATCCCTCAAGTATGTTTCGTAGCCGGATTCACCAGCCAGTTGAGATGTTTTTAGGTTGTCGGGCAGCAACATCAGAAAACTGCGAAGAATAAGGAGCAATGTGTTACCATGTTCATGAAAAAATCAAAAATTTGTCAACTCTTGGAGAAAATGAAATCAAACAACAATCCCTACCCATTGACAATTTTCTCTATCCTTTGTTTATCAAAGACTTTTTCTTTCGTTGATTCGTCGGTGTTTTCGGTTCTACCATTCACCGTCTGACTGTCTTCCACTTTCTTATCTTCTTCTGCCAGGATTTTCTCTTCAGTTTCACAATCTTCATTGCACGAGGCTTCCCCATTCGTTTTGACTGGTTCAATAAAATACGATCTGTCTTCCAAGTTTCTGATGACCAGATTTCGTAGCACAGCTTCGTGTGGCAGGTTTAAAAGAGCTTCAAAGAGTCTGAGCGTTTCAAGTGATAACTGGAAAGAAGAGCCATAAACTGAGTTGAAAATACTCGAAACGATTATGTTGTATCTTCAGTGCTATTAACGGGCTTCGTAGCGCGTTGCAAAGTGCAGGATGAAGTAAACACGATTGAAAACGAACACATTCCTGTGTTTTTGGCGTGTTTACAAACACGGCCCTCATCTCTTTCAAATCTGATTTTTCACCAGTCTGCTGACTAAGCCATCATATTAAAAAGTACGATTCATTGTACATTAGGTACCGAAAATTTCCGTGGGATTTACTTTCGGTGAAGCAGGGCAACCGAAAGTAAATAAATCTAATAGGCTGACATCAAAATATTCGAATTTTTTAACTTCTATGATAACGTTCCAGATAATTTCATGTTGAAGGTAGAAATGACTTGAAGGTGAAAATTTCTTCACTCACCGAAATGTCTTCCTTCCACGGAAATTCTTCAAGTTCTCACCGACCACCGAAATTTAAACGGAAATTTCAAAAAAATGACCGAAACTTTTCCTCATTCAAAATTAACCCACAGAAATTTTTGGAACCAGATTTTTTGTTAATAAATATTCTTAAAAATGGCGAAAATTACACGTTGAAATCTAATATCAAAAGTACTCACGAGATCAGACAAGTGATCGATTCTTTTGATCAACATATTGCGTAACCTATGGCCTCCATCCTGTCCCTCAACCTCGCAATCAGTATCATCGCCGAGTATAAAAGTGCAGAACTCTGGAGATAATTGTGAACTTATTAAAGGTTCTACAGCAAACATGGTCAGAAGTTTTGTGGTGACAGTGAATGCAAAATAGATTGAAATGTCGTAAAAATCAACAAAGCAACGATATAGAAAAATACTGAGAAAAAAAAACAGAAAATTGAAAGAAATAAATTGATAACAGATGTATCTAAAGATTAGACGAAAAACAAATGAAGCAATGGCCGATTCAAGCATAATTGAATCAATGCTGCCTGCTTCGCATCAGGAATTTTGATCCACAGCGGATACAAACTTAATAACGTTTCAGCAAACACCCAAAGTTTTTGGCTTAAGAACGTCCGGGTGACAAGAAAAAGCCTGATTTTAAGATAATGCAATCCGTATGAAGGTTGGACTTGCATTCAACGAAGTTTGCTACTGGTAAGCAAAGAAAAAGAAAAACAAGGAACTGACGGGTAAACATTAAATAAATGCAATAATTAAATAAAAACCATATACTATAAACCCACCATTCAGAAGAATTGGCGCATCGATTATTTTTAAGCATCTGATGAGAATTGCAGTTGTAGAAATTATTCCTGATTCGGATCTTAAAAAACAAACAGAGATATATTAAAAGTTTAAATACAAAAGATACATTGAAAATGTCACATTTCAAAGTGTGATGACTGAAGATGACATCAACATTAAAAACGAAAGAAAGATTTACAGAATTGTATGAAATGTACTGTATTTATTTAGCAGATGGGGAATACTTACGCTTGGAGAAGTTTTGACTGCATCAGGGACATCAGAAATCGATCTCGGATTGCTTCACCTAGACCTCTGGAAACCATCTAAATAGAAAAGGAAAATAATGGGCAATAAATTTATGGCGTCGTAAAGTAGAGAGAAGGAGGAAGGGGCAGGTCGAGTCTAAGATTGTTTTAGATGTGGTACTAGGCAAAGAGGGTTATTAAGAGCTTTTTTAGACTCCCATGAAAAGGTGATTCCCATAAGATAAAGTTCTGACTTTGGCGACGAGGGGAAGAAGATTCAAAGAAAGATTGTGATCTTTGATTTTTGATTTGGTGAAAACTCCCTCCTTTCGAAACGATCACGAGCATTTAAATGTTTACATATTCTTAAAAATTATCGATGGCATCATTGGTCGTGTGGATTTAACGGTCAGAAAGATTGGAATTCTAAAGTTTTGGATCGTACTTGACAAGGGAAGAGAGGAATAATAAAAATCTTGAAACTATGCACAAGTGGACAGGGCTCATTAATAAAATTTTGGGCCTGCCAACGCAAAGACGAGCAAGAAGGTGTCTGCATGTAAAATAGGGTGCAACTCATAGTCAGATAAATTCAGAGCCTCCCTGCTACGTTCAGTACTGTTATACCAACTTACGTTTGTCGAAAGCAGATACCATATCAATATCATCATGAACTACAAGTAACTACATGTAACTTCATGTAAGACTGAACAGATGACATAATAAATGCCACTAGCGTTACATTATGTACATAAAAAAGGGAATGTCAAGTAGCCCTATCGCTGTTATCGATTTCATCAAATAAAGACATCGTCAGTAAAAACGCTTTCCGATGTCTTAAAAGCTTTAATTTAAATGGAGCAGTTTTGTTTACAAAATCTTCTTTCAAGGTTTGTGAATTTTAGGATTTTGCTTTCGCTTCCTTGGCAAAGGTTGCAAGAATTTCTACATTACACTGGTTTTTTCTCATTTTAAAGATATTACAAATAGCCATGAAAGATGCTATTCCCATGTAAGATTCAATAAAGGGAAATAAAATCGATTTAGAAATGTGCCTGCAGGAATTCCTGAGAATGAACTTTTGTGCCTGCTAGCGCCGCTCACGCAGATTAATGAGGCCTGCAGGTGGATCGTTTAAGATGACAAAATCGAGGGTTTTCTCTGTCCATTCTACCTTTAAGCATTCAATTACAGTTAGCTTAAACCTTGTTGATCCAATTAAACACAGTTTCCTGCGTTTTTAGGCTAAGTCAATACTATTGTATAGGTAATTTGAGGACTGAACTAAAAAAGACTAAACTTCAATATTAGTTCTGGCACAGAATTCTATCACTTTTTCATATGAAGCTAAAACTTACCGGATGAGCCTCTTTGCACAGGGAGTTGATGTAATCCAACCAGGATAGAACTGAAATCAATTGGCGTTTACCAGGAAATGAAACTGAATTGTGATCATCGGAATAAATGTCCAGTCTGCAAAAAAACATTGGTATTAGCATAATAACTATCATTTATTAGAAATTTTAACAGGCAGGGATGGCAGTTGGGGAAGCATACAGCCAGCATTTTTATAAGCTTGGGACAAGGAAGATAATTTAATCCTGAAACTGAATAGAAAGTCCCTTAATCGGAAATTTTATGGTGCCACCTCTGATTGCAAGATTGCTAATTGAATCTCACTTGCATATACGAGCCTTATCTAGGATAATCCAAGGGCTTAAATTATCAGTAAGAAGCAACGATTTCAACAGTTAGAAGATGAGGTAAATTGACTTAAACTGAGCTCACATCCCCATTCAAATGAACTGCATTGTATTATGTTGGCTAAATAGCGTAGAAAAAGTCAACCAATGAAAAATGTTTTCAATAGCTAACAAGATAAGATGAACTTGGCAACAAAGAACTTCCACCAAAAAGTAAAATTAAGTATCAAAAACAAACAAGATGTTAATCAAAGGAATTCTGCATTATTACAAAAACTCTAACAATCTTGTCTCATGGACTGAACAACTAACTGTTACCATAGATTAGTAATCTTCCACAAAATTAATTGTATTGCACTATACATGCAGAATAACAGAAAGTGATAATGTAGCCTTTGGAAAAATATTATCAATAGCTTACTTTAAAATTTAAGCTTTAAAAAACTTTAGAATCAATACATCGCGAGCATGGTTAAATGGAACTACAAAAAGAATCCTGAAATCCGAATTATTACGAAAAACTTACATGTTTTTGTCTCATGAACGAGAAAAATGGGGTAAAACATTTTATCAGAGATGCAGGATACCTTAAAAAAAACAGGCCTATAATGCAACAAATCTGAAATAAATTACGTGCCCCCATTTTGCTGATATTAATGCAACATCTGCTGGGTCCATCGAGTCGGGCAAACTTTGAAACAATTTGCAAAGCCGGTCAGCCTAACAAGGAAAGAAAGGAATGCATGGTGAGTCGTTATGAAATCAACATGCATTTATGTCGTAATTAAATTATTGAATGTGTGAATATATCAAACTGAAGATAATAAAATTTTGAGCTTTGTAACAAAATTAATAAACTGGTATAGACTTTAAAGCTACACACTGGCGTGTGGTCGAGGAAAAATTTCGGATGATCGCATAAATCATGAAACTCAGAGAAGCAAAACAGAGTTGCCCTGTTCTAAACATCAAGCATGCACAGATCTGTCTACTTGGTTATTTAACATTAAACTAGAATATTGAAGTGTTCGAAATATCTTTTGCATGAATTAGATAAGAAATACTGAAAACAATAAATTCAACTTAACTAGAGCATGCATGTTAGCTTCAAATATTTTTTAAATAGACACAACTGGAGCACCCTTTTTAACGTGTTGCCATTATGTAGTTCACAAGATAAAAGCCTTTTGGGTCCAATTAAATTTAAAAAACTGAGCTGAGAATCGACACATTAAACTTGGTATTAAATCTTAATTTATTCCAAAGTGTGTGCATTTAGCCATACTTAGTCCATTAAAAAAACATCCGAGAGATTGATTCATGATACTATATCCAATTTACGAGGGCAGGGGCATCAGGCTAAACACAGAAGAGCGTCACTCATATTTGGTTGGTGTGAGCTATGCTGGTTATAAAAACATAACAGAGTTGAGAAACTATGATTTCACCATACATGCTAAGCTATCGCATCACTTTGGTCTCGTTTGCAGCAGTGTAAATTAAGACTTTGGTTTACTATAGAATCATTCAGCAGACCCCTGTTGACTTACATACACCTGAATGTCAACTGCATTTAGAGAAAGGTTTGCGTAGCCACTACAGAACTTTCACCTACAGTTGTCAGTAGCATAACAGGGGGCTGATAAGTATCGAGATCGGACCTCGTGGAAGGTGAAAATCCTTTCTTGTACCAATCCAGTCAAAAGTCTGCGTTTTATCACATTCGACATTTCTCTTATCAAATCAATTAATGTATTAAAAGGTTAAATAGCTCTGCTATCCAATGTATCACATAACTGACCAACAACAATCTCATTGTCAATAAAACGACAGTTGCTTATCAGAAAGCACATGCAGAAGTCCCTCATCAGTGCCATGGTTAGGTGTTGGTGATGGCAGGGAGAGGGGGTAGTTCTAGATTACTTAGACAGTACTAATTGGGGAGGCGGAGAGGGCGGGGCATTTCTAGATGACATAGACATAGGCGCAGTACTAATAATCGACATGTAATACAAAGCTTGGGCATTGTAATCATGTTGAAATACATGTAAATCGTTCCAAATTACTGGGGACACGAGCTCTCTATTGCCCCAAGTAATTGCACGCCAGCTTAATGCTATGCCTTTGAAACGAAACTCGTTATCTTACCATTCTCTCGCAAAGGGCTGTATACAGAACAATAACTGTGGCAGCATTATCTTCCCTAATCGACGAGCAAAGAAGCAAGCCTTCGCATGCTTTGATTGCCACTCGACTGTCCTGAAAAAGTTATCATTTGTATTATACACTAAAGAGAGGAGTGAAATTTGCAGGTGGTGAAATTCAGAGGCAGCTAAACAAAACCCAGAAAGGATACAGCGGAAAACTAAACAGTGCTTTCAAATCAAAGTAGCATTTTAGTAACGAAAAATACATCAAGCGTGAAACTAGTAGACGCAGCTTATAAACTTCCAGTGTTGCACACCAAAACAAACTGTTTTTAGTGTATACATAAAATTGAATCGTAAGTAGGAGATTTGTTTTGTTTCAACAGTGTATGAATACAGTGTATCAACAGAAAAAGCTTCTACAATAACTTTATGCGAGAGTTAGAGTCGCCTTCACCCAGTCTAATGAATAAGCTGTCATTACCTCACTCCTGTTCAATTCAAGAAGTGCATCAACCAGTGCATATTCAGGTCTTAAGCCTTCACCAGTAGCTTCCTCTACGGGTGCGTTGATTTCTTTCAGACCCTGATCAGCGCTCTCTACTGGGGCCTACATGAAAATGAGCAATAGTGGGGTGATGATGATGAAATGAGCAAGAAACAGCTTAATTTACAAAAAAGGGTTGGGGGTAAGGTTCAGGTACTGGGAGCAGCTGTCTATGTATACCTGTGAAATTAGCTTTCAATATATGTTTATTCACCTTGACAAGGCGAGCAATTTACCACACTACTTGCAGTTATTTAGTGCATGTGCACTGGACGGTGAGATCACATCCTATTCCAGATGTAGCAAATTGCAAAATTTTGCAAGCTTGAATATGGTTGCGGACCTGAAAGGAATATGACATACCTCGAGGAAAAAGTTAACCAAATATGGGTCTTGCTTCAGCTTTGAACATACTTGACACAAGAACTGCACTTCTTCATTCTCAGTTGGTGCTGCCTTTACTTCACCACAGCATCTTATTAATTTCTAGGACATCAAAAACATTGCTAACTGAGCTTGGAAAAAAAAGTTTGGCAAATTCAACAACATCAAACAAAGGGTTGACAGAATTCGTTCTAACATGAAGTGGAAGAACACAGAAGGAAGACTTGTAGCAAGTAAAAACAAAGGGATAAATCTGAAAGGACATTAACCATCATGCAAAAGGAAGGTCATACTCCATTTAATAATGAATTATCTGCTGGGAGGAGTCAAGCCTTACTGATGTAGATGTGAGAGGAAGGCCTTCTGTCTTAAACAAGGAAATGTCTTTGGAGCTGAATGGTCAACAGCCCTCTTGTTGCTATTTTAACAAGGCCCTATTCATCTAGCTTTGGGTATCTGTTATTTTCGATAGAACAAATGTCAAACTTTATGAAAATAAGTAAATGAAAAAATAAAACTCACATGAACTGGTTTGTACACATTGACATGAGGTAAGAGGGGTTGGGCCATTTTGCCAAGCAAATTGGTGAAAAATATCAAAACTTGCTGTTTCATTCCTGGTGGACACTGTTTGAAACAAAGTATAATTTAAAAGATAAACAAATTACTTATAAAAGATATGTAAATTGAAGATCAAAATACAGAACAAGTTCAATGACTCCTAAGCTCATAAATTCTTAACCTGGAAGAAAAATCCAGAAAACTATTATTGAGATTAGATTGAGAGCAAAAAACCAAATTTAAAGGGTGACATCACAAAAATACTTTCATCTTATAATTTGGATCATTTGCTAAATTTATCACCATCACCTTTATTGGCTAATTGACATTTATGCTTTTTTTAAATATCCATACTCCTGACTTAAGTCCCTTGAAAATAGTGAAATCCTTGTTTAGCATTTCTCATCTTTTATATTTCTGACAAAATACAAAATGAAGATATCAAAATTATTTACATCAGCTCTTCCCAATGTTTGCATGGTATCTAGTAACTTGTGTTGCAGCATATACTCCATGCACGGACCCTAGATATAAAACAAGATATCTAACTATCTGCAAAAATGTAAATACAAGTTCTTGATAGGCATTATGCTATCTGGCGTATTGTATTTCCTTGATTTACCCCTTTTGGATTGAGTGCCTTCCTCCAATACCAAACAGTTTGTAACCAGAATTTCAAAGATAAGAAAAAGGTATTCAGCCTGTATCTTTTTTTAAAATTGAAAAAAAATTGAAAATTTTTCAAAACCACCCTTAAAATTGGCCTAAAATATTTTGATCGAAAAAACTCAATTAAGTGTCTCCAGACTTAATGTCTTAGTGTCTCCTAACCAAACTCAATTGGTTAGGTATCTCAAGATCAATAACAATAATAGCCCAAGGGTGTTTAATTAAGGAAACACTGTACTGTAAGATTATTACAGAGAATAGCATGAAACTTCATCAAACTTCAGCCTAAATATTGGAGAAGTGGTAGATATATTCTAGGTATGCCCATTGGAATAAAGGTGATTCATTTGTTATAGATTATTTGAAAAATGCATTCTAATTTACAAGGGAAAAACAATAAATAAAAAAATCTACTATGATTGATCAGAATCCATCTGAAAAATATCCAATTAACACTTTTGCTTTTAGTGGAACCTCTTAAACCCTGATGAAATCAGTACAGCTTATATATAAACTTGTAGCCAAAACAAAGTCACTGGGTCTTAAACATGGGAAAGCATAGTTGCACCTCCAGACCAACTCTCATATATGGTGGATCACTTTAGATCAGACAAAAGAATCTGGCTAATGTGAAGCCTGACTTATACATAAAAAATTGTATCAAGCACCCCAGAGTACACAGCCTAATACTATCAGATGAAGCATGGATAGAATGAATACATAATTTTATAAGCAGATGTTAATAATCTTTAGTGCCTATAAAGTATCTAAAATAGGCTAAGGTGATTCTTAAGTCTGTGGTAAAAGGTTCCTACTTTTGCAAATATCTGAATCTGAAATATGCATTGATAACTAAAACCTATTACACAAAACAGGCTCAAAAAAGCTCTTTCTTATTTGATTTTGTAACTTATGCGAGTCTGACTTATGTTGTCTGACTTTGGCAAATCCAACTTATCACAGTCTGAGATACAAGAGTTTGACTGTTCTATAATCAATTAGTGATGTGTTAAAATGATAAAGATGCCATACAGTAGCCCCATGTTCTTGTTCTTCCTGCTCAAGAATTTCAATCATTTGTTCCATATGCATTGGTATATTGGTTGCTGATACAGCAATTCTGTCATCTGAAATTAAAACCATTGGGTTGTTAAAATCATGTAATCAGATCCAAGATGTGCATTTTCATTGATTTTTAGAATTTTCTTTCAGCAAACAGAAAGAGGCTTAAGTTTTATCTTATTTTAGTTTGCTTACAAGATGTTGAAAAAAAGGATGTAACTTTTTTGTTTTAATTACTTTTAGATGTGTACAGTTCTTTATTGAGGATGTATCTTGAATACCTGATGTTTTATGAATGCCTTCTTGATAGTCTCAAGTTACACAACTTTGCAGAATTTTTTTAATGAATTGACCTTTGCAAAGACATGCAATATTGCCTGTTATTCAACTGTCTACAACATTCTAATTTTGGGGCAATAAGTAGTATAGCATTGACATATAACAATCTGGAGGAAAAAAGAAAAAGAATTTGCATCAAGATTACCAGTTGTTTCCAAAAAGAAAGATGTGACACTTTTCCAGTGGTACTGAAATCTTTCCAGCCTTGGAAGATCTGGTGCAAGCTGAAAATAAAATATCAATACTTGGATACTATTCAGGAAACTAAATATAGACCGAGGTATTAACTCATACTGAAGCTAAAACTTTAGGATGCACTTCAAGCAAGAGGATGAGTAAAAACTCAGGTAGAGTAAAATATATTTTATGATTTGAACTAGTGCTTAGTTTTATGTTCCATGTATACCACACTGACAACCATTTATTTTCTAGTTTTGAGCAACAATATTGCCTTGAAATTCTTATGATAAAATTAATATGGAAACTTTTACAAACTTCTGCTTTCAAAGTACAAGAGACCAAATGCAATTCTTGTGAAGGCTAATTAGAATTAATCATGAATGCATCATTGTGGCTTTATACCAAAATACAAAAAATTATGGAAAAGTGCCCTTCCAATATAATAATCCATCAGAAAAGAGAAAAATTTTCAATGCAAAACACATATTTAGGGTACATAAAGGTCCTCTCAAAATCATAGAGTTGTAGCAAAAAGGATACTTTTCAAAAATATCACCTTTCACTTAACATTTTTCATTAAAATCAGATGAAATAGAAAATCCACCTAAGAATTGGAGGACATGCCGCCTCCCAATGGGCCACGCAAGACTTTAAAGTTTGTTCTTCACAGAGAATGCTTTCCCCATGCAATAATTATCATCCTACATTCTGCCCGTGCATTATTTAGAGCCATGTTCTCATGGAACATTCCATATTCAAGCTTCAGAGTTCTGATTTCAAGAAAAGAGAAAGAATACAAGATCTCCTCCAAAGCCTTTGCTACAAATTCCATGTATGCTTTCTTGCGATAGATTTGTTATTTGCAACTTTGATTTTTATTGTTCTGAGTTCCTTGCGCAAAAACAACTTTACCATCTGGGCGCCACCATTGATTTGACCTTACACAAATAAGAATGTTCTGTCGGGCTGGATGTGATACAAACTTTTTTTTTCTTTAGCACAATGCAGTGACTCTCATCTCAAAATACCCCTAATACACACAAAGAAATTTCGCCAGACAAGAAGCACTTTTGGTGTAGTGTGATCAATTAGTCGAATGGCCAGACAAATTGATCATTTTATATTTTCCTCAAGTGATCAATGGGCTTTATCTACCGTAATATACTCTGACCCATATGCAAAACTGGCTGAAATGTCGCAAATAATCAAATGTTAAACAACAAGAAGGAACACTTATATGTGCAATTGTTTGTCGGTACTTTTATTTGTTGCCTTTTATGTATAAGTTTTGAATTAGCAGGTAACAAATTATCAAAAAAACATTATTCTCAAAGAACAATTTCAATTAGATGGCGGATTGATGAGTCTTTTTTCTAAATGCCCATCTTCACGTAACAAAAGAACTTGCAAAATACTAAATGCGTGAGATCGGCAAAGAGCAATCGTTAAAATGAAAACAAGAAAACGAGGGACTGACAAGTGCAATTTGTACATACCGCTTCGACGGCATTATGAAGAAAAGACTGTAGTTTTGTGAACATCCTCTTTTTGATTTGCCGTTTCATCTATCTGCTTTGTGCACAGCACCGAAAACAACCCAATTAAGCAACCTTTTCTGCTGGTTTCTGCTCATTGCCCACGTAAACACTTCGCCATTTTCAACTTAAATTTACCATCGAAATGCGCATGTCACTTTTCGTGTTCCTTCGCAGCGTCAGTTCTCGGAAAACCGCCCGAAGCTTTTCCCGCGTAATTTACTTGTTGTTGTTGATGCCACTCACTTTCCGCTCGACTCGTGTATTGCAGGTTAAACTCGTGAATTGCAGCATTGAACGCATCAAAATGCCAATCCTTGATAACTGGATCGATTCACCACTTTCATTTGTTGAAAGCTGTGCTGGTAAGATTGTTTGAAAAATTTGAATGCATAAGGCTGCCAGTCTTCTTTCATCTACGGACATGAAAATGTGTTGCTGTTTGTTGTCAACCAAACAACCAAATATGTGATTTATCTTTTAATTTGTTTCAAGTATTTGTTAATTTTACAATTTGTTTTTATTTCTGCTAATTATTCTTATTCCAGGGGCTTCTGGAAAAGTCGAGGTGTCAAGTGTAAAAGCATATTTCCAAAGTCGAATAGAGGAATTAAAAGATTTAAGTGTTGTAAGGCTTCATTATTTCTACTTTCTACTTGATTTTTGATCGAAAAGTGTGTGCAGCACAATTGTTTTATACTGGCATATTTCAGTATTTATGCTACCCTACAACCAGATATTACAAAATTTATATCGGGTTTTGCTAGTCAGTATGTAGATTTCCGTGTTATCAGAAATTTTTGTGAAAATAAAATAGGAAAAGCTTTTTAAGGCAAAACTAATTATATAGGCATAAACATATTATATCTACATGTAAAAATTGGTGTATTGAAGAAAAGTAAAGAAGCATTAAATTGGTTCGTAGAAGACTTGACAATCAACCAGGGCCGTAAATCCCGGGGGGGACGGGGGGGACTGGACCCCCCCAAAAATCTGGAGCAAAACGATTTTTTTGGAGAAATTACCATCATTTTTCTTGGAAGAAAAAAATCCCTGGTAGCCGGGTTAGAACCAAACTACGTTTTCTGTGTTATTGCAACAAACCTCAGCCACTAAGGTTATTTTTGTAAGCAGAGTGGTTTTTATAATTTTTACAATATAAAAACTTACCGTTTTCTACCGTTTTTACCGTTTTCTACTGTTTTCTACCGTTTTATTTTTGAAAACAGAGTATGAAATAAAAAGAGAGCAATCTGTTTTTTTATTTGACCTATTTACTAACTTATTTACGTACATTTCTATTATTTGTCCATTATTTACTTTTATTTAGAAAATCACTTTTTGTATCATTAAAATGTATTCATTTTTGATGTGTAAACATGGCCTACTGAAATCAGTCAAAAAAAGGAAAACGCACATTTCTGTTCAGAAAGTAAATTTCTACCAATCAATACAACAGTGTCCCATATTTCCCCAAAGTCTGTCTCTAAGGTTTAAGCATGACTCTTCCCCTCCAAAATTTCACCCAATAAACAATAATCTGTGTTCTTCTGAGAAACGCCAAACTTTCAATCCTGAGCGATTCTAGTATTTTATTAAATTTAGTCTGGGGGATGCTTTTTTAGCCATTCTAGAAGGTAAAATTTCAAAAATTTTCTTCCGCGTCGGACCCAACCATGGTGGGTCCTCCTACGAGAGAAAAACTTGATTCTTAGCTCCCAAGGTTCAATTTCTTGGGGCCGTCTCTGAAAAATGCTATCCATCCAATCATACACACAAGTCAATGTACTGAAGTATATCTGTAAATACCTTCTGTAGAGCAGAAAGTCTTGAGAAATCCAAAAATATTGACTTTTGTTTTTAAAGTAATTTGCCCCTCAACTGTTTCCATAACACATACCATAAATCCCTTGTGGTGCCATGACCCACTGCATACTTTATATTCATTCGCTCTACTGACCCCCCCAATTCACATGACAGATTTACGGCCCTGCAATCAACAATAACATGTCATTATTAATTTTTTTTTATTGCTAGATACCATCGATTAGTGATTACTCACCAGAGCAAATCAAACCAAATTCACTTGTGAGATGTCGTTGCATGGTGCAAGACCAATTTGACCCGGAGTACTACCTTGGACATTATGAGACATTCAATAAGGATACTAAAGAAAAGGTTTTTATACAAGATACCTTAGTTATTTATGTTGGTTGATTTAGCTATGCTTCAGGAATTTCAAGAAATATAGTAAAAAAAATTTAGCCTTACATAAACAGTAAGTGACTATATTCTTCAAACTTTGAGTTTAAAATAGGTTTTTTTGTAATGCACATTAAGCCTCTAATGCACAATTTTATCCCTTGTTTGTTTTAATTGATATTATGCTTTTCTATTTTTAATTGCACTATTTTCGACTACCATTTTGTTTCAACTTTTTTCTCATTTCTAATATTCTAGAAAATCAGAATTGGGATGTTCAGAGATACAAATGATTGTGAGGTCTGTGATTTTTTCACCTGGTGTTTGTTTTTATTGGTACATTGATCTATCTACTTGTATATGTGAGAATCCTATGCAATTTATGATTTTTTTTCATTTTACTCTAGAAAGGAGAGACAATTTTATATGATTCAGAGTCAAATAAAACAATGGAGAGACAAAGTTTATATTGTGTACCTGTACCTGGTGAAAACGAATGGGTCAAAAATGTATCCTTTCAATACAGCATGAATTCATGGAAATAAACCAAGCAGCATTTAAGAAGAAACAAAATGATGTAAACTTTATGATGTTGAAAATGAGTGACAAACACTGATAATGTGTATCTGATTAAAAGCTATTAGTGTTTAAATAAAGGAAATATCACAATAGCAGGCTGCTTGACAGAGTCCGATTGATGGAATTCTTGCAGCAAAAAATATCATTGCAGTTTTTGAGGATGAGAAATTGCATTCCGAATAATCAAAAATTGTAACATACTGTACTTGGCTACTTACGATACTTAGCTAGCCCCATGAATTTGATCCACATTTTCCTGTCTTGCATCATAATTTTTTGCTATTGTCAATTTACTCTTTTCCCATTTCCCAGAAATCATGACTTTCAATCAGTGTTGTCAAGACATTCTTTTTTAAGTATAGCAGATTTTTTGTTTAGTATAGCCTTATGAATTTGCTCAGCATCTTCCTGATGCATGTGACGTTGGCCTCTTCTATCTGGTTAGTTTCCTCCTCAAGCTTGGTAGTGTAAGTTCTTGCAATAACAAGATCAGTTATGATTTTCCTTAACTGTTCTAAGGAGTTCAAATTCAGAAATTGTAACAAAAAAGAAATTAACAAAACTGGGCCGACGAGAGGAAAGAGGCAAAGAGATGAAGAAATGATCCAAGATGCAGAGGATGATGAAAATATGCATGAAATAGGAGCAGGAATGCAAAATGGTAAACTTTTTCATTTTTTATAATCTAAAATTATTGTAGGAGTTGATCAACTTGTTATTTTCCAATTTCAAAATTTAATCATATATTGAAAATAACAAATGCTATTATCATTTAGGCCAAAATAATCCAAAGCGACACCAGCTATTGAATAGTAGCTCAGCAGCAACTTCAGGCAAGTAATTTTCAGAATATGCCAATTTACCTTCTATTTTTTGTTTTTATAGTAAGAATGATCAACTTAATTGTTGGAATAAAATGATATGTTTCTTTCAATACATGCTGGCTGCCTGAAATTAAATGTGATATCTTAAAACCCAAAGGTGATGCTGGCCATTCAATGCAGTCTGGTTTTGATCCAAATTTTCCTTTGCCAGAAGAGAACAGGTCACCATTTATTGTCATCGTAAGTTGGAAAATGTACCTTCATTGTTATACAGCTAAAATCTTAATTTTTATTGTCATTGATTTGGTGTCAATGATAAGATTTCATTGTAAGGGTTTGTTGTATAATGCTCAATGTGTTTAGAGTTGCTGCAAGTTTCAGGCTAAGTTTTAACATCAGGGAACAGCTGCTTGCTTAGGTTCTTAAGTTCTTAAGTTTGAATATAATTTTTGTTTGTAAGAAGATTATCATCAAACTATTATCATCAAACTGTGTTAAATTGGTGTCAGAAGAAACCTTCTTCGTCTCCCTTGCAATGGTTGACAAGCTCCCAGGTAAACAAATCATCAAATCAAATCAGTCATCAAATCAGCTGATGCAACTCTCTAAAAAAATTACCTACTTGAAAATGTTGATATTGAGTTAAAATTTGTAATTCACATTGTCACAGATGTATGATAATGAAGACACACCAAAGCTGAATGTGGCCTATGAATTCATTGGCATAATGTCATGTGACCCTAAACTTGCTACTCTAACTATGAGGTTAGTATTATCACCATCTATGAAACTGCTGTATGTATTGATCTGATAAGAGTAAATGTCAAGTACTCTTTTCTTTATTGGTGGATGTTAATAGAAATCATAAACTTTTTGCTTTTTATTGTAGTTCTACATTTGCCACATACTTTTTGCAAGTTAGATAATGCTCCAACTCCCTCCTCCACCCCCAATGTTTAACTTGTACCTGGGCCCTTGTTCTTCTAATGCTTGTAGTGTTTAACCCTCCTAGAAGATCATCTTCATTTGTGTGTTTTGTTGTTTGTTCATTTTTAAATCTTGCTTCAGGCATGGTATTTTGCTTCAGGCATGCAGATAATTTGACCTTCAGCCATCTGTTTTCCCACATCATTTAGAATATTTTGTTGCAAACAATATTTTGACTTTTTTCAGTGATGATGACATGAAAGAAGATGAATTCTCATCCATTTCTGCAGAGGAGAGATCTGCTCACTGTCCACCATCCTCTCTTGTCCCACGAATTCACTGCATTCTTGCTAACAAGCTTATTCACAACAGTCCTTTGATTCCACAGTCTCCCCTGTTATTGCAGAATAGCATTGGTATGTATTTGCAAACATTGTACCTATGATTTTTGAATTTGCTTTAATTCCTTAAATCCTTGCATCTATGTTTTGTACTTTTTATTCAAAGAATACTGTCAAGAGCTGTCTCACCTTGCACAAATCATGAACTTTGTCTGAAAAGAAATAAATTAAGATCTTAATATATAAGCTAGAGTGAAACTCATTTATGGACAGAGAAATATTTAATTATGAATGGAAATGATAAGTTTAAAGCAGGAAATGCTGAATTGTTCAAATCTCTTGGTAGTTTACCCATTTTCTTCATATGCCTCAAGTGGATGGCTGATATAGGGAGGTGTCCATTGTTTCAAGGTGTGCTTTGTTTCGAGGTGTCCGTTGCAGGGAGGTGTCACTGCATGGGGCCATCGGTTGTTTAGAGTTGTCCGTTGTTTGAAAGTATCTGTTGTACGGGAGATGTCCATTGCAGGGAGGTGTCCGTTTTTTGAGTGTCCGTTTTGAAAGTGCCCATTTTTTTAAGGTGTCCGTTTTTGCAAGTTTCCGTTGTTTAGAGATGGAAATTGTCGTGATGACGTATCTGTACAAGGCCTTCAACAAAAAGAAGACGCTTTTGAGTATTCGTGTTTATTTTTCATTCATGCCCTTTATAAACGTTTCACTGTTTTTCGTTTACTTGAGAAGATCAAGCCCGAAGGAGCCACCGTTTAAAGGGTTTTCATTTGACTTTTCAGACGTTGCTGCTGTTCAAAACGAATTAGGAGCAGTAAGAGAGACTCTGATTCAGTCTCTGTCAAAGATGCTATTTGGTGACAGGCTGGCTGCAGAATATGTTCTTTTGAACGCAATTTCCAGAGTGTGAGAAGCTATGCGAATTTCTTTTCTCGTAGTCCTTCTTCTGGAGCACATTGTATCCACTTGCTTCGAGATATATAAACAATGATTATATTTGTTTCTGTAAAGTATTATCCGCAAAAATAAAAATTGTAAAACATGTTTCTCAAATGTATAAAGTAGTTTTTAAAATGTGATTTATATTCTACCGTTAATACGTGTTGTAAATTACTTTTTTCCATGAACAGATATGGCCGAGTAGAACCAATGTCCCTCGGAAAGTTTGCGGTAAATATCACAAAATGTCCCTCTGCCGGAGAACCAACATCGCTTGCGATCCCAAATGAAATTGCCAAGTTTTTTGAACTTGTCACAACCAAGGTTTGTTGACCTACACAAATGACCACTTGAGGATTCTCATCTCGTCGTTTCCATGGTTATTCGGGCCCTGCTTTCCCCCTTGTTTCTTACAATTGTCCCGATTGCTGCTAATCTCTCTTCTGGTTCAATTTTTAAATTGAAAATCATATACAGGCTTGAAACCATATATTTGGGTTTATAGTACTTAACATGGAGCTTATCTTGTCTTTTATCAAGACGGAGTTAAATTTCAAGCATTAACGGCATTAAGGAAAAAGCTTTCGGAAAGTTCGTGAGGTACTGAAAACTGGTACGTTTGAAACGAAGACAAAGAATGAGGAATGTTTTACGATTTAACCTGTTTGAAAAAACTATCGAATTTTTTAACAATAAAGCTTAAACTTAGAAAATGTCCCTCCAGAAATGAATTCAAATTTTTAAGTTTCACATGAGCGAAAGGGCATGTATCATGGCATACACTGCGCTTTAGAATTTGATAATGGAGATGTCAAATGACAATTTCTTTTTTTCCTTTTATATAGAGCCACTTTATACCACTGACAATATCCAAGCTGAATAAAAGTAAATTTATTCCAAGTAAAGATTACACTGCAAACCGATTGACTTCAGGCATTCTGCAGCTAAGTGACGGTAACTGCGTTCGATGTTTAATTTAGTCTCATTTTGATCGTTAAAACAATTTTACTGCCTCAGTTTGAAATGATGTCAACATTAAATGTCAACAAGTTCGAACCTTCATGTCTCATTTTCAAGTAGAGTTTGAGAGGTCCGCCCTATGTAAATGAATATTAGCTTTTACAACATCTAATAAATAGGCCCATTGTGACTCTCAGCTGAAATTATATTAATAATCAGGTATAACCTTGATTTGATGCCCTATAAAATTCATTGCCATCACTTTGTTTCAATGGCACAAGCTAACGTTTCAGCTTTTGATTTAAAATTTAAATCAATATTTGAATTTATGGTGGTCGAATTGCTGACAAGTAAATTCTTGTATTTTCTTTATGCAGGAACGCATCTTATTCTAGATGAGACAGTTTTGGAGCCAGGACAGCTAGACACAAATGGTACGCCTTGCAAACTATTTTTTAATTTGGCCTTTCTACGTATCTTCTAGAAACGCTTGTCTAAAGTTCTATTGAGTCTCATTTCTTTATCGTAGGAGTTCAAAACATTACGGCAATTGGAAATGTTATTCAGTGGCAGAAAGTGGAATACGATTTCAAGTTTCATAAATGTGATATGAAAACCGATATTGTGAGTTCGTAGTGATTTTATTTCCGATACCATATGAATTTATCTTACAGTTATACAAAGAAGCCTTAAATGAACACAGTTTTGACTCACGTACTTTAGCTCAAATCATGATTTAATATACCTTCTGATCATTTTTTTCTTTATAGACTGTTCTTATACTTTCTGAAGGAAGATCTTTATTGCAAGTAAGTTACTCTTTAACACCTTCTCAAATTGATTTGTAAACAAACAGTAAGCTCCTATGTATATGTATAATGTATATATGAATATTGCCATAAAAAGATAACAATTTAAAATTTAGAAAAAGAAACTGATGTAATTACAGATATATAAAATGTGCAGATAAAAGCTAAAATGTAGTCTGAAAACACCCCAGGTTAAAAATAGCAGGGATAGTATGAAAAGGTCCATACAACTTTGTGTCCATAATGGTCCCTCCTGTAATTTACAGACAGTCCTTGCCAACTGTCCCGAAACACTAACATCAGTTTTCAGAGTAAATTCAGCCATCTCTCTTCTTAATGTGAAACGAACTATGATATCAGGATGTTTTTTTTTCTTGTGACTAGCATGATTTTTTCCGAAACTTTCAACATTATTTTTGGGGTAAGGGGACAAAGTAAGTGTTATTTAGTGAAGGAAAATATGAAAATATACTCCAATTGGTCTGTGTTCCAAATATTTTGACAGGGGTAATCCACATGTCACCTTTTTGCGGATTAAATATAAATTTGCATGGCAGTCGGAAACAAGAACTTTGGTTAGAAAAGTAGACCGCAATGGACCCTTTGTTAAAATTTTTTTTAGTCATGTTTAAAAATATCTGAAATCGAACCCCTTTTTACAACGTTTTTCTTTTGTTAGTGTGACTGTATTGTTCCGCTTGCCAAAGAAGATACATCCCTGCAAAGTGCCGCGTCGATTTTTGCATCAATAGATCCAGATATGCTTAGAAAGATCAGGATTTACCTCGAAATAACTCGTCATATGGACTTTGATTTATCAAATGAAATGCAAGAGGTTCGTCCTTTCATCTTTAAACGTTTATTTTAAGTCACCAATTATTCTTCGCTTTCTAAAGTTGATTTTGAAACTTGACATAGTCATGATAAGTCAGATGAATGAAATCTTGATCTGGATCAGACTTCTTAATGACTATCTTTGTGGTTTGGTTTATCAAAAGATCAATATCAGCTCATCCTTAACTTATTTTTAGTATAACGTTTCAACATGCTAATCTCTTGTTATTTGCCTTGGATTTAGGTAATCAAGGATGACTATGTCGGATTGAGAGAGGCAGACCATAACAAGATGAACCCAGAAGCTTTTCACTTGCTGCTTGTCATGGCAAGGTAGTTTGCATCCAAAAGCTATTGCCATCTGTGCATTTTCGTTTCAACTTACGATAATGTCCGCTCCAGCCGTGCGGAATTCTGGCAACCGTGCGGAATTCTGGCAACCGTGCGGAACATTGTTTGAGACATAGGAATTTCACGATTTTCACAAACCCGTTCTATTAATAAATCCGTGTTGAAACATTTCCCCCAAAACTGTAAGGAAAGTGAAGAATTTATTGGATTTATTATTTACCGAGTTTAGATAAATTTTCTGAACAAACAAGACAAAAAATAAGCAATTTCCAAATTTCATCTATTTTTATTCTCATAAAAGGAAATATGCTGTTTTTACACCTTACTTTTTCAGTTTATTTTTAGTTCTTTGCGTCTTGTTGTTTTTTGCTTTTAGTAAGACCAACGCAACCCACAATAACGTTTCAAAATCATTATGTCTACGATCCCTTCTTTTTAGGCTTGTGGCACTTAGTTTTGGCAAAGGCGAACTGACCCGAGAGCTTTGGACGAAGACGAAAGAAATTGAAATCCAAAGACATGCCAGACTTTCTTAGATTCATGTTTCGAGTTAAAAATGTGTTGTGTCTCCTTTACATGCTATTTATAAAGTGATTAATAGTTCGGTTACCTGCCGACTCTTTTGTTTCCAATTTAACTCTCGATCCTTCTACTTTTACATCAGCTGCTAGTTCGTGTCTATACATGGTTAGCGAAACTTAAACAAAGCATTTCACCTTACCTAGGTGAATGCATCTTTCGCAATTCCCGAAATACGACTTACTTGAACGATCTCCCCATATGCCACGATGAAACGTTTCAGCAAGCCGATTCGAGCAAGACTTGGGATTACGATCTACTCGTTGATGGAGCGGCAATTATATTTTTCTACTGATAATGAAAACGTCATAAATGCTAACAGATTTAAACATTGCTAAAATTACAATTCTTACCTCTTATTTACGCTCTTTAAACCAGATATGTAACCATTAAACCAGAGGTTTCGCTAAATCCTGCAAACAGAACAGAGAAAGTTAACTTTCAAGCTGTGTGAGTACTTGAAAATATGTATGAAAGGCTATGACACTCCTTAGGGTTTTTACAATTTTCATATTTCTATTATATTCATTTTAAAGAGTAATCTGTCTTTAATTTCAGGCCTTGCTGATGGTCTTAATTTACACGCAGCTCTATTAACTTAGATTTATCTTTTGTTTAGTTAGCGAGTTGTTGTTGAGGCAAACGAAACGATCTGATTTTCATTCATCACAAAGCGTGCATGTTACAGTTGTTGTTAGCCATCAAAGTTTTAAAGCCAAAATTTTTAACTAAATCATTAAGATTAAATTTTTATGGATAATAAATCCCAATTAGTGACAAATCCTCAAAAGTAATAAATCCTATTAAATAGCCCACCAGTCAAGACAGAAGCCTGATTAAAAATTAATTGGCCCCTAACTTCAATTTCATCTTTCACAGCGATTTCTACATGTAAGTTTGCCAGAAAAACATTTCCAAAATTGCGCATTTCTGGAAAAATTTTTAATTGCGCATTACAAATTTTTCCTTAAAGTTAAAACTAAAAGTTGAAGCTAAAAGAGAAGAAAGTAATGAAGATGAGGGAGTATCGTACATAAACATGTTTTGGTAATGAACTGTGTTAGGTGTTGATAAACCCCGTGTGAAAAACAAAATAAGTACCAGAGATCCTATTGAGTCCTTTGTTCGCTATAAATGTTGCAAGACCAAATTATATGAATAATTACAAAAGATTTGGTTTCTCTGCAGCAGCCGACTGAATCAAGCTGTTTATTTGTTAAAGGTTTCAAGACGCGATATCCCCTGTTAATTTGGTGCATCTATGGTACCATGAATGAGATTCATGCATAGACAAACAGCGAAAACCTCATTAGCCATCTTTGTTTTTCTCGCTATAATCAAAGCTGCTTTTGAATTATACGTTCAGATAACTTAGCAGCATACCTGAGCACTAAGATACTCGAGAATGCTGGCATGAAGATCGCAACAAGCTGCCTAAGAATTTCGTGTTTATGTCTCTTTTTCGCCGGCCCCTGCTTCCTGATCATTGACACCCTTCTTTCAGAATATAATGGCTTATTGACGTGGATATATCTTTGTCCAAAAGTCCCGCCAAACCTCTTAGGTCCAATATCAGTAGCGTTTAACGGCGATGATGTCTTGTCGAACCTCTCTTCGTTGTATGGAGGCACCGTTCGATTCGGAGGTTGGTGGAAGCCGAATTGCATTGCCAGGAAGACTGTTGCCGTTTTAATCCCCTTCAGAAAACGTGCAGAGCAGCTCAAAGTGTTCTTGAACCACATGCACCCGATTCTACAAAGGCAGCTGTTATCTTATCGGATATTTGTGGTTGAACAGGTAAGAAGTTCTTTTGAAACAAAGAAAGTTTTTAAATGAAAGTATACGTCAAATAAACTTTTTAACACTACTGCTCCTTTTAATAACCACCCATTCATTTTACCCCATGTTTGTTTGCGTAAGTGGAATAAGTATCCCCTCTTTTAAAGCCCCCTTATGTTAGGAAATCCCGGGATTTAATTGTTTGGAAAAGTAGTGTTGAATACAACAAAAGACTAAAAAATAAAAACTTGTTAAACCTTTTTCGTTTAATTTTTTTACATTGGCATGATAACAGGAAATTTCCAATAAAATCTTTCCGATGAATAGTGATAAGCAATGAGTTTGAGTGCCTTGATTGTTTACCACCCCACTTTTTACACCCTCCATCTTCCACGCTATTGCATCCCGGTAGAATCACACGAAGACTCGATAACATTTTATGTAAATAACTTGACAAGTGTGTTCCCCATAGAAAGAGCACACGATATCGATGATATCACAGTTAAAAGGATTTAGATAACGGAAAGAAAGGTTTGAAAAAACTTCTTTTGACTGAATAAAGTGAAAGCAGGCATCATTGATCTTACTGTGTCAAATGTCTTTGCACTGCCACAATCCCAAGCAATCCTGCAGATCACAAGAAGATTTTAAGCAATCTGACCTTTTTTATTCGTTGCCAAAGTAGATGTATTGCATCTTCGATGTTTCTTCTTCACAGGCTGGAAACACGAGCTTCAACAAAGGCGCGATATACAACATTGGTTTCAATATCTCGATGCAGTTTGGTGATTTTCAGTGCTACATATTTCATGACATCGACTTGCTGTCTGAAAATGATCATAATTATTATGGCTGCCCGAGATCACCAATGCATATGTCGCCAGCCATTGACAAATTCCATTACATGTGAGTTTTTATTTATCATACTGTACCTTGAACTGAAGTTATGTGTTCTTGTTTAATTCTTCCGAAGTAAAAACACCAGAGAGATGAATTTCACTCTTAATAAAGTTACATAAAACGTGGAAAATAACATTGCAATGTTCAAGAAATTGCTCTCTATTTCTCTATTTTCCTTCAAGCGCCCGTGGCTGGGGAATCTGTAGTTTTTCAGGACTTCGAGTGTTCACATAGAATAAATCGTGCATAGATTTTTCAGTTGACAAAATGACAAAATAGTCTAGTCAGCATAGAGATGCTACGGAAAGTCGATATTTCTTCCTTGCACAAGCCACATAATGACTAAGTGCTTTTCATTGGGCTTTGGTAAATTACCACCCTGCAAACCATTTGGTAGATTATCCTCATCCCCCCCCCTCTAGGCTTCTAAGTTCTGAATAGAGACTCTTTTATATTTTTTAGGCTACCCTACTCGTCGCTTGTTGGAGGAGTGCAAGCCATCTCGAAGACAGATTATATCAAAATTAATGGATATTCGAACAAATTTTATGGTTGGGGTGGGGAGGATGATAATTTGTATCAAAGATTTGTTGCAAAAGGATTGAGAGTGACTAGGCCAAATATGGCCGTTGGTCGATACAAGATGAACAAAGGCCATCATTTTCGCAGCGATCGCAGAAACCCTAAAAATGAAATATTACTGAAAAAACGAAAACCCAGAATTTCACTGGATGGACTACGAAGCATCGGCAATCTTCATTATGTTGTAAAATTTCATTTAAGGCCTCTTTATACACACATATCTATTGATCTGTTGAGCTGATATTGTTGGACCCCTTATCAATAATTCTTTATATATATATATATATATATATATAAGATGATTTATATATAAGAAGTCCGGCAAGAGGAATGAGATGATCTTCGATCAAATGCGCTGGCGTTCAAACAAGGAGGAGCACAACACGTTGGAGCGTCTTGACCACGCCCGTTTGCGTTGAGGGGTTGAATGACAACCAACGTTTTCCCACCAGAAGCTCCTTCAACTCATGATTGACAAATGATCGAATATCGTCGGACTGGGCATTTGTTGGGCTGCCCACAAGTTTATTTCTAGAACATAGAACCATTAATCGTGACCCTATGAAAACGAAAAATCCTTTAGAAAATTAAAAATGGTATACTTAGATGTGTATTTGTTTATGTTCTCTAAAACGCTGTGAGGCAAATGGACCGGGTGCCCCTCCTCCCAGCTGTCTAAATCGGACATAATTGAGCGCAGCTTACGACCCCGGACTAAAAATTTCATGATTTTGTCGGTTAAAAACAACAGGACATTCAATATCCATTATTTATAAACATATTGCTAAATTCTTTATATACGCTACTTTGAACACCGATGACATTGATAATTCTGTAACAAATTCTTTCATGACATAAATTCTTTCACCGATGACTATCGATATTTCAATGACGATATCTAATTCATAAAACATTTAATTATAATTCAAAACACATCTCTCGACTATTTTGAGGTTGATATAAAGGTTCGTTAGGCAACCAAATGTGTTTCTGCATTTTTTCTAACTTACATAATTGGCTGCCAGCTTGTCTTCATTGCAAATTTGTAAAACGGTTAAGTTACTCAGTGTTAAAATATTTGGTTTACTAATCATTATGCAGTCACTAAAATCTGTCATAAATCTGTTTAACCATTTACTGACGTGTTGGCTAATATTTAGTCACACATTTATTGTGTGTTGAAATAGCAGTTAGGAATTCACTATTTTTAATGGTGGGAGAGTGGTGATATGCATTCTCCAAACGTGTGGCTGGCGGCATAATCAAGTACAACTCTGACGTAAGTGTGTCCAAACTGGAGACAATTCTGCATCTACGATGCCCAAAGGAGACATTAAGAATAGACGTTTAAAATCGATCTCGATAGGTTTAAGGTGCGTATAGTTCAGGCTTTGAGATGCTTTTGTTAACCTTCTTCTTACGCAAGTTGATTGCAAGACCTCTGCGAAAAAAGTGAAACTGGCAATCGCATCGAAGGGTCCAATTAACTGTACCATCTTCTAACAAAATGTCAGGTTACCATTGTCAAGGACTCCTGTCTATTTCCACTGTAAACGCATGGGGAAACTCATGACAGCCACCTTCGGCCTTCCAATAACTTATCCGGCAATATCTTGCAACCAAGGGCCAATTACTTGCAGTATGACTGGGTACACGGGATCACCCAGCCATGAAAATTGATCACCCTCTTGCGGTATTCTGCTGTACAATATATCACAACGTTGACTCTTCAAGCATGTCAAAGGGTGTCTCCTCGTCAGCGGATTGCTCGCTTGACAGCTCCGCAGCGTCTGATTCGTGGGGCTCTTCTTCTTCAGGGATGCAGTCCGTTGAGTCAGCCACAACCTCGATGTAATCCTAAAAGGATAAAAAACATACAATTAGATTTGACATTGATGATTGTGTAATATGATTTGGCCGACGGTGTTCATTTAAGTACTGCATAATCACACTAAGGCAAATTTTACATAAAAATCTATCCCTAATGGCATTAATCTAATTGGATAACGTCGATACCCACCATCGATGCGAAGCTCTCTAGGAATTTCTCGAATTGGTTGACGAGGCTGGTAAACGTCGGGCGGCTGTTTGCATTCTCATACCAGCACTTCAACATCACTTCGTATCTTCAAAAGAAGCAGTTGACATTTCAAGATTTAGGTGGAACAGATAAGAGTACATGAAAAGTTGACCGACGAAAACAGAGAGAACTGCCCAAATGGATCGTATATCTATATTTTCATCAATTTACATAAATTTTCATCAATTTACATAAATTTGTATACCATACATATTTCTTCAATGGAGAGATTCATTTGCAACAACGTCTAGGCATAGGAAACACAACCTACTTCGATTAAATGGTGATATTAGTCCTCGAATAAGCGCCCAGGCGGTTATTTTTGTGTCACAAGAGGGATGCACTTAGCGCTTATTCGAGGGGGCGCTTATTCAAGCATTAAGGGTATTTGGTATAAGAAACACCCAGCGATCAAGTAAATAAGAACTTGAAATAATAATTAAAATGTTTGATGACAAAGTCGCTTAAAAAGAGCAAAAGAATGAAAATAGAATTTTCTTGAAGTGAACACAAAAATGGATGCAAAATTTATAAATATTTTAGAGTCAAAGTAAATAGACAGACAGCATGAAATGCAAACAAAATGCAAATAAAAAGGAAATTAGATTTGGGGTATCAATTTTGATAAAATTAACCATGGTCACAAGTTTTTGGACTGATTTTTAGCATGGCCTTGATTTTTGGGCATCATTTTTAAAAGAAAAGTAATATGTTTTCATTGACTTGATTGAGTTGTTTGCATTTCATAATGTATCTAAATTTTGGCTTTTTGAAAATCTATGAACTTTTCTTCATATTTCAAAACGGCTAACCCCCTCATCTGCCTATTGAAGCTACCCTTCCCCCCTGATTAATCCATATGCTTACATCTCTGAAGGACACCCTTGAGGCTTTTGCATTCGATATCCTGACTTTAACAAGCTGAACAACTTCCCAACAGGAATGCTTGGGTAAGGAGAGCCACCTGCAAAAAAGCACTTTGGTTGAGAAAAAAACGTAACCTGCGAGATCACACATTTGCTTATCGAAAAAATTCACACACCCTGAAACAATTCCAAACATATTCATTTCCCTTAAAATAAAAATTCTAAAAATATATCTAAATTGCTACCCTTTTCAAAGCGGCATGTTTTTATATAGAAATAGCTAAACTAACTTGTTTTGAGTCAGTTTGAATACGAACACACGCAATATCGTGGAAATGGATCGATAGAACCTTGTTTAATCTGAGGCGGAAGAATCCCTCAAAGTTACTTGTGAATTGGGAAGCCGGCATTGAGACTTTGCAACTTGGCAACTGCAATAAGGAGAATCATAAAGAATTTATCATCGGCATCGCTTTATGACCTACCTAAGGTGAATATCTCCCATAAGAGAACACCATACGCCCATACGTCACTTTGCGTGGTATAAACTCGATCGAACAATGCTTCTATAGACAACCATTTTATTGGCAATCGACCCTGGCAATCAAACACAATATTATCAACCAAAAATATTTTGCTTTCTGCAACAAAAACAGAACTATAAACAGGAAACCAACAGTCATAAAAACAAAGATTAAACAGAAAGTTGCATGGAAGGAAAATGTCATGTTTTATTATGACCAATTCTAAAATAGCAAAAAGAATTGAAAAACCGTTGCATTGAAATCCAGAAAGAACAAATGAAAGTTTATCTATTACACTGATGTTTGCAAAGTGACAACCCTAGTAAGAAAGAGAATTCTAGTTCTTTTATATCAAATTAAGGCGTTGTTAACTGTCCTCCAGTGTGGTGGTATGGTATACGTACGTCTGTTGTTTTTCTATAGTAATCTGATTCACGAACATTCCTGGCCAACCCAAAGTCTGCGATTTTCATGACGAAATCTTTACCAACCAAGACATTTCTAGCTGCCAGATCTCTATGTATGCACTGTGTGGAAAATTAGAAGGGTTATTTTTATAATGGAGAACACGAGAGGAGTTTATAGAAAATCATTCGCTATTAGCATGAACGTATATAAGACAGGCATATGATAATAACATATTAGAAGTGGACAATAATTGGTAATTTTTAGGGTGATGATGATTCATTAGAATCAATGATCATGTTGCTGATGATGCTTAATGATTGAGAGTGATTTATGATCACTGAATGACGAAGGTAATGAACAATAATGACAATAATATTGATGAAGACTGATGGTGATTATCATTATCGATTAATAAAGACTAATAATAGAAATAATAAATGTTGATGATTAATGATTGTTGGAGATGATTAATGATTATAATGATTCCTATTGTGAACAATGAAAAAAACTGTCATTCCAATGGTGATAAATGATAACAAAAACGGTGATTAATTGAAGTAATTGTTGATGATGATGTCGTCAATGAAAACTGATATGAAGGCAAATAATTACTATTATTACTCTCTGCTATTTTAACGACGGATTCTGCGATTTTAACGACGGATTCTGCGATTTTAACGACAGATTCTGCTATTTTAACGATTAATTCTGATATTTTAACAAGAATTTGCGATGACGTCCTCACCTTGCGGTCTGCTAGGAATTGCATGCCTTTAGAAACTTGCAATGAGAATGAAACGAGACTCGGCAAGGTGATTTCTGATTCGATACTCTCATCTGAAGACGCATTTAAAGGCGGCCGTCTGCTCCGTAAATATTGTCTTAAGTTCCCATATGGGGCAAATTCAACGACGACGTACACCGAACCTGGAACAGAATGATCCATTAAACAGCAAGTCTTGCACATCAATATTTGCCGAATATTTTACGAGTTAATAGAATATTCAATGTCCAAATAGCTAGTTCTGCAAAGGAAATCTACTTTTATCTTACTACCCTGGAATATCCTATAGAAATGGGAGTTGGAAGAATAAAAAGGGGGTTGAAAATAAGCTGTAGCCTTAGAATTAGCGGGAGGTTGCAATGAGCGGGGGAGATTGTCAGCAGAGTGGGTGTAAGAAGTCAGAAAGCAACATTGAACAAGTACCCTCTTACATCATGTATGTGTCTACAGAGTCAGACATGTTCTTTTCAATTCAAACTAGCTTTGGTGTTTCCTGTATTCTCTCTTTAATCACGTTCATTCATTTTTTTCATGCGGAAAACAATGCTTCATCGTTGCACATATGGCAGGCAAATACAGCAAACAAATTGCTAATGAATAACTTAAAATTCACATTTAAATTCATAATAAAAAAATTCAAGACAAGATGCAAAATGCTGACATCGTACCATTCTGTGTGCAACAGCCTAGGAAATTAATGATGTTTCTATGTTGGCCAATTCGTTTCATTGTCTCCATTTCGGACAACAAATCGTGCAGCTCGTGTTCCGTTGCATCCGCTGTAAAAAATAGGCCATGGTACATCTCAGTTTTAGTTGTTATTTATCTACATCAAGGGATTAAGGTATTATTGTACACTTTTTGTTGCTAATATGACATTCACCGGGAACTAGCCTTCACAGAGGTAAGTTTAAAATTACGCCAAATCTAGTACACTGTATTTATATTTAAAAAGTCGGTTTGGTAAGCAACAAAAACTATCGGTATCTAAGAGGTCATCAAATACGAAATAGAACAGCATAAGCAAAGTACACAAAATTTATTTGCAAATAAACAACAGCCAAAGCTACTGAAATCAAGAATAGGAATTCAGCAGTGGAAAAGGTTAATCGATTCTTTTTTATTTTAAAGACATAAAAATAGTTGCCAATGTTATATCCAATGGAAGATGCCATAGAAAGAGACGCACAAAGTTTATCTCTAAAAGATCGCGTCACACGACCTTTTCTACACGGTATTAAATACAAGCACTTATAAAAGGTACCTTTGAGCATTTTTACTGCTACAGTTGACACACTTCCAGATTTTGGTATCAAACAGAGTGCTTCTGCCTTAACCACCACACCAAATGCGCCTTCTCCTAAAGTCTCTCCAAGGATCAAACTCTCTCTGTCTATTTCCCATTCTCGATCCAAAGGAATTTCTAATGTCTCACGATAAGCTAAAAACAACACCCAACAGGTCACTTGGTTAAGCAAAGGTTAAAACATGAATGTAATTCATGGGACATCTTACTTGAGACCTTGCAAAATAATAAGATAAATGGAACTACTTGATCAAAAGTCGCACTTCGCCATCAAATAGCAGACGCAATTATGTGAAAGGTACAAAAAGACATTGTGGAATGGATTGAATATGAGTAGCAAATATTGTGAAGAAAACTTTATAGTTCGATTAATTCAGAAGTCTTTTTTAGCTCTGGAGTCAGTAGGCAAGCAAAATAAAAACATTAAAAACTATGGCTATAGACAAAAGACCAAATCTTGTTCACGTGCTTGCTGGTATAAAAACTGCAAAATAAACAAAGTTATGAACATATAATAACTTCTCTACATGCAAACTAACAAATTATATGTATCATGAACTGATATTCATATAAAATGCTCCCCTTGACTATGGCTGATGTTAGATAAACTCAAATAGAACAACTGTCTAGAAAAAAGGGTATTGGTGGACATACTTTCTGCATTAAGAGCGATTGGCAACTGCAGTGACCTCCGTTGGAAACTTGCTGACCACTGCGACTCAAAGCTGCTTCTTAAGCTTGACTTGTGAATCAAGGGTGTCGTTGATGACGTCATCGAGATTACCTTGCTACCGTTAGAGTCGTTGTATTTTACAATATAATTCTTTTTATTTAAGTTAGCGTCCGTGGTCATATCCTCTGCGCACAATTCTCGTTTTTTATCACGATTCCGTAACATTTTCCAGCAAACAATAAATATAACAACAACAACCACAATAGCAGCGCAACCAGACGCGATTACAATTGTGTAAGTGATTTTATTCTCATTCGGAGAAACGCGATTTCCGCTGACGATTGGCAACGAAGTGGTAACAAGCTCTGCAAAAAAAGAATACACTTAAATCTAAGGAAAGAATACTGAAAATAAAAAACTGAAATAAAGTCAAAATGAGCTATCACTCAACGTTACATACATATAAAATGATTTATGATTGATGATCGATGATAGATCCTTGATGATCAATCCCGATTGATAATGATCTTGACGATGATGGTTTTGATGAGGAAGACACGACCACTGAATTAACCAGAGGATTGCGACGAAAGATGAACCCAGTCTTGTCTTCAAAGATTAACGTCTGTTTACGTCAGATGCAAATCCTGAGTATCGCATTTCCTCTGTTAATTGTTTGTTCAAGAGTATTGAAGAAAATGTGGAGTCGAGTTGAAATAGCATACATACCAGTGTCTTGAACTACAGTCAAATTGGCCGTTGTGAAGGCGCATCCCAAGTGGCTGCAGGCAACACAACTGTAATAGCCTTGATCCTTAATAGTCACATTGTAAAGATTCAAGCGAACTCCATACAAGTATTTGTTATTTATATTCTTTCTCATTGTCTCGTAATACAATGAACTGATTAATCTAAAGTTGTGTGTAGAATTTGCATGCGAAACTAGCTTGTGAAGGTCCTGTTCCAAGGTGGCGTTTGGTTTAATAAGCCATAAGAACCATCGAAAGTCAACCATTGTACCCATTTTGTAGCTAAACAACTCATAACATTCCATTGAAGCATTTTCGCCAACATGTGCAGTCGCACTTCTCGGAAAATCTGGTTGAAGGAACGGCTTTGAACGCACGATCTCTGAAAATAAAGCAAATGAAACAAATTGTCGGAAAAATCTCTAAAAAACAGAGTAAAGCGATCAATGTTCATTTTAGGAAAAGACCGGACAGGAGGAGGAAAAGGGTTTTGCAGAAACGAACCCAGGGTAAAAATTTATTTTTATTTTCTCTAAAAGCCTTCAGAGTGAGATAAAGTGAGGGAGAACATATGCTATTCAGTGTGATTTTCTAGGCCCTTTTCTAGACACATACCGACACGTTTATAGAAAAATTCTAGAGAAGGGCGACGAATAAGGATGTTTATTTCATAAAAAATTAAACTCGCTAGACGTTAAAAATAGAAACTTACATCTATACTTTTCTCAAGCTTGCATGAAAAGTTTTCCAGAAAAAACCATATGACGTCATGCCAGGGCCGAAATGGGTCATGGGCCATCCAGCATTTAAGGGTCCCTAAAACTCCATTTAAAACGGGGTTTTGAGTTCAACATGCAAACGATTCTCCATACAAATCCTATTGCAAAAGCAGATCCATAAAGTAAGTCTAGGTTACCAAGCTTGAAAGCAAACACGATTAACTGAATAGGTCTATCGCAATCTAGAGTAAGTAATTCGATATCCAGAATTCGAATAGCCCCTAACTCCTCATTTACCCGATTGACATCGATGGCGAGACAAAAAAATCTCCAGAATATTTATTGGATATGTTTCAAGTTGATCCAAGAGACGTCTAGCGTTTCAAATCATACTATTTGGTGTCTGTAACCTTAAATATAATAGGACCAATGCCCTCTTGAGCAATTATTCCTAAGGAACCCCAGCTACTCCATTAAACAACCATCCTAATGATAAGATGCACGATGAGAACAAAAGAACAAACTATCGGGTGAACTGCCGACCTCACACTAACCACAACCAAGCACCAATAATGAAACATAAAAAGTTACCTGTAACATGTAATGTATAATTGCACACGCTGGAGCCAAAAACATTCGAGGCAATGCACGTGTATGTGCCTTCATCTGACAGGTCGACGCTATCAATCTTCAGAGAAAACTCGCTAACTGTGAACTTGGGTTGCACGAGCGGCCGGCCCTCCTTCGACCAGCGATACGAAATGGGCTGGGTTCCTTCTGCCTTGCATTCGATCTTGACGTCACCGTTCACTAGGGCCACTTTTGTTCCTCTTATTTCGTGGCCTTGTCCATGACGAAACTTTGGTCTGCCTACAATTTCTGAATGGTATAAACAGATAAAACGCTTGCTCTAAGTAGGGTCCTGAATATAATAAGATAAGGACCGTGTGTACGTGTGTGTTAAAGGAGTAATAGACTACATGGTGACCCTTTTATGACCATAAGTCGATAAACAAATGATACAAATCATTTTGCCGCAACTTTTTTTTAAAATTATACTGAATACTTTGACAGCCTGCCCAAGAGAAAAATTCTAAAAAGTTTCGACGATATGACGTGGTAATTTTTAGACGAAAAAAACATTCTATAAATTCTAACGATGGTCAATACAGTAACTAAAAGATATAGCTAACCTCTGTATTGTAGAATAGTCCTTCGTATGACTCTGCCATTTTTTAATTTGCAAACATATAGCCCTTCGTCATTCCTTTCAAATTTTCTGATCATCAAGATTCCTTTTTTGTTGATTTTTCTCTTTTTACCCATCTCAATCCTTTTTGCGTCTTTTAGCCAGATCCGCTTAAATTTTACCAGTGGTGGCAAGGCGCAAGGCAGTTTTGCAACACTCCCTGGCGTTATCTCTAACACTGTGGCATTAGGTTCACTCCTCCCTGTGAAAAATAAAAAGGTAGTTAAATGGACAGAAGACATGATAAATAGAAGGCAATTTTTATTACCTGATCTTAGCTACAAGCAGAAAATCAGAAAGGAGCATTTCGGAGTGAAAACATGATAGATGGCAAGCTGGTGTTGGGTCATCACAATTAACCTTGATGCGAGACCTGACAAACATTTTCGTAACCAAGTTGCTGTCATTGCATTTAGAGACTCTTCTCTTTTAAAAGTTTAATAACTATTGGTCTTTAAAAATATCTCTGAATGATGACGACGATTGTTGCTAATGAGATGATCATGATTATGATTATGACCATGCAAGAACAGCATTATGATGAAGGGGATGAATGTTGATGGTTGATGATGGGTGATGATGGTTGATAATAACGATGAACATTGAGACTTTAGAAACCTGCTACAATTGGAGATAAAAGGGTGACGTTGAGAAACAGAAGATCCGAAGCATGTATAATTGTAGCCAGCTTGAAGAAAACTGACCCGCGCTGAGGTCAGGCTTAATTCAAAACAAACTAGAATGTGTATAAAATAATGAACTTTGTTCGAAATTTGATAACACACTGTAACTGAGATTTTGTTAAAACAGTGGATCAACGTAGTTTTTAAACTCGTGAGGATTCAAATTTCAAATTTGTTTCTAATTTCATCTGCAGGTTAGCAAGTCGAAGCTTGCAAGACATAATGGGATTTGAATTAAGTAAGCTTGGCAGCTGTTAAAAGTCACGTAAAGGCCAGTTCTCAAAATTCACTGTTTAGGATTTTCAATCTGAGAAGGGTCAAAACGAGAAGCTGAGTACAACACGCTAAAAGAAGTTAAATAAAGAATAAAATAAAGCCACTGGTTGAAATGCGAGCAGTTGAATGACAGTAAAAGCGGCTAACACAATGGTATCTTGTAATAAACACCTAGGCCACCCTATATTATTATAAAATTGGCTTTTACAAGAAAATTCACAGATGAAACATTTCTGATATTTCTTTATACGATGACCTAAAACTGGCTAAAGCGCCAACTGGCAATTTCAAAAATGAGTTTTAAAAACAGGTTAGCTACAGTGAATACGAACACATGGGAGCTTACGTAGCCAATTCGGATAAGATTCGTGTAGATGCGGAACTTTTTGAATCCGCCAAAAAGACGCAGATTGAATAATATACCGGATACGTGTGCAGGGGTGGGCCGATGAGTTCTTGGGCCTTCGGCCTATGAGCTGTGAGAATAACAAAGGACTAGAAACCTTAAAAAAGTCCCCACCCTGTAACAACCAGCCCCACCGGTCAGTCCGCCTCTGTAGGTGTTTATGTGTTCTTGAATTTAGGCTCGAGCGTAAGAGATAAAAAAATGTCCAATATTCAACTGGTTCTCGCGTGATGGCTATCAATTAAAAACCCAATTCTTGTCATCCAAAGCCAGTGTATAGACTTTAGCCACATAGTAACGTCTGCACGTAGGCATTGTTCTGAAATCGAAACTTTTTTGGAGAACGTTGCGATAGAAGTTTCTAATACGCGACATTAAAAACAAACTGCGGTTTAGGTGAAAGTCGAGTATTTTTTCCTGCTTTTAGTCTGAGATTCAATTCAGTTCTTTTCTGAAACAAATATGGGGAAACGTTTATGTATACTGGATTAGCCAGGCACCATTCTAAAAAAGTAGAAAAATTCAAAAGAAATAATTGTTCGACCTTGGTAGACCCTGACAATGATTTGATGTCTGAAACTAAGTATATAATTGAAAATGATATTTAATGCAATGTATCAGAAATCGGAAACCATCTTGATAACAAAAAGTGACTCTCCCCATTATCCACCTTTAAACCCCCTAGAACCAAAAGACTGGGGAACCAGTAAAGAGGTCAGATGGTAAATTAAATGTTGGCATCGGTCTTTACTGCATTACCACAGTAACCTAATATCAGTTCGGGCCTAAGTAGGATGATGGCTGAGAACTTCGATGTCGGGTTAATGAAAAGGAAAAAATAAAATAAGCGACCAAAAATAAACACATAGCGTCGGCTGTTGTATCACCAAGAGGGAAACTTTAAGACAATTTTATGGAAGAAACAGTCTATATTGAATTAAACTAACTGGACATCCTAACAATTCTTGATAAAAAGGTTAACATTTACATTGATCTTGTGAAGTAAAAAGCCACCGGTTCACCATCATTTCATTATAAAAAAATATTTCTAGCTTTTTATAATCTTAAACCGCTTGGAGGAACCTTATATATTTAAGCCCACTGTCTCCGCACTAAAGACAGGAAGAGTCCTTAATTTGGCTTTAGAATACCCGATGTTTTATAAATTTAGCATTTCGTTGATTTTCACGTGTTCCTGTCCACGGAATCTCGTTTCTTCCTTCACAGGACATACCAACGGAATAACCTCGCCTAGCAATGACACTCGAAATGGGATGCCAAGCAGTGAACAGGAATAAACGGCTTGGGGGGGGGGGGGGGTTGGTTGAGGACTCAACATGCAAAAGGCCAATGGCAAGATTATTTGTGTATGGATTTAAGTACAGTTTTGACAACTATTTGGGAGCTCAAGCCCCTATCCCTCCGGCTTCACAGTTCTTTATGTCAATATGGGACTTGTTGGAAATGAGACGGATACAGTAACGGAAACAAAAGGGAAGGCTTTCTGGTAGAAAGTATAAAGTTTCGAAGGGACCGGGTATATTTTTGGCGAATAATCTTAGAGAAAATTAAGAAAACAAAGTGAAGAATTGTTCCCAGTGATTGCAGTTTCCAGCTGCAGGGTAAGTTCTAATCTCCAAGGACCACTTATTGTCTTCAGAGCTTAAAGACAAAGGTGTTCAAGTGTGTTTTAAGTTTAAAGTTCATGACACAGCTAAACCGAAAAAAGCATCGAAAGCCGCAAGCAAAAGACAGAACATTAAATAACCAAAATTTTCATTTTTCTATCGTAATTAGGGAGTCATTGTGAAGAACAGGCCTTGGAACCTAAAATAGCCTGAAATAAACCCTAAAAATCAACCTGTATAAATCGCCATTCTGGAAAGGACAATTAGAGATATGCCAGGTAAAACCATTGTAAATACCTTTAGGTGGTTTGGATCATATGCTTATCTTTCTATAAGTCAAAAATATATGCTACTCTCCTGTGGATTATCACGGGAGGAACTATTTCAACAATGTCATAGTGTCAATTAGCACAACACTGCTTTTTTAAACGTTTTAAATCTCTGTTAATATACAATGATTTTCTACGAATACGTTTCTATAATTTGGTTATATTTATAAGTTAGGTTTATTATTGTTCACAAAAGGGACTGGAGATTAATTTGATAATGTGCCAGGTCAATGTGCCAGGTTAATGTGCCATTGGTCTCGGAGCTTCTTACGTTTGATCGGAGCAAATGTTTAGCGTGGAAAATTGAGAAAATAACATTTACGATAAAATTCATCTAAAAGATTACGTGTTTAATTTTGCTTCACATCCATTATTTCATGTTAACATCGATGCATTTTCTTTTTAACTGGGAGCAACAACGATACAAAGTGATATTCTTGTTAAAACCCCATTAAAAGGGCCTAAAACGAAAAAAAATCGAAACAATGTTTGCGTCTGAGATAAAATTTGCGTGATATTAACAGAACATGTCCCAAATAATTGTTCTTAATATTCATCTGTTTTAAAACTGGGCACAAGCTTCAGTATTAATTATAATATGTTGCATTTCATTGAGCAACAGAGGAGTTCACCAATCTTGGGGGTGGGGAAAGGGGGTGTTTGCTTCAGTTTATCAAAAATCAACGTACAGCGCGCTTTGATTGAAAACAGCTGTAAAGGAATCGACCTTTTTCTTGTCTTAAACAACACAGCAGTCAGTAATTAGGCTTCACAGCTACTTACAACTGTGGCCATGCTGGTTAGGTGTCCAAGACTAGAGCAGAATAACAATTTTCTGATTTTTGTTTTGCTCAGTGTTAACTTTTCCACTACTTTTTGTACATTCTTTTTTATAAAAACACCATAAAGATTTTCCAGCCTCGATATCCTTAAGAAATGTTCGTTTTGAGCCCAAATATCTAAAGTATTCTTATTTTTTTTTAATCTGTTTTGGTTGTAGGAGAATATCGACCGTTTTTGAATGTAAACCACGCTTTTTGAAAAGACGAGTTATGTCAGTTCTGCGATTCAACTGCTGAAAAATGAGATACGAACATGTCTGCTGAGGTTGAGAAATTCTTTTACAATATTTTTCATACTGGTATGATTCTAAGCCTTAATATTCTTACAAACGTGTATGCTTCATTTACAGTTTTTTATCATAAAAATGGATGAAAAGACCCAATAAAGTGAGCGAAACATCAAAGTTCACTACCTTTACCACAAATCAACAATATAAACATAACAATCAAAGAATATTCCCTTCATCTTTAAATGAAAGAAAGGCACCCTAAAACTATTTCAATATGCGTCTTTAATATCTGCACTTTCATTACTAGTGTCAAAAGGGAATTTTTATACCATTCGATAAGAACATATCGTACTTTCGATACGCAGACTAATATTATTTGATTATCATCACTTTATTGTGGTGCCTTGCTTGATGCTTGAATCCCACTGTTTATTTAGTCAAGAGGAAACAAGGCAGTGGGAACAGACCAGTATTTTGTACGCAGAGGTAATGCGTACGACACAGGAACTGCCACCCTACCAGGCAAAAACTTAAAGCCATGCTACCGGATGCCATGCATAAAATCCACAGTTCAGGAAATCATGCAAGGAAACCGTGGTGCGACAAACCAACTACTTGATACGAGAAACGAAATCCTTAGCCAAAAGCTACTTTTTCTCGAAAACCTGACGTTGACCTTAGACTTGAAAGTAAATGTCTTTCATCCTCAGCTTATCCACAATCTTTTTATCACGCTTTTATAATAGGCTTAATGCAAGTAATTCATTATGGTCTTTTATCTTTTGAACATAAATAGGTCAAACTAACCAACGTAGCAGCCTTTGAACTCACCTGCTTGTCCCAATATTGCAACAGCAGCGATTACAAGAAACAATTCAAGTCGACTGCTAACGAAATAGCCAGTCATGTTGCGTATCCTTGGTTCATGACGACCATTTGCGCAAAATTCAAGGCCCCTTTCCTGTCCTTCATCACAAACAACGTGCCCAACCAATCCTAGAACCCCATGTTGTCAAAAGTCGTCTTAGATTTTGAGCATGCAAAATGTGCGAAAACGATACTGAAGTGTAAATGTTTCCAATGAAATGTAAAGTCAGCAGGCAAACATCGTGTTTGCCGCGTAATTCACTCCCTACGTGTTCGTACAGCTGTTTGTTGAAAATATCGTCTGAGATGTGTTAGATTCAATCAAACTAGACTTCACACAGCACTTCAGTTCACTGCAGGAACGCCACTTTACAATGATCAACTACCGATGAGGACAATAACGGACAGACAAAACATGTTGATGCTGTGATTAAGGACAGTCATTTGTTCATGTGATTCATTCGCATCGTATTTTGACACGTCCTATTGTTGTTCTTGCAGCGCCTACCATGAAATAGAATCGATAAAATGGAGCTCCAAAACACTGGAACAATACTTTATTGTTTAATTAAGTTTCCGGATCATTGTCCACATTTCCTTGTGCTCTCCCCATAGGTTTCCTAGCGAACAAAGTAGATTGATGGCTACAAAGCACAGTCGGAAACGAAATTAGGCGATCTCATTTGCGGCGCCTTCATACGAATAAATACAATTGATCGGCTTAACGTGGCAAATGAGTAATAAAACTTGCAACAAACAGAAACTATTTTGCATATGAAATTTTACAAAACGACCAATGGTTATACTTTCAAAAAAGGACAGACCAACTTAATTAATTAATTCAGAGACCTGAAAAGGAGGCTAATGGAATAAATTTTATATATTCTCCACATGGATTCTGGCACAAGTTGGAAAGGGGGGAGGCCAGGGACAATTTAACAACCATAGCAAAAGATTTTGAAAAAAAGCTGTATTGTTTTGTAAAAACGCGGGGGCCATGGCCCCTCGACCCCCCTTCGTCAGAGGCCCTGCAAAGCAACAAGTTTTGCAAATACTTGGCTGGGCTGTGCTTTCATACACTTTATAACAATTTGACAAATTTAGGACAGTTCTAATTAACCGCAGAAAAATGGCAGGAACATATAAGTGGGGGGGGGGGGGGTTAGGCTTTGCATTTTGATTTATCGTTAGATCGTTTGAGGTAGTATTTCACACTTTTTCCAGAGGTGCACTAATTCTTATATCTCCTCATAAGTTGAAAGGTTTTACAGATAAAGTATTGAAAATTTCAAAGTAAATTGATTAACTCATGATTTTTCCGAAAAATTGAGGTTTAAATTAAGAAATATTAAAGTATGCTAATTTATGCAAATATTTCTCCCGGGTGGCTTTTTTCTTGGGCAGGGTGTAAATCCCACAAAATAAGGGCCATTTATCTCAGACTTTCAGAGAATCATTGTATCATGATACTTTGTGTTATCAAAAGAAACAATTTTGAAATCATTTTCTTAACATGTAAAAATTAGAAAAAACACTGTATCCATGGAAGCTGCTAGCAACAATGAAATTTTGAAAATTTGTCTATTTATTGCATATGTCTATTTCTCTGTCAGCTTTACCGAAAAATTCAAATGGAAAACTGAAGTTATACAAAATATATCTTTTACCTAAATTAAGTATGTCTGGGAAACACAGCTTTGCGAAAATTGCATTCAAAGTTTCAATTGACGTTTTCTTAAAATAAGCAGTCTCAAAGACCCCAATAATTACTAAATCTTTAAAGGGTTCTTCCAAAAGCACGAGGCTACTTTTTTTATTAGTTTCTACAGTGCTTTTTCTATTATACTGGTCTTATATATGCCAGAGATTATGCTATCTCAATTGAAACATCAGTTGTTACTTGAATAATTGAAAATGAAGGTTGTTCAGGGCTTTGTTCCAACTTCGGCTTGGTATCTTTGCCCATAGCTGGCTTTTCTTTTCTCTTTAAACCTTTCTCCCATGCTATCAAATGCTCCAGGATCATAGTTTTAGACAAGTAAAAATATCTACCGAAACAAATTGGATATGCCTAATGCAGGCACTGTGAATGCTTTTAAAATATATACCGATATAAACTCTGCCATGAGATACGAAGCTTTAGAAAAGGCCTTAGTAAAATGCCCTTCAATGTATAAACACAGTAGGTAATACAAATTCTTAAATATACACATGCTTGTATAAAAATGCTTACCCACACCCTGCTGATGCTCACAATAATTTTTCGTGCTTTACTGTATTCAATTTTAAAACGACTTATCTTATTTTCTAATAATTTGCTATTGGAAAACAATAAATTTTATAGAGAAAGCAAAACAGTGCAAGTTGAAAGATCAAGTCATCACGATTACGTAGCTACAGTTTTTTATACGAATAATTCTATAAGAAGTTTTGGACTTTTTGAAAAATTTCATCTAAAAATGAGGAGTTTTAATGCTGTATTTTCAAACCTGTCGGCAAATAAAGGGTTCAGTAATTTTGAGCACTCCCCGTGAGCAAAAACGCAAACGATTGCACTGCTTACAATCTGATATTATAAGAAAAAATAGAAAACAATCCAGCCTCAAAATTTTAGAAATATCAAGAACAGCCAGCCTGAAATTCAATTTACTGTTTCTTAAACAAATGTGTGCGTGTGTCAATGTCTACTGAGGTCAATTGCTAGCTCATTGGGCGGCAGACGTTTTTCAGTGTGTGGCAAAAATGGTCTGCACTTGCGTCTCGAATTTTCGAATATCACGATATAATTTGCAAATACCAACTTTTGTAGAAAGTTGCTCGGACCAAGAAGAAGGCTTTCACAAGGCCAAATGCAAATCAAAATCCATGATACTGTTCATAAGACAATATTTTACATTTAGATACTTCATGTTGTATAACTATTATCGAGATAAAGTTTGGCTATTGTCTAGTTAGCTATACATGAGGTTGATGATGTTGATTATGAAATCCAGATAATTTCCTCCAGTTTTTGAAATAAAGTTGACTAATGTGAACAGTGCCTGAAAGACCAATGCAGAACAGCGAAGGTAAAATGTAGATACACGTCACGGAACTGTGATAAAATTCATGCCTCGGTTGGGATTGATCACAGCTTTCATTGTCTACAGAGAGGCTGGCTTCGAAGCACGAGTGCCCAATGCTCTCAATATCGGGAAATCTAAAATGTGCTTATTCAAAGGAAAATGCGATAAAATTCTGATCTCATTTTTGCCGGTAATTAGTTGCAAAAAGCATGTTCTGCATCACATTCCTGGTGGTCCTATTACAATAAATCTATTTGCAAAGTGTTAATGACACTGAAAGCTGTCATTGATTACGAAGTTTTGTCCAAATGTCACGACTCAATACAAACCTTTGCTTCAATACCTAATTTCAACAAAGCATTGAACATCGAGACAAGAAGCATTTCTATCATAGGTGCTGTATCAAAACAGGCACTTATTAATGTTGAATTCATGAAAGTCCAGGGCCCACACCACTGTGAAGGGGAGGTCTGGGGGCCGAGATGGCAATGCCCCCCAAATTTTTTGCGAAGCAAGTAGTTTTAAAGCTACAGTAAAAGAAGGAAGAGGCCTTGGTCCCCTACTTTTGCTAGCCTTGCCCCCCTCAACTTTAGAATTCGTTACATGGGCCCTGAACGCGGCATAGATTTTTATAATTTTTAGATGATTATGATTACACCCTTTTATTTTAGAGCCAGCAAATCTGTCGAGGCTCGATGCCCTTCTTCGGTTAATTTATGGCTCGAGTGTTGTTAACGTTCTTCTTATCTGAACATTATCTTCTTAATATGACATTTGTTTAGAGCGATGAATTAATGTTTTGAGTGAAATTTTGAGTAGCACGGCTGTTTAGCTGATAAAATATGATCTGTTTTGTTAAGATGAGTTAAATTTTCAAGAGAATATTGTTTTTTTCCCAAATTTTGCCTAAGGCTGGGCGGGTTATTAAATCATTCTTTCTTATTGGCAATTTAAGTGCGGTGCCAGTATAAAGTTGTCAAGTTGAAATGAAAAAATCTCGACAACTTAATTGAATTTTTCACTACTTTTTAACGCTAATCTGCGCAAATTTAAGTAATTTGGTTTTCAGCGCAAAATTAAAAAAATCATCATTATTTTCAAAATGAGTTTTAAGTTTTGCGATTTGTCCCAAGTCAATTGTTGGAAGATACTCGATGTGTCATGTTATGGGATTCCAATCGTTTCTACGAGTTACTATAGAAAATACTTTGTGCAACAAACTACCCTGGAATCAACTATCGTTTTTAGGAATCAGCGAATGTCAACAAAATGATTACATTCCCCTCCCAAAATTTTCCGAAACTTTTTGACCTGCCTGTTCTTAACTTTTAAGCCAGTTAACTGCTTTTTTTACATAAGTTGCAAATTCTTTGGGTAGTAGACTTCGTGTAGTCCACTTGCTGTGCAATTTCATCATATGAATGACCTTCCTGGCGTAAAAACTTTATGACCATTTGCTTAGCTTCATCAATATTTTGTTTTTTTACCAATGCCCAAAGATGAACATTTTTTACGCTATTGAGAAAAATTTTCCCAGTAAACTTTCTCCAAACAAAATTTGTGCTTGTTTATGTATTTATTTCGCTTATTTTCTGACGCCATCGTTTTATTTTGCCGCCAAAATTTGATCTTGCTTTTTCACTAACAAGGCGATTGCAAAAATTAAGCCCAAAATTTTGCCCCACCGCTCGAATACTTTTGGGAGGGGAGTGTATATTGTACTACACTCTCTTTAAAAGAACTTGAAAAATAATTTAGCCAACCTTGATTATCGTAAGAAATTTTTTTGAGTCTGAATATACTATATATATTTAAAATATAAATATCTACTCGAATCTGACATGGTTTCAAGGAGACATAGCAAAAAAACCTCATCACGAGGAAATGTTTGAAACAAAAAAAAACAAGAAACTTTAATAATATGAATGTCCTTGATAACCATAACGATTTAAACATCATTAAATGTGCAACCTGAAGCTGAGCATGTTCTTACAAATCTCCTTTTACCAATTTCTTTTTTCATGTGAAATTGCATAAAACTAGTTCTAGATGGCTCAAAGGACGACTCGATGGTATTCGACTTCCGGACCTTCAAAAGTTTCCCCTCTTCCCTTGCGCAGGCTTGGGTGCTTTCGGGCTACCCTTTCCCCATTTTTTGACAAGCCGCTTTCGTTTTGCATTAAATTTATGAGATTACCCCCAACCTTGCCTTGCCTTGCAAGTTTATGGGACAGCCTCCATTGGAATATTAGCTAACCTAAAGTTGATATAGAACCAAGTTTTATCAACTTCAAAAACACGGAAACACAATCGATTAAATTTTGTAAAAGAACAAAAGGTTCTTTTTTCAAACAAAATTAGAGTTGAAAGTGCGAGTTTGTAGCTATCAAGCATGGATTCCTGGCAGAGATATTGTAAAACAACTTAAAGGGGGTTTTACAG